CTTTTACAGACGACGCTGAATCGCGTTATTCCTCTTAAGGATTCCTAATTATGCTATTTAGAGGAGCTATTGTTTGGAAAGCTTTCTGATAAGATACTATTACTACTTCAACGACTGAGGTAGAGCTTCTTGGTGTAGAACGGACTACTAAGGAGGTGATAGCGCTTTAAAGGTTCTTTAAAGAGCTAAGGCTTGATATGGGAGCTCTATAGAATATATTCTGTGATAATAAATAGATAATTCGGCTGATAGTTAAAGAGAACTAATGAATCTTGATAAAGCTTCAGCACGTTGATATATAGAATATGTAGCTACGACAGGAGCATAAAAAGGGGAGTTTTCAGGTGATATATCTCCTGATAAATGATATGCTAGCCGACGGCTTAACTAAAAACCTACTAAGGCAGAAGTTTGAAGTGTTCGTTGCTCTTTTGAACCTTCAAGATTCTCGAGCTAATATCGAGAAGCTCGCTTGAGCTATATAATCTATATAGATACTTTCTTTTATTACGTTTCCTTTACTTTATATTTGTAGTTCTTAAACGCTATTAGAGAGGAGAGAAGAGGTAGAATTGTGGGACCTGATCTTAAGCTACTACTTCGGGGTTGTAAAGCCGCGCTAAAATAACGCGAAGAGTAAGGGACCCGATCCTAAGCTGCTACTTAAAGGTTGTAAAGCTTATACTACTTACTAAGGAGGGAGGAGAAAGTTAATTAACCGCCGGGCAGCGCCGGCTATAATGTTAACCTCCGCTAAGGCAGAGGCACGTAAGGCCAAACGCGCTGCGGGGGCGACAATAGTAGCTCCTATAGAGCCGGAGCCTATTCCTATAGCGTTAAAAATAGGGCGAGGGGGGGGAATAGCGGTCTCTCTGCGGAGAGCAGAGGCGGGGGTGGGGGTAGCAGCTAATATTAATAGTTAGATAACGTCTGAAATCTGTAAGACTACTATTATGACTTACAAACGGCGGCACGGATCTTATTCTTATCCTTATCCTTATCCTTCTTAGCTTCTAAGGCTTTCCGAATAGCGGCCCGGCGGACCGTGAGAGCTTATATATATCACAGAGTTAGCCTCGCTTAGTACTTTAATATTAATACCTTAATACTTCGTTGTTCTAATACTATAATATAAGGAAATACTTACGCGTGTGCCCTCTAGGAGGGCCCGGGCTACTAAGTAGCTGGCGAAGAGTTCAGTGGCACGGGCGGGGGCGGTGATATAACCCGATTTGTTGTTTTTATAATAATAAAAATAGCGTGAAGCTATCTCTTTGTCGCGATAGGGGTCGCCCGGCGCACCCTGCAAACTACCGCGAATGCAGTGGCCGTAAGGCACGGCACGGACGGCCCCTGCCACAGCGGGGCGGCGGGCAGGAGTTGGTACTAGTGCTGGTGGTGGTGGTGGTGATGGTGATGGTGGTGGTGGTGGAGTGGCGGCGGCGGGGGAGCTGCGGCGGCTACGGGCCTATTTTATAAGTATTAGTGTAGTTCTGATGATTCCTTATAACGCTAACTACATCAGAATCTTTAAATTAATAACTTACGGTCTTCTTCTTTACTACGCGAGTAGCGGTGAGGTTAGAGGCGTGTAAGGCGCGGGCGGCGCGGGAGCTTTTAGCTATGTTTACTAATATTACGTTGAAGTTATTATTTAAGGAAAGAGCGTTCCGGGGGACTTACCTAGTTTATATATTCAGAGCTACTGGGCGCTTGAGACCTGATGCTGTTAGTTGGTATTAACTCTTATTGTGGTTTAGGTAGTATTATCTATACTATTTATGTCGCTTCGCTTACTATTATAAAGCTAAGCGAGGGGGTGTATCGTGCACCTGACGCACCTAAGGTACTCCCTAAGGCGCTTTAGCTAACTAGAGGCTGCTTATATAACTAGAACTCCTAGAGCTTCCTCTTATAGGGGAGCTCTAGAATACCTTAATAAATTAAGACTTTTATACTACATGAAGCTCCTCCCTATAGTACACGATATACTTACTATATATACTCTAATTAGTGAGTTATTCAGACGCCGGGATTAGCCCGAGTAAGCCCCTTATAGTAGTCTAAATAGATTAACTTAACTACTGAGTCCTACTAAGTAGGCTCCTAACTGATTTCCCCTATTAGGCGAGCTAAATCCTGATCTTCCCCCGGGTACTTATAAAGCCCGCGACACTCTCGCAGCTAGCGCTAGCGCGTTAAATACCTAGGTTATCTCCTTTACTACTTCTATAAATATAGTCTTTAAGCTAATAATAGGGGGAACTAGCCGACCCTTTACCTTAGGAGTAATAAGTACTTAGCTAAGCGAATCTACTAATTCACTAAGGCCCTCCTATTTCATATGACTATTAGAAAACTCCCGGACTATCTTATTAGATATATAAATCTTAGTAGCTATCTTAACTAAGTTGTTAAACTTAATTATACCCGGCTTATTAATATTAACCTTATTCTTACGTATTACTTTCCTATAAACGTCCCCTAGTAGCCCGTTTAAGAACTACACTCCCTGAGTATAATTTTCTAACTAGCCCCTTTTTACTAGGGTAGCTAATATTATAGTAAATTATTAAATAAACTACTTTATATCGCTTTTTATAGTTCGCGGTTTTAACTTCAGAGCCTTAAGAAATAATCGGGAGTTTATCTGTTAAAAAGTATCCTGATCCTTATACTCCTCTAAAAGAGAGACTACTAGCTCTTCCTAATTCTTACTTATCTACTCTAATAGCGTCTTAATATACTAATTAATAGTGAGATTATAATATCAGGGAAGCTATTTGATTCAATCCGTATCTTTTAATTAGGTATTATCGCACTAATTAGTGTACTATTCTAAGAATTCCGTAATATTAGCTCCTTTAAAGTATAGCGCGCTTAGTATACCCGGGGCTAGTATAACTGAAATATACCTGACTTCTACTATCCTAGAATTTATAGTCCTTGATTCTTAATAGCTTTCCTCTCGGACTTAAATATATTCTATTGCGTCGCTTTCCTCTATACTTAGCGTTCTCTAGTTCTTAAGATCTCTTAGAAATATAGTTATATTAGGGAATTTAGTAAATAATTTAAACCTTTAGTGCTTACTTATAAGGTATAGTATACCTGATATTACTAGAGTTAAAAGTACTAGAGTTACTAGTAGGAGTATAGCGATTATACTCCTTATAACCTCTAGACTTAGCTCCCCTAACTACTCCGACCTCCTTAACCTTTTTTCCTTATATCCCTTTTTTACCTTACTTCGGGCCCTTTTTTTATATTAGACCTACTTTCTTTTTATATTTATCTATTCCCTACTTATTTTCTTTATATAAACTTTCTCTATTACTATAGTAACCTTATCTTCTAAGCTTGTTATAATAACTTTCCCTTCTGTGCCTCCTTAGCTCTCTTCACTTATATTCCGCTATTTCCTAATATCCTATCCGCTAAATAAGGGCTCCCTAAGCCCCTTTTTTCTAGCTATTTCCTATGTATCTATCTATTATTATAACTAAGTTACTAAGTAATAAAATTCTAACTCCTACTTTTACTACTAGCTTAGCTATATCCTAACTATTCCTCTGCTTTACTTCCAGTTCCTTGCGTAAGTCACTAATATAAAGAAGTAGGGTAGTACTATTAAAGTATATAGTAAGCAGGGATATAGAGGATTACTAACTAAATAAGTAGTAAGAGTAAGAGAGAGAAGATAATATATTTATTACGCGCTATCGCGCCTATCTATATAACCTTACGGAATAAGCTAACTATCTTCCGACCTAGAACCACACTACCCCACCATACTACTCTAACTATATCGATTAGTAATATATAGGTCCCTTATAACGTAGTTCTAATATAGATCCTATCTACTCTAACCGTATTAATTAGTAATATCTAAGTGCCTTAGATTATAGTCTTAGTCTGATTTTTATTTACTCTAACTATATTAGTAAAGAGTATTTATATCCCTTATAATATAGTTTCAACTTCAGTTATAGCTAATAAGTAATCTTTAAGTTCATATAAGCTAGCTATAATAGATTTAATAATAATAGAGAGTCGAGTCTAAGGGAGTTTCTGCAGAGGTTTAAGCTCTAGTATAATAGAGATAGTAAGTAGTTAGTAGTATAAAGCCTCTAGTATCTAGTAGAATATAAAGGGGTTATCTTTAAAGGAGGTTTAATATAAGGTCTTTATAAGGTCTAATATTAAATTATCTATAGGTAAGTATTAGATAAATAGAAAAATAATAAATAAAGTTTAAGCTTACCTTAGGCCTTAAGAGATATAGCTAGGGCTTTAATATAAGTATAAAAGGTAAGAGAATTCTAGGTTTAAGATTCTTCTTAATTATAAAGGGTTCGTAGTTAACTCGTAAGTTATTTATAAGGTTTAATAATCTCTTTAAGCTATTAGAAGTAGAAGGGAAAGCTAATAGCGTATTAATAGACTATATTAACTAAAAGTGACTGTTCTAAGGTTTTAAGTTCATTATAAAGCTAATAGTATATATTAGTTAGGTTAGTAATAGTAATAGCAGATAGTATTTACTAGATATTAGCGAAGTTAGTGAAGAGTTACGCTATCTTTAAAAGATATTCTATACTACTACTTCAGTGCACGACTTGCAGAGCTATATAAAGAATTAGAAAACCTAACGCCTCGCGGAATTAAAAGGTAGTTTTAAAGAAAAAGTAAAGTAAGATATATTATAATAATAATACTTATTAGCGTGCTTATCGTAATAATTCTAGGAGTTATAAGTCTAGCTATAAGTAGTTATTAAGTATAGCTAAGATACTAGTAATAATAGTATTTAATCTCTTTATCTAAGTAGAAGTAAGACTCTTAACCTACTATAGTAGCTAGATCCGAGCAAGGGGCTAGAGGTAGCCAGATCTAGATATAGTAATACAAGCGAGGAGCCTAATTACTATTTAATAGACTAAGTAAGTACACCCTACAGAAACTAGTTAAGCAAAGACTTAAGCTTGCGGGCTTGAAGACTCCAATCTACCAATACCAAGCCTTAGGTGTTTACTGGCAAATGGTAACTTCACGTGGGATTGGCGGAGGTTTTCTTGCCGACGACATGGGCTTGGGAAAGACACTTTCGTATCTTGCTTACATTGTCGTTGAGCGCCAACTTGCTGTCCTCCACAGGAATGTCGCCAAGTCCCGAGAAGTCAAAGACGGACAACATTTACTTGTGGGTCAAGATGGGCAGTGTCCAACTCCTCCCACTGATGGCTGGATTATTTGTCCATGCTCGGCGTCAAGCCCAACGTCAAGGATGCAAATACAGCCAGGGTTGAGGATGGCCTGTGTTCCAGCAGCTGTGGTGAAGCAGTGGTGGGATCAGTGGAAGCTTCATGTGGATACTGCTGACCAAGCTCTGGGGATGAAAATTGCCATAGATCACCCTGCGGTCTTCAAAGACAATGCATTAACCTCAGCCGACATGTTATCGAGTGCAGCAGCGGCCCAAACCAAGAACCGCATGGAGCCAAAGAAAGCAGCGAAGGGCACTAAGGCCGACGACGAGCCAAAAGAGAACAATGACAGTATCCTTCTCGTCACTACACAAGAAGGCTTTCCAAACCTTGTCAAGGAGTTCTCCAAGGTAGTTGGAGGATACATTCGTGACTCGAAAGATCGCAAGTAAGACTTTCAGTCCTTATGGCGGGCTTTGCTAACAAGAACAGTTCCTGGATTAAGGCATCTAAACAGAATAGGTGCTCGCTCGTTTTTGGTATAGCGATGATTGACGAGTGCCATGAAGCATATATCAAAAACTCGGGACGCGCAAAGGTTCTCGTAGACCTACCTAGATTCAACAACTCAGTACGTCCATTTGTATGGGGATATTCCGGGACTCCATTTTCTCAGACCCCTCGAGCCATCGAAGGTGTGCTGTGGGCCATCGAGAAGCATTCGGACGTCATAGACGAAGACTTTTCTTGGAAGAAGCTGGATCGCATCTCCAAGCAGTTTGACCAGCAGCTAAAAAGCAAGGAATTCGATCATAGTGCTGTAGATGCCTGTCTGGTAGATTTCAAATCGTTTTTGATAAGATATATGATCCGACGGGCTGCAGATACTTTATGGTTCGACCATCCACTGGCGAAAATGAAGCCGCACATCCATACAGACGTGTCTGTAATATCGAAGCTATCTTTTACCGAGGCTACTCGTGACTATGAGAACCAGTTCGACGCCGAGAGGGAAGAAATGTTGAAAGCCCTGCAGACCAGATGGGACGAAACCGCGCCAGAACTGAGACGGTCCAACATCAGGCCAGTGAAACTCGCCTTCAATGTCAACATGCGTGCCTACTGGAGGTCTAGGCTTCTCGCAACACTTCCCTACTTGCAGATGCTGACTTCACCTGATGGGGAACCATTGAAACTCTCTACAGTGGAAGTGCTAGACTATATCCAAAAAAAGAAAACACCTCGAGACTCTAATTCGTATAAGGACAATATAAAGGCAATTATGGAGAATTCTCCTAAGTGTTTATGGCTACATGATTTCATGATTAGACTGAAAGGTTTAAAAGATGTTGAAGGCGATGAACATAAATTGGTGATCATGACAGCTTTCCCACAGGTTGCATATGTCGTGAGTCTGGTGAGTATCATCAGCTGTATTGTAGTAGATGTACTGACCATAGCAGATCATCGACAAATACTTTCCCGAGTACAAGGATCTCGTCGGTCTCATTCCAGGGAGAATGAGACCAAGCGAGAAAGTAAATATAATCAACGCATTCACTGGTAAAGCCGATGACAAAAACAGCCAGAAAGGCAAGAAGGACCTTCGTATCTTGATTGGGCTCACTCGAATAATCGGAGTCGGTTTGCAACTACAGAGAGCCTGCCACGTGATAGTCATGGAGCCGGACTATGAATTTATTTATGAGCTACAGGCATATGGTCGGGTGCACCGAATTGGCCAGAGGAATCCAATGTCGAGATCATTTCGGTTGATTGATGGTAATAGCGAGATTGAGAGTAAGATATTACAAAGGCAAGTGGATAGAAAAGAGGTGGCAGGGACAAAGATCAATGAGGTTGAGGTTCATCAGACTGAGGTGAGATTATTTGGTGAGAATAAGTGCGTTGAAGTTTAAATCTACAGGCCAAATTATATAAGAATGCCAGGTCTTCTTGCAGGCTATGCATTGAAGAATAAAGGCAATCAAACATTATCAAAGCAGTGACACGGGAAAGAAAATGATAAGAAAATAAAAGTAAATGTATTGGATGGTTGTTTCTATGAATGGAAAAGAAGCGTTGGAATGAAAGGTCCCAACCGTGACGTGGGACGATGGTACCTGTTCTACAGCACCGAAGATTCATTTTCTCCTATCGCCAAGGGCAGATATCTGCATTACAAGCAGTTATGTCCTTTGGCCATTTTATCCAGCGGTTGGGGTGGTCCCCATTTTCCACCTGTACACACCGAGAAGGAGTTGACTTGGCAGATACATTGACCTTCTTCTTGACATCTGGATACTGACGGGGAAGGTTGTGGTGGAGTTGAAGAAGAGCCTACCGGAACAGATGCTGAAAGATTTGGCTTAGTCAAGATGGAACTAGGTCTGGTAGCAGCACTAGTGACAGTCATTAAGGACGAAGGAACACTGGGTTTGGTGCTGGGCAATGACTTTGCTGCTCCAATGGCTGGGTTGCCATTACACTCTGCCTTGAACATTTTTGTGCCTTCAGAGAGCGAATTCTCGACATCTAAACCAGGGTCAGCAACTTCGACAACTAGCTGTTGCGGCTGTACTTTACAAGACCCGGTGAGTTCCCCGAGATTAGCAAGCCATACTAGGGGAAGGTCATTCAAGGTCCTCTTGGTCTTTCGACGCTCAGGACGCTTCTTAGCCACGACTTTGATAGGCGCGCACATCATGTATAGCTCATTCGTGGTCTTGGATGCCCAAGTCCAACTCTGAGTATACTCTCCAGGCTCGATGCCAGCGGGGATGGTTGCCGTCATCGGAGTGGGAGCTCCGCTGTCGAGATTGCCACTTGTAGTCGTGAGACATCCATATTGAGTTTTGATGACTCGGAAGTCCGCATTGGACTTGGACGGGTTAAAACCGGGGAGGATACCTATCTGGCACATTCCACCGCCATGTGTAGCCATGCCAGCGAAAGTGATGTTGAAAGGTTCTCCGATTGTGACTTCTGTGGGACCTGTAGATGGCAGACCAGCTGTACCAAGTTGGCAAGGAAAGTTGGAACCAGAAGGCTCCAGAGGGTTGGATGCGCCGTACGTTCCTGTTTTGTAGGGAGTGGGAAACTCCTGGGTAACATGTGCGTGTACGCTCAAGGGAGCCAACAGCAGGAATGCGACAAACATTTTGAGGTCGAGATTCTGGAGATGAGTTTGCGTTGATGATTTTTATGAGTTGGAATGAAGAGGGGTACTTATTTCTTACTGCGAACGGTTGTCCTTTGAAAAGCAGTTGGATTTTTGTTTTCCAGGCCCACATGCTATACATTGTGTTGTAAGAAAGCAAGAAAACAATAGAGCGGGCTATATAGACAAAGACAGAGGTACGCCTGTTGAGCCGTAGGCAGAAGTGTTATATTGAAAAGGAGAGAAGTGCTTTGTTCTTTTTTCTTTGTACGCCTCCAGCTCCTTACTTTTCCAACATCATTTCCTCGAACTCTGTACTCACCACGCTTCAGCTCCACTGCCAGACCCCCTGTAAAGACTCATAAACCCGATGCCGTTATTCTTCCAAACTTGGTTTCACCCTATAACAGGTATATACCACAGACCAACAAATCAGAACTACAGTGCATTAGTGCAGTACCTGCCTCTAGAGGCAAGGGTAATATCGGTGGAGTGATGTGGCCATGACGTAAAATACAGATGGAGAATTGGGACTAAAGGAAAATTTGAAATCGTGTGAGTTGAAGTCGAGTACCACAAGGCGGTGCGAAAAACTCGACTAGCAAATTGAAGTGAAGTTCCGATCAAGTGATAGTGGAGGTCTGACAACCACGTAACGAGTTGGCATTCCATTCTACCGCCACTCCGAAAAGAGAGATCTCCCAAGGAACGAACGTAGGATAGCACCAATGGTAACTATGTTGAGCGAAGCTGAGATGGTAGAGTGTGTCGTAAAGTCATTCAAAGCTCCATAACACAAAGGAGGTCTCTTTGCTCACTACTGAAGTGAGGAGTCTGGAAGCCACTTGGGATCAGGACTTACTGAGATGTGGAATATCTAGGACGTGAATATCAAGACGCAAACGGGGAAGTAAACTCTAACATTGAATTCCCCAACCAGATATCTTGATTTTATAAGGTGTGATACATAAATACACACACATGCCAAATCTATTCATGTGTCCCTGTAGATCAGCTACTCGACCACCGACTAAGCGTAACAGCCGTCGTATAAACCATAGCCACAAACCCCACGCCCATCAACAGCACATCCCCCATCTTCACATATCTCCCCTCAGCAATACCCTTCCAATGCAAATACGCGGGATAGATATACACCAGCGGCACACACGCAAAACTCCCAATCAGCGCAACGAATTTATCCAGATTCGTGGCACCTAGAATAGAAACCAATCCACATCCACAAACCAGCAGCGTCCGAAACGCATTCTTCTTCCACTTCGTCTTGACGTTCTGCTTGCCCGAGCGATGTCCAAAGATTGACCCCTCGAGGATACGCATGGCGGGGAATAACTGCACGGGATCACCAGCGAGGACAGCAAGCGAGTAGAGGAACTGGACGGCGTTGACGAGTTTAGATGATTGCGGGAAATTGCTGATGATCTCGACGGTTGTTTTGTCACCGAATGTTGCGTAGCTGAGGGCTCCGACAGAGGCGAAGATGATGGTTATGATGATCATGACTGCGTATAAGAGACGCTCGAACTTCTGCGGCTCCTTCATGGAGGACTGGATGGGGAGGATGAGGCCGATGCCTTCGAAGGTGAAGATGGCGGAGCCGATGGTTAGGGTGAAGTCGCGGGGGTTGAACATCTTGACGGTGGGGCTCATGCCTTCGGTGGCGAGGGTGGAGATGTCGTAGCAGTAGATGTATCCCAGGCCGAGGAGGATGAAGACGTCGGCAAGTAATGCTGCGCCGCCTAACCTTGAGATATCTCGAATAAATGCCAAGGGAACCAAAACGATCAGTTGTATCCCAATCAGAGCCATGATAGATAGCGGTGAAGCTCCTTTGATAACAGCTTCTAGAAACGAGTACAGGTTCTCAGCCGTGAAGATGATACCAGCGCAGACAAATCCAAGCTGCGAAAGCGTGATAGATGCCAAGGTAATCGACCTCATCCTCTTCCCTCCAATAGCTTCCGCAATATCACCATATCCACCCCCATATTTCGCTCTACATTTCAGCAGTAGATGAAAAGCCAAGCAAGATACCAGCGAGATCAGCACCAGCGTAACCAGCGAGAAAGCCAATCCACCATTCTTGAACGCCTTTGGCAGGAACAGCACACCAGTTCCAATAAACGACTTGATCAAGAGGAAGAACGTCCTCGTCATACTCGCATCTCCAGGTTTACTCGCCCTCGTAGATTTCCGTCTCCCTAACAAGGGTCTCCTCTCTCCATCCCCATCTCCCTCACCTTCATCATCTAACAGCCTCTCCTCCTCGTCACTCTCCACCGCAGTATCATCCTCGCTCTCCGCAAGGTCCTCCCCAGCAAACGAACCATACAGATCCAGGAAATGCACGAAATTACTCGTAATCGGAGCCGTGAAGCTCTTCGATCTCTTCAGCAACTGCTGCTGCACATAATGCCTCCTGAACCCTCCTGGCTCTCTTTGTTCCGTGGCGTGAGTGACGGTTGGTCTGCCAGGATGCGAGAATGTCTGCGCGCGCTGCATGGGACTCCCGCTGCCGCGGGCACTGATCTTGTAGATGTCGCGGTGGATGTCGCCGCCCTGCAGCTTCAGGGAGCTTTCGTGTTCTCGCTGTTCATCGGAGGTTTGTGTGGAGGTTGTGCCTGTGCCTGAGCCTTGGTGGTTGTCGTCGAAGTGGGCGGTGTATGCGGGGTCGATGTGCCTGGAGACGATTTCTGCTCTCCTCTCTTCCTCCTGTTCGTCTCGTTCGGTGGACATGGGGAGTTTGGCGGGGGTTAGCGAGTGTAGGATATATTCGAGGGGAGCGAAGGTGTGCAATTGGAAATCCAATCAATATATCCAATGTTCTGCTTATGTTGTACAAATGTTGTTGTTGTTCTAAAGTCTCTGCAAATATTTAATGACGAGGAAAGCTCTACGGCCATGCCCTATTGTGTCTAGGCCTGATGTTCAGGCCTCGGTAGCTATCTAAGGTAGCTGGTACTGTGCTAGCGGCATGCTGTGACACACCTTACTTCGTTAACCCGAACCCCGGAATCAGACCAAGGCAGGAGAAGTCAGCTGAGCCTCCCAAAGATGTGACCATGATTCCACTATATAATTGAACACGACCCGCAAAAGCCTTTAACTTGAAAATGGTTCATGACGTCTAGTAGTGCTAGATCTACAATCCATGAAGATTTCCATGACACTGCATCTATATCTGTGGTTCATTTCCCAGTCTTGCAGTCACCGACTTTCTGATGTGGCTGGTAGTCGCTCCCCACCCAAGCTGTGCCAATACTACAGTACCTAGGTAGTCAGCGCTCAATGCCGCTCGTCGCCACAGGCGGGGCATGCTGGGTACAGGGCACCAGCCAGCCAGTCACAGGCTGCTCGTACCTAATATCAACCTGAAAATATGGGGAAGACATTGCCTGGAATGGTCTGGCCTCGCAGCTGCAGCAGCAGAGCTTACGTTCGTTACTCTGGTGGTGTGGCCTTATCTTATCGTGAGAAATTTCATTGCATGGAAGAAACTGGAAGATTTCTTCCCCTCAAAAATATCTGCAATCAATCAAACAATGTTCTGTTCTTCGCCTTGACTGTCTCCCATACTGTCCTGCTTGAGCTGTTCGCTCTTGCCATCGTATCCTTCCCTCCCATTCCTCTCCTCCTTCCAGTTATTGCTCTCCTTCCTTCCCATCAAGCTTTCAACAAGCTCGCCACACCGTCTCCTGACTTGACACGCCCTCCTCATCCCCAAAATCCTATAACATATTCCAGTGCCTCCATATTCGTACCCATCCCTATAACATAATCCCCATAGCATGTCTTTAGCCCAGCATGTCTCCGCCATCGAAGGTGTCGACAGACAAGAACTTGAAATCGAGCCCTCCCACGTCGTGAGGAGAGTGCTGAGCTATGGTGCATTCCCCCCTCCCGTCGAAGAACAGGCGGATCATATCCCAGCCTATGTCATTTCGACGCGGAAGAGAATCATTCAAGTTGTTATTACAGTTTTGGTTTGTTGGTTAGCGTCTGGCATTGTATTTGGTTTTGCTGCATTGAAGCCGGTTTTGATTTCGGAAGGCGTGTATCGGGAATTGTGTACTGCCGAGGAGTTGGATCAGGATGTTGAACTTTGCGTGGAGCAGGATATTCGGTTAGTTGTTCCAATCATCCCTTCTGGGACATCTGACTGACATGAACAACAGTCTGAACTTCTTCTTTACACTTGCTTCTATCACAAGTAATGTGTCCGCCCTTCCGGTTGGAGCAATCCTGGATCGATTCGGTCCTCGAGTCTGCGGAATCTTAGCCAGCATCTTCCTCGCCGTCGGTACAGTCTTAATGTCCTACGCTTTCAGCATCCCGGAATTCGACGGCTACCTGATGGCAAACTTTTTCCTCGCCCTCGGCGGAACATTCATATTCATCCCATCCTTCCAGATGGCCAATGCATTCCCCAAATACTCCGGGACGATCGTCGCTCTCATCACAGGCTCATTCGATGCCTCAGCAGCAGTCTTCCTCTTCTACCGCATGGCATACACAGGCACGAACCAGACTTTCACTCCAGATAGATTTTTCCTGTACTATACCGCCGTTCCAGTTCTCATATTAATTTCTCAACTTACTGTCATGTCATCAAAATCCTACGACACCGTCCCTCAACTCGAGCAAAAGATCGAGATCGCACACGATGCAGGACAAGACATCCACTCATCCGACGACGAAATATCCAGCGACGACGAGGTCAACCGTATTCGCCGAGAAAGATCCGGGAAACGAAAGAACAAGATCCGGCAACTGGACCGCCTCCTCGGAAGCGAGGACGAGCGTCGCGAGAGAGCGGATCGTGAAGAGGATCGTTTGGTAAAAAGTGCAGTCTGGGGAGCTCTGCATGGACTGCCTGCACATCAGCAGATGTTGACACCGTGGTTCATCCTCATTACTTTGCTTACGGTGTTGCAAATGTTGCGTATGAATTACTTCATTGCTACGATTCGCTCGCAGTACGAGTACATGCTTGGGTCAGAAGAGTTGGCGATGAACATCAACCATTTCTTTGATATTGCTCTCCCGGTTGGAGGAGTAGTCTGTACGCCTGTCATTGGGATGTTCCTCGATAATCTGAGCGTGCCTATGGCTTTATCTGTTATCGTCAGCTTGAGCACTGCCATCGGAATCTTGAACTCCCTACCTTTCCTCTGGGCAGCCAACATGACAGTCATCCTCTTCGTGATCCTCAGACCACTCTACTACTCCGCCATGTCGTAAGTCCTCCCCTTCCAACTCTCATCTCTTCCAAACCCATCTCTCGCCTCCACCCCTCCATCACAAAACAAACCTAACTAACACCCTCTCCTCTCCCCCCAGCGACTACGCCACCAAAGTCTTCGGCTTCAAAACCTTCGGCCAAGTCTACGGCACTATCATCTGCCTCTCGGGACTCGTCAACCTCTCCCAATACGGCATCGACGCTCTCACTCTCGAAAAATTCCACGGCGATCCCACGCCCGTGAATATCGTTCTTGCTGCGTTCGGGTTCGTGGTTGGTGTTGTGCTGGTGGGGTTTGTGAGGGTGAAGGTTAAAGTTGTTGGTGTGAGGGAGTTTGGGGAGTTTCTGGATCCGGAGAGGATGCCGTTGATTATGCCGGTTGTTGTGGAGGAGGAGTGAGGTTGTGGGAGAGGAGGGAAGAAGAAGAAATGGGGAACGGGGACGGGGAGGGGGAGGGGGAGGGGGAGGGGGAGGATGAGGATGGCAAGGATGGGATAGTGTATATAGGATATGGCGCGCGTGTAGGATGTAGAGATAGAAAAATTGTATATTTGTGGGAAAAAAAAAGATGTTTATTTGTTGTGTGTATCGTGAAGCAGTACAATCATCCTGTGGGACGCACTGCGCCCAGACTGAGAGGGAGGAAATAAACGAAAGCAACGAGATAATGACGTCTCACTGAAAGCAGACCACAACCACGCTCAACGGTAAACAAATGAGACAAGATCGATTAAACAATACGATTCTCTCTAGCAGGCGCGCACTCACATAGGTTTAGGTATGGCTCGCTTAGCTATTCATCCATCTTCGCAACTACGCTCAACTTTTAAACACCAAAGTCACCGACCCACCGACTCACTCACTCCACACCCAAGAACCCGCCATATCCCAACCCAAAACAGTTCGCATAAAAGCCCACCGTACTCGACCAATCCGAGAATATGGCCTTAATCCCAATCTGCCTCGCCAGCACATCCAGCACCTCATAAAGCTGGCCATCAGACTCCACGCCCTGTGCAAAGAACCCATAGTAATACTCCCCATCCTTCCTCACATCCGCGAGCGGACCCGAGCGCTCAATCGTCCAAGGGATGATATCAAGGCCAGCCTGCTGAGCAGAGATGGCGTACGTGCTCGGGATGATGGTCTTGTTGTCCGCCGTGGTGGTGAGGAGGTACCCGAAGGGCGGGGCGATGATATTCACGCCTTTGGCTTTGATGGCCGAGAGGCGCTCGAGGGAGGAGGCGGCGGGGAGAGTCTCGGGCGTGTCACCGTCCTCGTCGAGGAAGACGGCTTGGTTGCCATACTCGGGGTACTCTGCTATCCACTGGTATACATCTGGGGGGTTGAAGCTCTGGGCCCAGACTCTGTCGGCGGAGATGTTGCGCGCGATGAACTTGTCGATCATGTCGCGGGCGTACTGCTCTTGCGTGTAGCCGTTGAAGGGCATGGCGACTTGTGTTGGGGGGGTCTTGAGCTCGGGAGTGTAGTTGCGGTGGCCGGGGATGGATTCCACCAGTGTGATGTACGAGTCTAGAGTCATGACTGTGCCGCAGGTTGCGTAGAGATCTGTTCGCCAGTCTGGTGTTCCGTGCTGGTAATCTTCCACGTTTGTCGCGCTGGCATTAAAGCCGTCTTGCTTACCGCACAGACTTGTGTATTCGTCCACGGTAATGTCGCTGGTACAGCAGAGGGCATGAGCAGGGGATGTCGCATTCGCAGGTGTGAAAGGAGTGGTGCACTTGGCAGCCAATTCGGGGTGCAAGAGTATGTTGGTGGTTGTATGCAAATCGCATTGGGAATGACGACAAACTAATTGGCGATCACTTGTGAAGGCGACATCACATTCAAGGATACCAGCGCCCATTCGTGCACCTGCAATTGTGTTTTCGACAGTCTCTTCTGGGAATTGAAGAGTTGCGCCTCCACGATGACCAATTGAGAAGCCACTGATGCTAAAGGGGCCATTCTCGCACGATTTCAGTTTCTTCTTGAGAGGAGAGTCGGTCATGTTATTAATGAGGTAGAATGGTCGAGGATCGTAGGACACCTTGTAGTGCCTGTCCATTGGTTTTTCATGATCATGGCCGTGGTCGCCATGATGCTCGTCTTTGTAATTACTTTCTGCCGGCAGAGCGACGACAGTGCTCGCGACTCCAGCCACAACTGTAAGGTGGGCAATGAAACGCATTATCGAGGCAGGCCAATGGGTGAGGTAGGGAGTAAGAGGAAGGAAAAATACAAAAAGGCGAGCTGTGGGGTTTTGTAGCTCTTAGCCTTCTTACCTGAACTTCGCCGGCCCCAAAAATTACATAGCTCCCGCAAGCTCCCACACTTGAGATAGCTATCCAACGCGGGGTCTATCGATCATTATGGTGCACCTACAGGCATATTCTGCAGCTAAAACAGGAGATCGAATCAATGATAATGAAATGCTGCCCACGTGCAGGGATAGAGATAGATGACTGCTTGATAAGAGAATTGGTCGTAGCCTTGCATAGATATCCGGGTACGCCGAGCAACGACTTGAGTCCTTGCCAGATCTAACTGGCTATCATGACGGGACAAGTACCTGCATTCTGCGAATTTTTGATAGATGGGGAATAAGATGAACCCCACGTGTGAAGTCATTGGTTGCCAAGTCCCATGGGTCGAGGCTTACAATGCGCCTTCGATGCAGCCAAGGATGCAAAGCTTGCTGACCTTAGAGACCGAGTTTTGCAGTTCTTCAGTAATGGAATCCGAGATCAAGGTCATGCTTTGGAGGGTATGCATTCTCAAGGATACCAAAAGAGATTTCTGCTCGGTGTAGAACACGCTTCTCGACATCCCGTTCTTTCAGATTGAGTTGAGTTAGATGTTGGGGCGCGTCAGTCTGCTCTTAGCGTTCGACTACTGAGGGATCATTGCCCACTAGAGTGGCCAAGATCTGATACTGCATGATGCGGGCTGAAAACAGGATATGGGATCAAAACTTGGGACGAACGATAAGATCCCGAAAGATCAATAAGTCGATGTACCTCCGTACATCGTGGAGTAAGGATGTCTCACACCGACAGACTATCCACCGAGAAGAATAAAAGAATATGGTTGCCGGTTCAGGATATTCGCTGTACCGACATTTTGCAGCGCTTTCTGCTTGAGAGGAAAACACAATCGAGACAACAGCATTGAATGGGAGTGCTTAGACCATGATAATACCGCCAAGTGGGGGCAATGAACAGCAAACCAATCTGAGATATCAGCACTCACCATTGACCCTCAATGTTTTCGTCTGTAGCCCACAATCAAAAAGGGCTGCGATATGCATATATCTGAAGGTCGCCCAGATTCCCGTCGAGCGACGAGCCTGATATCAATACTTGAAGGAAGCGGTCCAATTGACGAATTGGATAAGGATCACGAACTTTGAGGCCAGTAAATGCAGATGTCGCGATCAGGATATAACTTTCTTCGCCCTCTGACCAGAAAAGCCCCAGGACTTGGACCTTTGAGATTTTCTCAAATGATCCCGTTGTCCAAACTGAATCTCCGTGTGCATCTGGTATTCGAAAAGAAAGCCACGCGCGACAAGTGAGGGGCGTCGGTAAACAAGGTCGCCACTTCCCATAGCATCGTGAGCCCTCCGATTGCCAAACACGACCTGCGTCTTCCATCCAAGCAATCCACAGCTCAGAGGATGTAGTCCCATGTATTTCAATACATCCTAGGGAGGTAGGATATCACGAAGAGCCTTTCTCCGAACAGCTTCTGCACACTCCGCTTGGTTGCAGTTGATAGATCGGGTGTGTCGAAGGCCGACATCCTACGCACACCTTTCGGTCATTTCAGGCATTGCGTTGATTTCGTAGACCTCATGATTTGATCTTGCATGCCCAATGTTGCGTGATTTCTGCTCTGCCATCATATCATGGATTTCGAAGAGGGAATGGCTGGTGTCGGCTCGCATGCGATCTGTCAATACCAAGCTAACTGCTCAATGCGCCACTGATCTCGTATATCTGCCGGTCTGGGAAGATATTCGATGGGATACAGGTATTCGATAAGATATCGAGGGCCGTGGTGGTTAGGTTGGAGTGTAAACCGAGGAAATCGAGCTGATGCCAGCCATCAAGCAATCCCGGTAACAATCAGCTTCCTCCGACCTAAGGAAAGGTGTATTAGATACACTTCCAGCCATCACTATGCACCGGACCGTACGGGGCTGCTTTGAGTATGCCGAAATGTTGTCGGCAGTCTGTGGTAGTGGGCTGCTCCATGGGTCTTGTTGTCAACCTGCGCGTCGAGTCAGATGGAGCCCAGCAAATCACGGTCACGTGTCGACGCTAGCGATGCTCGTACCTTCCATTTCCTCCACCCGTTACCCCGGCCTTCACTTTGCAAATATCCGTTATTATGTCCTTTTATCCACCCAGATACAACCTTGATATACGGATGTCTGTACAACATGCATGCAGGTGCGCTTGTGGCTGAAATGGTGGAAGATATGCCCTGGGTCCCGAGAAGCTCCTTATGTCTGCTTTTGCGTGCGTCGAAGCTCGGATTCATACCTCAGCAAGTAGCCGAAGTGTTTTCGAATGGGATATGAAATGGGAGCTTGAGTTCTTGAGACGAATGCTACCTTATTGTCTTTCCCCAAGTTAGAGGGCCATCTCGTACCTGGCCTCTTCTTAGTTTGTTGTCGACCAGAGAAGATATTTCGATGTCTGTTCTTCTGGTCCAAACTTCCTAATCTACTCCGGCTCTGTATCTGAATACTTCTGATGTTCTCTTGCCATGCTGTTTTTAGTTTGTCTGCGAAGTTCTGCGTCAAGTGACGACCACATGGATGCTCTGTGCATCTACGCATCCCTTTCAGGATTGCAGAAGACCCTCTCATGCCTTCTACTCCGGGTTGTTCAAACTAAAATTCCAAGCATGTTCCATTTCCAGGTCTCCGGATATCATTACTATTGATCATCTATTTGCCGGCCTCCATCTAATGTGTGATTAGCCAACCACTTTACCGTTTATTTAGGACGATTTCTCTGCACGAGTAACATGTGGCGACACGCATATCCAGCAGAAATGATAGTCCCTCATTCTCGGCAGTTGTTTTATACCAGTAGCATATCGAATAAGTATATCAGCATGGATATCTTTAAGTCAATGGCTCTTTGGACTTTCAGCACCAGCAGCTGTCATCTCTAAAGACTGCCGTCATGTGGTCAATTACTTCCCTCGTTGCCCTTCTGGGCTCCATGCCATCCATCAATGCTCAACCAACCCAAGCAGCAATGATGCGCTTCGCCTGCTCCCAGCTGGTTGTCGAACGACTTGACCCTCTCGTCTGCCCAGGCATCATCGGTTCGCCCCACACGCATCAAATCGTTGGTGGGAACTCTTTTAACGCAACCATGGTCCCCATATCTCACGATCTAGTCGCACAATCCACATGCACAAGCTGTACATTCAGCGAAGACTTGAGTAATTACTGGACAGCTGCTCTGTATTACCAGGCGAGGAATGGTTCGTTCAAGAGAGTGGCACAGTTTGAGAATGGCGGGCTGAAGCAGAATGGGGGTATTACGGTGTATTACATTCCGCCGTATGATGGTGTATCGAACGTTACTGCTTTCACGCCTGTCAGTCACCCTCTCTCCAATATACACTACCATAAATAAAGCTAACATAACTCAGGGCTTCCGTATGCTAGCCGGTAACCCAATGCTTCGAAGTACAGAGGGCGAATTTCGTGGAATATGCCACCGCTGCTTTGGTGCAAACTTCGAACCTTTCGGCGGTGCACCCTGCACTGGCAATGACACTACTTCTCTCCCCAATGAGTTCTGCGCTGGTGGAATCCGCACAACTGTGACATTCCCAAACTGTTGGGACGGCGTCAATCTCGACTCCCCCGATCATCAAAGCCATGTCGTATACTCGACTATTCCGTTCGAGCCATATGTTGATCCAGTTGTCACGAGGCCGTATACACCATCATTGGAAAGAGGAAAGTGTCCTGATAGCCATCCGGTGCATTTGCCGCAACTCATGTATGAGGTGATGTGGGATACAAGACCGTGGAATGACTTGGAATTGTGGAGGGAGGATGGGAGTCAGCCATTTGTTTACGCCATGGGTGATGCGTAAGTCCCTTTCTGTCTTCCGTACATCAAAATGTTATGACTGACAATTGTTGTTCAGTACCGGTCATGGCCAACACGGTGATTACATGTTCGGATGGAAGGGCGACTCATTGCAGCGAGCTCTGAACGCGCGTTGCACAGGTGATAGGTGCAAAGAGCTCCTGAGGCAATCTGATGAGGATGCGATGAAATGCACCATGCCGCAGACGGTGAAGGAGGATGTTGATGGGTGTAAGTGATCCCGCTGGATTGTAGTTTCTTGTAGTGGTATGAGCCTGTAAATTTGACTGTGCTGACTTGGTAACGCAGGGTTCACTAAACTTCCTGGCGATGTTGTGGTTTCTCGGTAAATCTCCGGAGCTTTGGCCCTCACATCATGTTGGGGGGCTGGGGCGGGTCGGCTTGAATGTAATTGTCACTTTTTCAAACCGATTTGGATATCGAATCCTTTCTTCGTGCAGTGAGTGGTATTTACAACGAAAAACTATCAACTGTGGTATATCAAAATCAAACAAGTACCTCATCAAATTACACTTCATCACTCAAGGTCCCGAACTCACTTCCACACCGCATCCACACTGACCCCAAACCCCATGACCCCTAGCAAACCCATCAACTCCACTTCTAAGCTACCTGCCGAGCACCGCAAATCCAATATCCATTTATAACAAAATCGGATTTCCCTTCTGCTCCTCCAAAACAGCCTCACCATGGCTGACACTGGGTCTCTTAACCTGGACGGCAATGGACATCTTGCGACCTGCAGTAACGACACTCGCTCTTCTCATTCCACCTTCCGTGACACCCTCCTTCTCTCCAGTATAGTGGACATAGTTGATGGCACCACCGACAGCACCTCCCCAGGCAGAGCCACGACGACCAGCAGTATCAGCAGCGACAACGATGTCCTTGACACGCATGATATTCTTGCCGTGGGTGAACCAGTGGAAGAAGACGTAGCCGAAGACATAGACAAAGCCGACGAGCGGGACGACCATTGAAATCCGAGTGCTGGCACCATCGGCTACAGCGCCCTGGATGGGTGGGAAAACGGCACCACCTGTTAGATGTCAGTCCCAATATCATAAATGGTGGAATAAAAAAGTTGCTTACCTGCGACACCCATGACAAGGATACCGGCACCGCGACGAGTGTGGATTCCGAGATCTAATCGCTGCTGTCAGAGCCAATTCATTTGAAAAATACGAGCCCGTGGATCAACTTACTAGCAGTACCCATCGTGAAGATAGTAGGGTACATGGGCGCCATCAAGAAATACGTGACCATCAAGGTTCCCACACCAGCAGATCCTTCGAGAGCAGAAGCACAAGCTGTCATGGCAATGACCAACATGGAGTACACAATCATGATGAAAGCTGGTGCGAGGAAGAAGGCAATTCCGACGGCGACGAAACGACCGACTGTGAAGATAATGAGGGCATATGAGAGAAAGTTCGAGGCTTGAGGCTTGGTGAAACCACCGTTTTCGACAACATAGTTGATGAAGAAAGCGCCGATTGTTACCTGAGTTCCACAAGTTAGTACAAACTCAAATTCGGAGGGATGACTTGTGAAAATTGTAAGAAAATGAAAAACGTACCTGAGCACCGACATAACAGAACTGAGCGACGAATGCGAAGATCATGTTATACTGCTTGTACAATGGACCCTGACCGATTGGATTGCCATGCTCGTCAATAGCCTGAATCTCAATATTGGCGTTCTCAGCAAGTGTCGCTTCAGAAACCTCGGGAAGCTTGGTGAAGATGAAGAGGACCGCAACGGCGGCGCCAAGACATGCGACTGCGAGATAGACGTATTGCACGTTCGTCAAGTTGTTTGCGTTCTCTCCTGTAAAGAAAAACTTCGATGCAATCAATGGGCCAACGAATGAAGCGACACCGTTCCATGACTGACAGAATTGGAGACGGATAGAGGCAGATGCTGGGTCACCAATAATGACAGCGTAGGAGTTTGCCGATGTCTCGAGAGTTGCCAAACCGCATGCGATCACAAAGGTACAGGCGAGGAAACCACCGTATGAGGCGAGTTTGTTATCAGCGGTCGTGAAGTGTGCTGTGGGCCAGAAGAAGACGGCGCCGAGAGAGTAGAGGGTCAATCCCATGAGGATGGTGGTCTTGTAGCCACGACGCTTGAGGACTTCGGCTGCGATAGGCGAGAAAAAGAAATATCTAAAAGGCCATCAGTTGAGTCCAGAAATTCAGGCGTAGAGTTACGACTGACCCTCCACCAAAGTACATGACCTGCAGACCAGTCGATTGCAACTTGGTAATGCTGAGTACAGCCTGGAAATGGGAGTTCAAGACATCGAGAAGACCGTAGGAGAAACCCCAGAGGAAGAAAAGGAGAGTGATCAGGAAGACGGGGTAGATCAGAGCTCGGCCTTTCAAGAAACCTCCCTCGATCGTCCCTCCCGTCGATATCATAGCTCCTCCTGCCATGGTGAAGGTTGCTGTAGAGATTTGGTTGCGGTGTTTTCGAAGCTCCGAAGACCTTTTGCTCTGGTAATACAGATGCTGGAACGATTTTGGGAGCTCGGGGAAAGGATGCAGATGAGCTATGTGATGATTGACTTCTGGGACGGGAAGATACCCTTCCTTCTTATACAGACGATCATGAAAGTTCAGAGCTGTATGAGCTGCCTCATAGCTCCTCCTTCCATAGCTTCCCCTCCTGCTACCCATCCCTTTCTCAGCAATAGTGCGAATCATAGCCCTGCATGGCTTTTGGCCTCCCACTACCACCAAGTCTGAGGGTCCATCTAACCCTCCGGACCACTAGATCAAAACATCACAGCACCAACCACGGTACCAACCTATCCAACGCACTGGATCATCAAACACCGTCAAATCCCCAGGCCAGTAGCATGCCCATGGCCATCCGCAACCACTCAAGCCATGCAGCCACCCTCGAGCCACCCCAGTACTGAAGCCAGCACGATGATGTCCTCAACCAAAATTGATTACACGCTACGACATTCCAGTCGTAGCTCGGCAGTCCAGATGCTGATTGTTGAGCTAGAGGCTGAGATCTTCCAATCATGTCCTTTCCCAATTCAAGACTTTTCAAGCATCCAGCATTCTCAGCATTCCCATTTGACGGTACGAACTAGTTTTTGCGCTCCAGACCGCATGAGGTCCGCATGGACGTGATGGGTGTGGAGATGCGGGGTATCCGCAGTAGCGTGCCCAGGCTGGTGGCCGAGCGAGCATTTAAGCGGGAGCCACGATTGGTCGTGCTCAAGGTGGACAGTGACAACAGTGATATCCACTCCATGCTAGGGCTGGCAGCCTCTGCTGTTTTTCTCTCATCTAGAACTCCAAGGGCAGCAAATTCTCGCAGAAAACAATGATAATGCTCCGAGTAAGCACCGTGAAATCAAGCCCCTTACAGCGTCTGGAAGGAATCTAGAAGCCCAGCCCTATGCACAAGTCAGGGCCCCTTAGCGCCCCCATTCTCGCCTTCTCCGACAAAGCCCTTGATATCATTTATGTTGAGATAATGATGCATTGTGCATTCCATTTGTTACCAGAAAACAAAATATTCATGCAAATCTACACTGTCTGAAAATGATCGCCTTCTTTTCTGGCAAGTGAATGGTAAGAGGACGATAACCGAAACTCTCTTTTCAACAACCCGCCCTTCAAACCGATAATATGCATGGAAATCAAGACATCGAAGTGGTCACGCGGTATCATGTGTGAACCATATTGAGCTTTGGCTGCAGCAAGGCGCGTGCCGAGGTGAGGGAGCAACTGTAGCGGGCAGTTCTCTGGTACTAAAGGTGCTTGATGGACCAGTAGCGAGAAGGCTACAGGAGTAGTGTGAGGGAGGCTGATCGCGGCTCGGCTGGGATCACCTTTTGGCCTAGAATTCAACGATATCTCTCCTATTATGACTTGGCTTGGCAGCAAGTGACTTTGAAGAGTTGTGTCCATGACTTGCTGAAAAGTGACGATCTCGGATTACGGATCCGTACCATCTTTATGTTTTAATACACGCTTTGTTAGCTTTAAGATCTCCAGCGCTTCGAAGCCCCTCGTCCAAGGCTTCAACCCAATTTCAGGTGATGATAATGCTGTTGTATCGCTGCATCCGGATACCTGGTTCCGGCAAAAGGAAAGACTGCCGAAGCTAACCCAGGGCGGAAGGACTAAGAGTCGCAGGTCATGAATCATAACAAAAGAGATCTAAGACCCTTTCCAAACTATCAACCATCCGGACTCATCCAGGTGATCGTATTTTTTTAGCCAAGCCGAGTTTTGACCTGTGTCAGAGGCTTCCGCATTTGGAACATATAAGTCAGATCACTGACTCGAAGGAATATACGTGGAACATCAACACGACCGACCAATCAATAACGACGACAGCTCAGCTGCAAATTTGCCGAATAATTGGTTCCCAAAACGTGTTTGCATTGATTGCGACATACAAACGAGCACATAGAAGACAAGAAATCCAAGGCCTCTGAAGGGCTCGGTACAGCGAAGCGAAGCGAGTCAAAACATCAACAAGCATGTCCGTCTACCTCCCTCGAAAAGTACACAACTTCACTCTCTTCCCACACAGAGATTGTAATTGGTTTCGTCCAATTTCCTTGTCGTGGGCCAATCATCTAGCACTTCCTCGCAGCAACACCAACACAGATGATACCCTCGATGCATGCCCACGGTGGGGTGCCTTGGGTAGCGCACTGAACATACTGTTCAAACATCATCAGCCCATATTCAAATGTATTGAAGTGCAAAGAGAGAAACTTACATCATCACCACATCTCCACATAGAGCTGGCACCAACACAGTAGATATAATCCCAAGCTCTCTTTCCCCACTTGGCGATCAACTTTGCGAACTTGATGGCCAAGCGCCACTTAGATTGACGTCTAGCGAGATCAGAGTCATCGTCGTCTGCGAGAGAGACCTCAGAGCCATCAATGTCGTAGAATGTGGCTATTTGTATCGTTAGCAATATATACAGGGAAAAATGAAAGGTTTTGGTGATTCGTCGATGTTGAAGGTTTGGATGGATGGTGATATCAAGTAGAGTGGACTGAGTGTGACATACCTCCATTGTCAGTCTCGATAGCATATCCCTCCAATGCACCATTGTCGTAGAAGTCGATTCTGCGACGGCCATCAGGAAGTTGGTATGCGATGAGATCTTCCGTGCTTGGAGACTGGTCATCACGAGCAGTGAGGGCACGAGTATCGATGACGGATGCGTAGACGATGTTGCTGAAGAGGGCAACGAGGAGAGCTTGAATGATGGTGGAGTACTTCATTTTGAGGTTGAGGGGTGGACAATGCAGTTCTCGATTGTGTTTGTGGGAGAAGTGAAGTGATATGTGGTAGACGATGTTTTGTATTGGTGATGAGAATGAAGAAGGTGTTGTTGCTGATGAGAAGTTGATATCGACGGTGGAAACAGGTCTTCTTATACTTTTCCCCACGCAGTAACTCCATCCATTCCCACAACCTTCATCTCTCCATCTCCTAATCCGGCTGCAGAGTCTGCATCCATCGTCCATCTTCCAAGCATTGTATTTCCCTGAATAGGTTCATGATTATCTTTGGATACGGGTCATTACTTGAAGATTTGCGCTTTCTGGAACACCTCAGAGCTGAAATTTTGAGGGCATCCTGCCTTGCCAAGGCCCTCCGTCTGTAACTCGATACTTTTTTCGCGAATCCTTCATACCATTCAATGCTGGAAAAACCACTCGACTGCTCAAATTCTGCACGAGGGGAGGATGCCAAGGTAGAAAGGAATGTGCAAACATGCAAATCGAAGTGAACTTGAAGCGATGTTGTGCCTGTAGGATTGTCCCGTGCTGCGAAGAAAGGGGCCGGCGGCTCCTGGCATTCAGCTCGGGATGCACATCGGCAGAACTTACCGACACGGAAATACAACAATAGGAACGGGTAAAATAGCGGTGCCTGTAGATAAGGCAAATTCCCGAATCGCTTAAAAGTCGCAACGAATAGAATTGTTTCGTTTCGGCGTGACAGACAGGTACGATCGTCTAAATGCCCCTCCTTGAATGCCCAAGATCTACAGACAAGAAGACCCCTCGTGAGGCTGAAGCAACGGTTTGTATTCCAAGAGCCTAAACAACATGTCATGCACAAACACGAGGCAGAATTTTGAGAGCTGGAAGGGAATACGAAATGTAAACGAATTAGACTGTCAATTCAGATTCCCTGATCGTCTGGTTCCCCCCCAGATCTCCAGATCAACAATTTAGCAGACCCCTCACGAGGCTGTAACAGAGCAAGGAGCCTAATTATAAAAACCGCGTGCTTGGTATGCTGTCCATCCATTCCAATGCTGCGCAGGATGCTGCGCTAGTCTCGCTTCCCCTGAAAGCTTAGCGAATCAGATGTGGAGACCCCGCGAAGCCAAGCGGCGATGGATGGGTTGCCGAGAATTTATGTTGTGCTCAGCCTTCGCGAGAGTGGGATATACCCGTGAGCCCAGAGTTTGAAGGAACGATTTGCTTCTTTGAATAGAGTCGATTTATTTTTGATCGGTACTTTTGTTTTGGTGAGGCTGTTTGGCAGAGGGTAGTTGATCAGGAAAAACATTGCAGCGCGTAACTTTAGGAGAAGACGATCTATTTCAGGGAAGCAATTCAGGGCGATGCCTTGATTTCCTTGAAATTTGATCCTAGGTTCTATTGCAACTGCGAGATCCTAGATTTCGTCGAAATTATGCCTCCCGCATGAACTCATATTCTGGATAACAACTGAAAATCAAGTTCATATCTTTGAAACTGGAAATACAATTCCAGCAGCATGCGGCTGTTCAACTCTTCAACAAAGCCACTGCATTGCCAACCAAATGAAAGTTTTTGTATTAGAAGACGACCTCCTATAACCTATCGTCTCCTCATTTATCAATTCCAACCCCTCGAACAGTGCTGTGATCACTCGCAAATCCCCATCTCTAGAAAGATCCAACCCAAGGATTATAGTTGGTACAACCATTTGATAGACTAGTCGATGGATTAATAGCCTTGCCAGTCCCGCTGCCTGTAGTCACTCCATTTCTCACAACCCAGAATTTCGGTACGCCGGTCTGACCACAGAAACACTGACTCCAATGTGTAAGTCCAGCCCCAAAGTTGTGGATGATTACAGGATTACTTCCAATCTGTACGTGGACCGCTGCAGGGCTTTTAAGCAGTGCCGACGCAAATATGCCGTCGTAGAGTATGGCATTAGGCGAGATCTGTTGTTCACCATGACCAGCGTCATTGCCAACAACACCGCAGGTACCACCTCCTCCCAAAGGCGCGTTGCGATACCAATACTGCATTTGGTCTCGAGTAATAGTGAAACTGCTGCCTTTGTATTTGGCAATATAATATGGAAGAAAGTCGAGCCAGCTCTCATGTGACTGGCCATCGACGTATATTCCCGAGCCGGCTGGAATCTCGTTCGCTGATCGCACAGGCCCGACGTAATGAGATTCGCCAAAATCATTCCAAGAGATAATTCTGTCAGTATCAGGTCAGCAAGATCCGTGACTAACACACACTTTGGATTACGAACTGCACAAATGTGGGAGCAAAGCTGATAACTTGAGCCCAACGATCAGCCCAAGAATCGTCGCCTCTCCATACCCATCTATTCCCTCCATTTGCCGAACGAAAGAACCAAGGAGATACAGGCATCATGTAGCTCTTTGCTCCAAGCATATTCCTCCACTGGACATCTCCAGCAGTGTTGATGTTTGTGGCTCCAGTGGGCCAAGCGTCCCAATTGAACGCACCTTCAACTTTACCTAGATGCTGTGCGAATCCTCCTGGACCAAGACTAGACCACTACATAGATGAAGATTAGCATGAATCTTGTATGCAGCTTTGGGAAAGCGGAGTTGATGAAAAAACTCATGCTGGGTGGACTGAAGAGAAACATCTGGTAATACTTACATCGGGTACGAAATAAATCCCGCCGACATTGTTTCGTATGACGCCTCCATAGGCCCAAGCGTCGATATCACTAGTACCTTCGAACGTTGATGCCATTGGAAGACCATTGAATCGGAAGTAAGCTGGGCTGTTTTTATACTGATTCAAGTAAGACACAACAGACCTGGCTCCTGTCGAGGGCCATCTGGTACCTCCGCCAAGATAGTCGAACGAGAAGAATAATTTGAATCCAGAGCCAGCAGCTTCGGCAGCAGCAAATGCATTGGCAACCTGACCGTAGATATTGGGATCAGGATATCCCATATTGAGTACGAAAGCATCGATTCCGGTGTTTCGAGCTAAGGTAATGTCTGCGGCCCATGTTGCTTGAGTATGAGCTGCGGTGTTGCCGACTATCATATGTGCGAAAACATATCTCTGCGCCAGCACGGTTGGAAACAGAAAGCCAAAAATGGCACAGCCTTGAAGAAGAAACCTCATGGCTATCTTGTGTTGCCTGAAGAAAGCAAATGTGAATTGACGAAATAGAGGACAATTGAAATACTTTATCGTTGGATGAACGAAACAGGTACTCGAACCTACAACCCCCAACTGGAGACTTAAACGGTCCAGTGTGGGAGACCTACCACTTGATGCAGTTACCTCCGAAACTTGATGCACAAAATCAATAAAGTAGCGACCACGTCATGATTACTAGTGCAGCACCTAACCTGATGTTCGAGCTTTTGCATCAACAGTACATAAAATATAGAAAATGATGCCACTTCGATTGGGCACTCGGACTTACTTACCAATTCGCCGAAGCGTAAGAACATCTGATCATTGCGTCCGGTGCAACCTATTCACTTTCGGTATACGAATTGCCTCGTTCGCTTACTAAGAAATGTCCCGACGTTACTAAATGGACCACCTGCATATTTTGGATGCAGTGCACTCAATGAAGAAGGTGTCTTTGCATACCTTCGCCGTGGAGATGCAGAGCCGTATAGAGGATAGCAAGTCTTTTGGGCTCCTACCATATGCGCATAGAATGGATCTCTGAGTGTACGTCTCAAAACCAAGTGCGGCGTGGGTGCGGGGTAATTTCCTCGGATTTGATACTTGGCCATCTCAATCTTCTAGCTTGACGAACCAACCTACGTCCTCAAACTTCTTTCTTTCATCGATCTTTCGTCCCCCTCACCAAGCTATATCATCGTAGCTAGCTAAGCAATGTCCACTCACTTCATGCGACATGGCATTTACTGGATAACTATACAACGGCATGGTTCTGGGTATTTGTTTACAGTGCCAAGAGCTGCGAGTTAAGCGAACCGTCAGTTGCCGACCCGGACAATCATCAAGCAGTCGAAGGAAATCGAGCAACGCCCCTGATGAGACAAACCACCTCGGTTACATAGTAACTGGACTGCGCTTTTCCACGCTATCCAATAATTGGCACTTCTTCCTGAGTGAGATGTATGTTCAGAGCCTGTATATGTCGCGATCATCATTCCCGGAATCTCGCTTCATTTTGACGACAGACGGAGAAGAATCTCCTTTGATAAAATACGAGATCGTATGTAAGCATTCAAGATAGAACAGATCTCGGACGGACTAGCACCGCCGATACTCTTCGGAACCCTACACCCCTCCGAACCCGCCCACAACATAGAAGTACTTTTCACCCGAGGCAACTACGTTAACACATAAACGTGAGACAAGACGATCCAAATCCCTAGCCAACTCACCATGACACATTGAAAGTCCAAACTCTGTCTAGCAGTTCTGAAGCCCACTCAACTATCTTTGTGTACTCTTTAACAACCCCTCTCGCCAAATCACCAAATCGTACCTCCCCAGCATCAGCATCAAAGCACTTCTCCAACAACGTCTCATCGCACAGGTCACACACAATTCTTCCTCTCATATCACAAAACCTTCCCTCGACAAATGAGACAAAGTGAAGCCCGGCTGATGTCGGGCTTTCGCAGAGCTCAACAGCAGAATGTGTTGCAATATGACTCTTGACGAGACGAGTGTCGTCGACCAGACCGCGGATCGTGGATCGGACCACTTTTGGTTCCCTGGAGGTAGAGCGTGTGCTGGGATTGTCGGCGCTGCTAGTTGGGTAGGCAACTGCGTTGCGTTTACGGGTCCAGAAAACCATAGTGTTAGGGTCGTTGCCCGTGTAGGTATTGAAAAGCGGTGCATTGTCGCAAAAGCTGGGGTGTGTTAATTGAACTTAATTCTCTAATCTGGATTGCAGAACTTACTATTGACTGTCGCTTTCGTAGCCTTCGCCCTTGTCATTCAATTCGGGGAAGTGAAATCGGAATGCCGTCACTGGTGTTGGATCATGATTACGCTGGCTGTGGATTCTAATATGTGCCTCTTCTATGCCTAGCAAAGGAGCTTGAATTTGGCTCTCAGGTCTATTTGGATCGGTGACTGACCTCATCAAGCATTACTTTAGCCGACGACAACAACGTCGTTTTCGAACCTAACCGCACGGATAATCTCTCGCCAGCCTGTGGCGATATCCTCGGTGCTCAGTGTAGTCTGAACCTTGGAACTGACTTGGTTTCAAGCGCTATCGAGCTTGCCAAAGAGCCCGCCAATCAAGCTACAACCTGCTCATCAATCGCGTCAGCAGTTCAGTCAAACTTCCCAAGCAGCTGTACCATCGCTTCACCACAAGTTCACGGATTCCCTCTCACGGGTGCTGGTGCAGCTGAGCCACTGAGCTCCTCTGAGAACAGCACCTCAAATTGCCACCCTACGATTCTACGGTCCAATCAGCTTACCCGCGTGGCGTCGTACAAGATCTCGGCATCTGTGTATTACAACGAAACTGCCCCTGCCACTCTAGGAGAGACACCTGTCATGTCGTTGTTTTTGATGCAGGATGGCACGAACTTGTCAACGATTGAGAGCCCCAGTGTGAATTTCCAGTGTTTATTTGCCAGCGCCATGACCACCGTGGGAAACAACACAATGACGAACAATGGTACGGACGATGATACCAGTGGCGCTGGGAAGCGATTGGGTGCTACATTTGGCATTTTGAGTACCGTTGCACTTGCGGCGGTTGTGTTTGCTTCTGTCATTTTTTAGAGGGTGATGCACTTGCTTTTTCTTCTCCGCATTGCTTTGTACGATAGTTGTGGGAAAGAATTAACAATGCGTCGGGTTGTAGAAGACAGAAAACCACGGATTAAGCATGCGACCTAGTATTTTCTTCTGAAAACTGTTGTTGCCGATCCATATATTGAACATAAAGAATTTCAAGATATTCAGGTTTTATGTTTACAGGCCGCAAGTGTACAAGCTTCGTGCGACGGAAATCCTTGGCCAGAACAGACGTACAAGCTTTCTTTCCTCAATATTTCGCTATTCTGCACTGAGCACTCCATTAGCTCTGAGTTATCATCCGTCGGCGCCTTCCTGATTTCCGACTTGTGCGCTGGTTGTCCCTTCCGGATTCAAGTTGTGTTCTGTTACACCGCTACTCGTCCCACCCAACGCCATTTTCCCAATGAAACAACCCTTTCCTTCGAGAACTAAGACACACTCACAACTGAGTATTCAAGGTTTTGCATCACCGAGCCACAATGCCTCTCTATAACGAGCTTCCTGAAGGTCTCATAGACTTCGACATCATCATCGCTGGAGGTACGAACTCATGTTACGAACCTTGGATCACTAAGGTAGCTAACAGTTCAAGGTGGAACAGCAGGGTGCGTCGTCGCTGGCAGACTTACTACAGCAGATCCAAATTTGGAGATACTCGTTATCGAAGGAGGCCCAAACAACTTCCATGATCCCAGAATTGTGAATCCAGGGGTTGCACTCCACAACATCTTCCCCGGCAGCACAACGGCAAGGTTCTGGCAAGGGGAGAAGTCCGAGCATCTGGCTGGCAGAGCGCCCGTAGTTCAGAGTGGTGGTATTTTGGGCGGAGGTTCATCTATCAATTACATGATGTAGGCATCAGACTCAGAGTGCGGGTACCAATTTTGACGTTTGCAGGTATACGAGGGCCCAAGGATGTGATTTTGATTCTTGGAAGACGCCTGGATGGAATTCGAAGGAGATGATACCGTATCTGATAAAAGTCCACGAATCACTCCTCTTTATGATGAGATGGTATGCTAACTTGTACAGCTTGAAACTTATCACGGCGCAGGTAATCCAAAACTGCATGGTTTCGAGGGTCCCGTTCATGTCTCAGATGGAGGATATCGGGAGAAGATATCGGAGGAAGACTTCATAATTGCTGCAGCGAAAATAGGATATCCTGAGATCATGGACCTGCAAGACTTCGAATCATGCAATGGAGTAGGCCGCTGGTTGCGATATGTCTCACCGGAAGGCAAACGGCAAGATTCGGCCCACACGTATTTGCATCCACTTCTCAACGACGGGCAACACCGGAACCTTCATGTGCTTGTGGAGTCTACAGCTATCCGGGTTCTATTTGATCCAGACAAGAAAGCAAATGGGCTCGAGTTCATTTCCAGCCCAGCATCTCACGATGAGGTCAAAGTCACGCCGAGGATCGTCAAGGCTAGAAAGCTCGTTGTACTCTCAGCCGGAGCATGCGGTAGTCCTCTGATTCTAGAACGATCAGGAGTCGGCTGTCCGAAGATCCTTGAACAAGCATCAGTTCCAATTATTGCTGGTATTCCTGGAGTTGGTAATAACTATCAAGACCACACCGGAGTTTTCCCTGGATACAAGACTTCTCTCGAACTGCACCAAACGAACAATGCTCTCCTTTGCGGCACTCAGACACTAGATGATGCGATTGAACAAGGTAATCCGAATGTGCGATGGAACATGGTTGATGTCGCGGCAAAGATCCGCCCATCTGCGGCTGAAGTCGCCATGTTAGGACCGGACTTCAAGGCTGCATGGGAGAAAGACTTCAAGAAAGAGCCTTCCAAGCCACTTGGACTCTTTGCTTTCATCGGAGGGTAAGTTACCTAAGCTTTAGATGAACCGTTACTGATTAAACGCAGATTCTTTGCTCCTGAGGAAGAAAGACTCGCTGGAGAGTTGATATGTGTCGCAAGCTACAGCGCATATCCGTATTCTCGGGGCAGCATCCACATCACAGGCCCAAATATCTCCGACCCACCAACATTCAACACTGGGTACCTCTCTGACGAACAAGAATTTGACCTGAAAGCACACGTATGGCAGTACAAGAAGCAACGTGAGATCATGCGCCGAACCAAAATGTACCGCGGCGAGCTCGCCACCGCGCACCCCAAGTTCCCTGCCGGTTCCAATGCAGCTCTCGTAGATCTCGACATCGCCGAAGAAGCCAACATCACTGAAGACATCGCCTACTCACCCGACGATGACAAAGCCATCGAACAGTTCCTCCGCGAGAGCATCAACAGCGTTTGGCACTCACTTGGCACAGCAAAGATGGCGCCAAGAGAGGAGATGGGAGTCGTGGATGGGAGTCTGGGTGTTTACGGGGTAAAAGGGTTGAAGGTGATAGACTTGAGTATTGTGCCGGAGAATGTAGGTGCTAATACCAATAATACTGCACTGGTCATTGGTGAGAAAGGGGCGGATGTAATTGCGGGAGAGTTGGGATTGGTAAACTTTTGAGGTAAGTGGATACGAAAGAAGGGCAGCTTTCGAGTAAAAATAATCAAGCAAGTTTTAGAGAACACAAGAATTCTTCTGAACTCTTTTGATATATTTGCAGCCTTTGAGCAAGTCTTGACTTTACTCAACTTGTGTTTACTGTGAGACTGTGAGACTGTGAAGTGATCTCAGCTGTAGGTCTGCCAGATCCCTAAAATGTACCCCGCATTACCCCGCACCTAACTGAAAACCGCTGAAGCGAAACATGGAGACAACAGGAGAGACCATTCATAATTTTGGCATATGGGCATTACCATGGACATGTTTGATATCGAGATTCTAGGTTATGTCAGTTAACGTTAACAAACTATTTGGAAGCTTTAATGATCATCTCAGCAGCCATCTCCGCAATACCATAAACAGCAGTCTGTAAATGCGCCGAAATCAGCACTGGCATGATACTTGCGTCCACCACCCTCAAATTTGTCGTTCCATAAAGCTTCAACTTCGAATCAACAACACCCCCATCCTTCTTCGGCAGCATCGAGCACGTCCCGACAGGATGATAAATAGTCAAAGTAGTATTCAGCACAAAATCCCTCCACTCCGCATCCGTGTTGACTCTATCAAGACCGGGCTCATATTCCGATACCCAGACGTCGCGCATTGGAGGCGTCTGCATAATCTGTCGACATTTCTTGACTGCTGCGATGGCGGCTTGCACGTCGTGTTCATTGCTGAGGTAGTTGGGGTCGATGATGGGTTTTCCTAGAGGATCGCTGGCGTTGATGTGCACGTTGCCCCGGCTGAGCGGGTGCATGACAACAGCGATATTGGTCCAGAAGCCTTTTCCATACAGTGGAGTACCCGGTGCTGGGTAGCCTTTGAGACCTGTGTAGCCGTCACTGCCGATGACTTCAAGCTGGGGTACTGTTTGGTCTGAAAGCCATTCTAACATTTTCTTGTCGGCAGGATGAGATGCGTTCCCGACTGCGGCCTGGGCTAGTTCGATGAACTTAGAGTTGTCTTCTCCTGCTTGGGTCCAGGTCTGGAAAGTGTAGGCGCTACCGGTGTAGTCGTAGAGTGAGTATTTCCCGTCAACCCAGAGCTGAAGCTGTTCGGCTGCGTAGGTGGCGTTGTATCTGAGGATGTCAAACGAAACGAAATTGTCTTTCAGTTGATACGAAGTCTGGATACGGATGTGGTCTTGCAGATTCTCTCCGACAGAAGGGAGATCGATGAGCTGAGTAATGCCAGCTGCGTCAAGGACAGATTTCTTGCCGATGCCAGACACTTCGAGAAGACCAGGACTTTGGAACGATCCTGCAGAAAGAATGACCTCACGGCTTGCACTAATCACAGTTCCATCCGTCAAAGTGACTCCAGTCGCAGTGTAGCTCTGCCTGACTTTCTTGAGATTAATCTTTGCCACCCTCGTATTTGTCAGAACGGTATGTTTAGGACCAGCGAGAGGAAGATATTCATTTGCACTGTACGAGCGATTGTAGTGCGTAGGATCAAGACTTCCAGGCGAATAGGAAACACCAAGAAGATTTCCACCAAGATACTCCTTGTTCGTCTCAACTCCCAAAGCATTCAAAGCTGGCACCCATCCTGCTTGCTGAGCTGGGATGAATCTATTGATAGTGCCGTGAATGGGGCCTTTAGTGCTGACCCCAGCATCGCCATACCACTCCGTATTTGCACTCGTGAAATTCTGAGAGCGATTCATCATTTTCAGGAAATTCTTCCAGCTCCATCCTGGATTGCCGACTTCTTCCCAGCTGTTGTACTCATTTTCAGAGGAGCGATCGTAGGTCATAAGATTCAAGGCGGATGAACCTCCAAGCACCTTTCCACGATTTTGGGGAAGCACCCTCCTTTTCAATCCTTCTTGGGGAGTGGTGGTGAAGTTCCAGTCATATTTTGTGCCGAGTGTTGAGCCTTTTTTGCCGGGGATGTTGATGTTAAGTTCGTCTTGCGCTGCTGGACCTGCTTCGATGACGACAATTTTCAATTTGGGAAGACCTTGACTGAGCCGGGTTGAGAGTGCGAGGCCGGCCGTTCCTCCACCTACGATGATCTTCATTCTATTTAATTAACAGTTGGCTGGGAAAGGTTGTTTTACTCACGTAATCGTAGACTTCTGGATTTCCTGTAACCCCACAAGAGGACAGAGCGGCAACCAAAAATACACTGAGAAAAGATGAAATCATTTTGACTTAGACACTCGAAAACGAGGGTAACAATTTCGAATCGCCGCACAAATTGTGGAACCTCCGGGAGCAAAGGAACTCACGTCGCTCGAATGGAAGAATTTTAGAGCGGTTCGCCATAGCTTTATATATCATGCATCGTAGACTAAGAAGTGCAATTCTGGCAGAATGCAAAAGGCCTGTCAGATCTCGATAGTCCGAGGAGGTTTGTCCAATTATCAATGACAATTCTAGCCCTACTGCAGTCAGCCTCCCCGGTAAAGCACATCTTACAGGGGAGCTTGAAAACTTTCTTCCTGGAGATATTCGGTAGTAGGAAATTGATATAACGTTCCAGGAATAGTTGCATTGGCAGCGGAGGCGGTCTCGAGGCGGTGAAATGCTGATCCGTGATTTCAGTGTATTGGATTGGATGCCGATGCGGGGTTGGAGCATTCATGGATGTAATTTGTCCTGCATGATGCCTGCTCGGGCCGTCCCCAGTTCCTGCACGAATACAGAAATGGGTGTATTTCCGGTTCGGTACCAGATAATGTATTCTTACTGCCAAAACGAGTGGTCATCATCCTCAGATGGACCCGACATTGGGTCCAGTGTCGTCTTGGCATCCGAGATTTGTGGGTGCTTGTCAATATCAGAACAGGAGCTGGCAGTGTACAAATGTCGGCCCGCTCGTAGGATGTAAAAAGATAGGCCGGTGGTATTATCCTAGGATTGGAAATAAGTACTTTACAGCATCAATTCGATCACTACACCAGCTCGTTGAGTCGCCCCTATATTCAAGTCCACTTTCATCGCCAGCTGATCTGTGCCACATCAAATCCGCACCCAGATGCTGTCAAGGTTGAACCTTCGCTCCATCAGCTCTCAAAAAAAAGTAGAACATTTCTGTCCAAGAGGACCAAGTCAGTTGCCAACTGATGAATTAAGCTTAGGCAATAGAACTCTTGAAGAGATTTTGACTTCCGATTTGGCGGAATATCATAGTGCTCTTTGGTAGTTCAGGTATTTTTGCTGTTCTACAAGTGTATGTCAGCAGGCTTCTTATTGCTGAGCGACTCCCTAAAATCAGGAGCGCGCTGCTCTATCACGGTGATTTCCAGTTAAGTGCGGGGTAATGCGGGGTAATTTCAGCACACTTGCGACCGAGGACTCGTCACTTTCTAAGACAATACACAACTGTTCACACAGAATTATGATATCTGCTTCTACGATTCAATTGATCTATCTTTATAGTTAAAGTATGATCTAACAAATTCAACTGCCTTGTAACAAGTGATAATATACCTATCTGTAATCGTGATTTCAGGAGCATTCAATTAAGTTATTATTGTACAGCAAGTGAGGAAAGACAGGCAGAGTTACCCTGAATCTCAATTAATAAGCTGCTGATAGTTATATATTCTCCCAAAACACTGCCTGTGATCATTACGGCCTTTACATACTAACCTCAAACCGGTTATCATTTAGCTGGAATGTTGTAATTAAGGAGTTTGGCAAGGACATTTCCAGATCACATCCAATCAAATTCCCTTTCGCATTTTTAAACTCCAAAACAATCTGTTCGGCCATTAACTTCTCCTTTTCCTTTTTCACTGCGAGATCAAAGGGTGTCTAAAGAATGGCAATCCCAAGGTCAACCACGAAGCATGTCCATCCAGCTAAGCGAGAAATGGGTAAACAAATGAACAAAGTCAGTAGATGCGACAGTCAAAACAGCTGCAAACTATCTGGTAGTGTGGAAACTTCAAGTTTTAGTCAAATTGAATTCTGCGATACATATTGCCACAGCTGAGAATTGTAGCACGCCAGTTGAGTCTATATCAGAAGCAGAAGGTCGAAGCAAACGGAAGAAGGAAACAAAGAATGCGCCAGCAGTGTCCGGGGAACCAGAATCCGAAACAATCTAGCAAACTTTAACTCTTTATGTGAAAATCTTTATCCGCAATATCTAGCATTTCCATCAGGACCATTCCCACCAGTCGGGCATGGATGAAACACATTAACACTTGAGCCATGTCCATCCGTTTGCAAAACCCACTTGCTTGTATCTACGGTAGACGATCCGATTGGTAGTTTCCAGGTATATCTCGAGCCAATCTGCTGGAATTGGGCATCGTCAATTTGATCCCATGAATAGGGAGCGTCTTTTCCAGGTTCAATGACACCTGTATACTTATAAAGTCTCTTGTCATCAACAAGAAAGTGATTGCAAACGAAGTGGCCCTGATTAAAATTGATTGGCCATCCAGCTGGGCAGCTATCCTCTACATTCCAGATGAACAGACGTATGATGCCGTATGGGAAGGCGATTGTTGCGGAGAACGTCGTTGTTGATGGTGTGACTGTGACTGCGATGTCGAAGACATATTGGCCTGAGACTGGGGTGCTCACTGTCATAGCAGTGACGGTATTTGACTTCGAAGATTCCACGCCTTTTCCTCCAATAGCTGCAACTTGGAAAGCTAATCCTGAAGTCCCGGGTGTTAGACCTGGAATTGTAACACGCGTCAACTGTCCTGGTAAAGTGGCCACCACAGCATCATTGAGATAGATATTGTAACTTAAAGCCCCCGCAGCAGGCGTCCAACTTAAATTGACAAACGTATACTCGGAAAAGTCGACCTTCAGACCAGTTGGCGTAGCAGCCGCCGGACCATCCGGGAATGGAGCTGGACCAGGTATGGCTGGAGTACTCCCAGTCACCGAGTTGATCAGAGTCTGCATGTAAGTGTCGTCAGGAAGGTTATCGTAGGGGTTCCGAAGAACATCGTTCGTTGTTTGTATCATTCCAGCACCACGTGCTCTTGACAGTGCAACGACCTCCTCAATTCTCTCTTGAGGGACATCGAAGACAATATGCCAGAGCTTGCGATTGTCTTTAGGAATCCAGTCATTGTCGACAAATTTCTGAGTGTAGTTACTGTAGTCGTTTTCAAATGTCAACAGGGTGTCGGCGCTGTTCTCCAAGCATTGCGGCATTGTTGCTCCAGGATTCAGAATTATGTATGAGCCAGAACTGTTGGTAAAAAAGAATCGTTAGTCATTTTGAGGATGTACCAATCTGAGAAGATGGTAAAGGTGAATGCTTACTATTTTCGTTTCGTGTACTCTGTGACGGTCGTGTAGGCTTCAGCATAGATATTTTTTAGATCATCCGTCCCTTCACCACAGAAATTCCAACCCTCATCGAGGAAAATACCGCCAATCTCCGGATATAATGCGTACCACGCATCAATATCCCGTTCAATCTGGGCAATCCAGTCGGGGAGCTCATCAGAATTAAGGCGCGTTGAGAATTTGAGGTCGCCTTTGCCTTTGCTAAAGAATCCAGTGCGCACATATCCAAGCACGCGCTTTCTAGAGGCAGTAGCATTGTGGATGGCATCCATCCAAGCTCTGTTGACTTCCGTGTCCGGTCCTGTAGCAACGTTGGCGACTAATACGCTTATTTTGTCTGTGGGGTAGGCAATAAGTCGCTCCCAATCTTTCTTGACGACGTTTGGATCGAAGTATGAAGCTACGGCGATTTGCTGCGCTGTAGCTGGTACTTGCCTGGTGTCCAGGCCAGAGCTTAACATACTGTCGGAGTGTTAGGTTAGCATCGCAAAAATCAAGATTACCTGAAATCTTTCTTCCGTTCGCGAGTCACACCGATTTCAAATTGCCTGCCGAAGATTTCAATCGAGGAAAAAGAAGGAAGAAGACTCACAGTTCCGAAGGAAGTGCCACTACGTGCAGTAGAAGGGCTGCTCCGACTAGAAGTCTGGAAAACATGGTTCAATAACCAAGGAAGATTGGAAGAAAGGAGAAGTGTTGGCTTGCTTGGAAAGAGGATGGTGGGAGTTTGGGTTGAGGTGAGTGAGTGTAACTGGAAGGGAAGAGCGATTATATAGCAATACCAGGAGCAACCTCAATCCTTGGCCGTGTAGAGTACTACGATGGGAGAAATTCTCTGCTTCTAGAAGCACAGTCTAGAACTACAACTACGAGAGGCAAAGCAGAATTCAAGCTCTATTAAACCTCAATTGACGAAGAGTTCATGACAAGAATGTCATAATGTAACCTTTTAGACGCAGCAACCTATGAGAAAAGAAAGTAGTGATATCATGTTTTAAGTCACCATAGCATTGATAAAGGCGTCAAACAAATGCAATTGGTCTGAATTCACGAGCCTCCTACCACGTGGTGGCACAGGGATTTCGTCACCAGGCGAAGTGGTTGATAAGATTGAAGATTATGAGACATCATGACCACGCTGACAGTTCTGGCCGGACACCACGGAAGAAATGGTACTGAAATTTCAATTGCATAAGACGGGTCGTCAAAATTCTCGTCACAAGATCCAAAAAAAGGAGCCGGCACCTTGTCGACGACAGATCTGACAAGTAATCGCAATACGGTCTTTGAAGTCATTCTTCAAACTGTGCAAATACAGATTTCAGTATCAAGAACGAGTTTAAATTAGCAAAAGTTCACTCTCAGGTAAAGAAATGACAAAAAGGATGGGTATACAGAAGTAGGAAGGCTTCCCTCTCGGCATTACTCGCATTATGTGGAATAGACCGAGAGGCACAGAAGTTTGGCGATCGGACTGCTCCTTGTGGTACTATTTGTTGTCACGCCCCTGGACAATCATTCTCTCGGCACAACTGTCCAGGGATGCTCTGGAAGAGTAGGGGTTCGATGTGCTGGCTAGAGGCGGCACTACGAAAGAGATGAACAAATCCTACAAGTAAGATAGTGTAGCATTTTGACTTGTTTAGTATTCGCTTAAAGTCAGAGAGCCGAAAAAGGATACCCGATCGTTTGGAGACGATGACACACACGACAGACGACGCAGGAACGCTATTCCAATCGCTTCGGCAGCACAGTCAGCGATGCAAGGTACCTGGCAGGGAGTGCTGATCAGGTGGAAGTGACGGAATAATTATGCAGCAATAAATGACGATGGACCGATTATCTACTGCCTACAGGAGCGACCACGACCTGGTCGTCGGAACACCGACTTTAGCGATAGCGAAGAGGTTGAAGGATGGGAGATACAAAACACGGTTTTTCGTGAAAAAAGGGGGCGAGTGAATTCTCGCTTACTTCGTTAGTATTTTAGCCTACATTGGCACCAAAATGCTTTACATGACGACAGTCATCCCCGCTGGCACCAGCACCCGCCTCAAAAAACCAGTGAAGCAAGACCCGTGAAAACTTCGAGTTTTTACATTATGTCACCGTCGTAAGTTTCTACACAGCTTCTCTGGTGAGCTTTTCGTCAGCTGACCATCTAGCAAGCTATGTGCTCGTTACAGGAGCCACCGGCTTCATCGGAGCTCATGTCGTTGACGTGTTACTTAATCGAGGCATCAAAGTCCGTGGAGCGACTCGCTCAATGCAGAAAGGAAATGCTATGATACAAGCTCGGCCGCAATTTGCTTCGCAGCTTGATTTCGTGCAGATCGAGGATTTCGAGAAGAGTGGGGTGTTTGAAGAAGCTGTCAAGGGTGTTGATGCTGTGATGCATGTTGCGAGTGTATGTTCTCATTATCAATTTTATAGGAAGCTGCTTACATCCATAAGCCTTTTACGTACGATACCACGGACAATGAGAAGGAGCTCATCCTCCCAGCCATCAATGGCGTCCGCTCAATTCTCGAAGCCGCAAGCAACAGCAACGTTCAGCGGATCGTGATCACATCATCCTTTGCAGCAGTCATAGACGTGAACCGAAAGGCGCCACCATACTTCACCTACACAGCCGAAGACTGGAATCCACTCACCTATGAGGAATCCATCGATCCAGAAACAAAGGCAGTCGTCGCGTACAGAGGATCCAAGAAATTCGCTGAGCTCGAAGCATGGAATCATATCAAGGAGAAGAAGCCTAATTTCGACATAGTGACTTTGTGCCCACCGATGACGTTTGGTCCGGTCATTCACCCTGTCGAAGGCGTTAGTAGCCTTAACGAGTCGAACAAGATGTTGTGGAACGTTGCGAGTGGGGAACCTCTGCCAGTCGCCAGAGTGCCGTTTTGGGTCGATGTGAGGGTTTTGGCGGCGGCTCATGTAGAGGCGCTGTTCCGACCCGAAGCTGGGAATAAGAGGTTCGTTGTTGCTTCTCCAGAGCGCTTTTCGTACTCGCTGGCTGGAGAGATCATCAGGGAGAATCTTCCTGGTCAGACTGGGAAAATATCACAAGAGGTGCAAACTGTTGATGATTCGCATGGACTTGATGGAAAGACTGCTTCCAAAATCCTTGGGATCACATATAGACCATTTACGGAGACGGTGGTTGAGCTGGTTTCACAGGCCATGAAGATGAATGCTGGCTGCGCTTGACGGGGTGAATGACGATTAGCTGTGTATAAAGACATAGAAAATGCAGGTAGTGGCCACCAGCCTCAAGAATCATCATAAAGACGAGGAAAGTAAAGTCTAAAAGGCATTGCACAATTTGGGAACTAGGTATCTTTTGTTGTAAATTTCCCGTTTGCTGAGGGAGCCAGAGTGGAACAAATGGGTTCTAGGCTCATTTGAAACACTTTCAAGAGGAGGCATCCAAACTCATCTCAGGATATAACTTCTTTCCATCCATCAATGCACTTTTCTTGCCCTTGAACACCATATCCATGAATGCATGCACATACGCAGTCATAACCTCCATCGCCCTTGCCCCACCAATTGTGCCCAAAAATTCCGCACCAGCATCACCCAACATCCCATCAAAACCAAGCGCATTGACAAGAACAGGAAAATCAGTAAAAGTTCCATGAGCACTGCCACTCAACTCGAACTGTCTCTTCCACCCAGTCAAGACCTTCCAAGTAGCAGTCCAGCTATCATCGGTCGTGATATTCTTACCTTCATGCGACAGAATCATGAAAGGTCGCTTAAGCCCTTTGTTGACAACGGTGCTGAAAAATGTCCCATCCAAATTGACACCGCCTAGGATCCGCTTGTCTTTCAGCATGGCTTGAGCGGATGTTGCGCCGCCGAGGGAGTGACCGAATATAGCGACTTTGGAGACATCGAGATCGCAGCCGACGCCTGGGAGGAGCTTTTGAGCGATAGAAGGTTGAGAGAGCTGGTTGAGTACGAATGAGACGTCCTGAGCTCGCACGTCCACGGCGAAATCGATGTTGTTTTCGACGTCAATTCCAAGGATCGTAGAGTTGTCTGGAAATGTAACAATGTCGGCGTCATATGGGTGATCGATGGTGATTACGGTATATCCGGCACTTGAGACTTGTTGGGCCATCACGCTGTAGCCGAGTCTCGAGTTTCCGGATCCTGGCGAGAAGACGACGATTGGGTAAGCTTTGGCGTTTCGAGGACTGGGCTTGCAAGTTTGGAGATCGATAGAACCGAATGTTCCTGCCGGAATGCCCAATGGTGCGTAGAGTGCGTCTTTCAATTCTGCGGTAATGGGATCCATGTATGGTGTGAGCAATGCAGAGCATTGCGATGCTGGGATAGGGTTGAATACTGAGATCATGAGAGTTCTTGGTGTCTTGGTAGGCGCGTAGGGATCGAGACGATGCTTATCGGTAAGTTTGAAAGTTACTAAAGTGGTGTTGTAAGGACCTGTTGGAGGAGGCAGAGAGATTGCTGCAGCTTGAAGAACACCGGCCAGGACGAGGCCGAATTTGGAAGCGGAGAAGAACATTGTGATCACGAAGGGGGTAGTGAAAGGAACAAGCCCGGATATGTTACAAACGTTCGAGAGTGATGTGATGGATGTGATGAGAAAGAATCGACTGGGTCTACCTTTTTATATATAACTAGCCCGATAGTCTCTATCCACAGTCGTAAGGAGGAGGACCTTGGCCCAAATTAGACATGTTTGAACTTTTTACGAACCCATCATCTCATTTAGATGAAAGTTCGGAAAGCATGTTTTGCGAAGTTATGCTTAATTGCGCCCGAAGGTTGCCATATGCGGGCTAGTGAAAGCTGAGTTGTGGAGTCGTTGGGAGTGCGCAGGAGCCAGGTATCCCGCGGATTAAGCGAGCTCAGCCCTGAAAGCCGTCTCCATGTTGTGCTGATGTGGGGCAAGAAGGTGATCTAGGATACGCCCTTTGAAGATCTTCGGCATTATGCCTAATTTCATGATGAATAATAAGCAACGGAGAGCGTTGGAGAGCGGATCGGCCCTGGCTTGAGTCATGTCAAAACTCGTCCCTCGTTCCTCGGCTACCTAGGTTGGCGAAGCGAGGGACAGAAAGTAAACATTGGCAGGGAGATTATGTTTGAACGACTGATAATATTCTATTGCAATCATTGATGGTGGAAACTAAATATTTGATATCATCGGATGGTAGAAGAGCTATACTATGATCAAAAAATAACAAGAAAATGGGAAAACTTGCAAGAGTGCATATCACGTGAGAATTGCGCTCGATTGTTGCCGAATGAGGCGTAGCGTCGTTGGCACCACATTTCCGGCCCACGACTTGGCATTATTCATCTCATCTCACAACAGGAACACAATGACAGAACAGCCACTAAGAGTGGATATCTGGATCAGTACGTGACCAATATGACTATCAACGTCGCCCAGGCATCCGCTTAGACTATGCAAAGAGGCTCAGCCGCAATCGTGGCATGCCCAGGCTTGATCTTTCTGTTGCGCTCAAATATTTCTTCATTCAGTCTTCATTCCGACTTCTCGGCAACGCACCTTTTCTCAGTATCATCCAATGGCGAGAAGCCGCCTTGAGGTCACGATCACACCAGTCCCTGGAGACTATCATCAATCCCAATATGGTTCTTGGACCGCTTGACAAACGATCCATCCGAACTCGATGCGAAGCCTGCTCGAGGCGACGAATCAAAGTCAGTCATTCCCCCAAGTAGAGTCAATTTAATACTCACGAATTTCAGTGTGAAGGAGGCTCACCATGCGCGTACTGCATGAAGAAGAAAATCACATGTGTACCTCCTGCACCATCGAAGAGGACCGGGGTAGTCTTCGTCAACAAAGCGCCATCTCAAAATTTTGTCACAAACTCCGAGCAGATCATCTTGGATCAACAGCTTGTAATACCCAAAGTGGTTGATAGGTTACAATCTGCTGATTTCATTGCACGTTTCTTCTCTGTATTCATCGTTCGGAATGATTTCTCAGGCGGCTCCCTAGACATGGATGCCATCGTGACGAACTTTCAATACTCGCCAAGTCTGTACCATGCGGCAGTGGCTGTTGGTGCGCTTGATGCAAGTAAACACGCGCTACCACCTGCAAAAGAGCGGAGAGTCGCTACTGTGGCTGCATTGTCGTCGTATAAGACGTCGCTTGTTGCTTTTCAAGAAGAAATCCAACGTCGGGATATCAGGAAGAATGATGCTGCGTTGTGGACGACGTTGTTTTTGGGATTATTCGAGGTTAGCTTTGGAGTCCAAGGCCCTAATCTATCAATATATTTTACTGACCTGTTCAGCTCATGTCCGATTTCTCCGGCGAGGGCTGGGTGAAGCATATCCTATATGGGACATCTCGAATGCTCCAATTGCGAGGCCCCGAGGCCCACCTCACCGGTAGAGGCCGCTCGTTCTTCCTCACAGTCCGGATTTTTGAGATCTCGCGCGCATTGGCATTCTCGGAGTCTACATTCTTGAACGAGAGACCATGGGTTGAACTAATGGAGAAGATGTGGCTGGAGGATGCTAGCGATTGGCATCCGAAGGAGAAGATGTATGACTTGATGTTAGAAACGCATGCGCTGGGTGAGAAGTAAGTACTCAAGATCACGATGATGGCCTGGACTCACAGAATTAGGGTTTGGGACGTTGTGAAAGAGGATACAGACTTACCCTCCCACATGATAGACGAAGCGCTCACGGATCTTGGCACGGCAGGATTGACCATGCGAGACACTATTGACAATTGGCATACAAGTTTCCTGCAGTCCTCGTACGCGATAGAGGATGATCCGTGGTCATTGCTAGCAATCATCTACTACCATGCCATCTCAATCTATCTCACAGGAATTTTCGACTACCGTCCGCAGTTCGACATGATACCTTACCCAAGTTTATCATACTCAACAATTCAAGCTCACGTCTACTCAATCATCTCGCAGACAAAGCTAGCATTAAGTACAACCAATTTAGCAGGCGCCTTTCTCGTATTCGCATTGCGAGTAGCAGGTGCAAGAGCTGTAAACGAGGAGCAAAGAGTGGATATTTTGCAGATGCTCGCCGAGATTTCGACGAGGAGTTTCGTGGTTGCGGATGCATTTAGGATGGATCTCGAGTATGTGTGGAGTGAGACTGAGAGTAGAAAGGGAAGAGCATAGGAGACTCTGGGACTGAGCTTGTAAGTTCGAACTCTACCCATTATTCTATCAAACACGAAATCTAAAGTGTCTTTCTGCAGTGCTCTATCCACCACCTTCTCTTACCAATCTCCTCATCTCCTCATCATAGATCGCTCCCTCCACACTCCGCCTAAGACCCTCTTCCATCCCACCGGGCTCATATCCCAACCTTGACCTCGCCTTCTCAATACTCCAATTGACGCCTCTAGTCAACTCCTTGATATCATATGTCCCGACCTGCGGTCTCTTCTGGCCTGCGCTAAAAATGAAATAGAAGATCTCGTTCATCCAAGCCGTCACGATAACCAACCAGAAGCTGACATGCCGTATATGCGCTTTCTCTGTCCGATCGCCAGCGATGTACCAGATTTTGCGTGCGAATGTATAATAGGACATAGGCTGGCCGTCAGTGATGAAGAAAGCCTGTCCTGCTACCATGCGACCGTCGCCATCCATACTCGTCAAAGCCAACTGCGAGGATGAAGCAAGCAGAGTTTTCCCACACAATACATGCGCCATCACCGCATTCCCCACATACACATGTTCTAAAACATGCTTATCAGGACCGATCTGCATATTCTGCTTCCCCTGCCTCATCATACCCAGGATACTCGGAATGAGTCTCGGATCACCCTCTCCATATACAGGCGGCAACCTCAGAACGGCCGTCTTGAGACTTTCACCATTCGCTGCCAAGACAAGCGCATCTGCAATCCCTTTACTCTTCTGATACGGCATCGCGGCGCTCTTGTCAGTGAGCAACTTGCAACTCTTCTCAGTCAGCTGCTTGTTCCTCGGATCGGTCTCTACAGCCTCAAAACTAGACGTGAAAACTAGTGCTTTCACAAACGGCAGTCTACTCGCGCATTTCAGCAGGATTTGCGTGCCGCGCACGTTGGTGGTATTTTGTTCTTTGAGAGGGGCTTCTGGTGGTGCGGAGGCGAGATGGAAGATGATGCGGGGTTGGATCTTGAAGAGAAGTTCGCGCATGCGTGTTTCGTCGCTGATGGACCCGGTGAAGTAGGAGGCGCCGGAATGTTGGTTGTTTTGGGGTGTGCGTGAGATGACGGTTATGGGGCCGGATTCGGGGTCATCGAGGAGGGTGCGGACGAGGTTGGAGCCGACGAACCTGGTAGTATTAGATGGATTGGTCTGGATATTGAGTATTTTGATATTGCTTTGGGGTTGGAGAGCGATTCAAAGAGACGATACCATACCCACATCCACCAACGACTAAGATCGGACCAAGGAGCGGAAAGTCAGGAGTGCGACTCTCCTCAGGTTCTGCGCTCATATCTAATCCAGCACATATCTTCGATGGTTCATCCCCGGGGCTAAAGTTGTCTTCTATTGCAGTTTCCCTCATCTCAGGTCCAGCTTCTTCCTGACTAGCCCCGTCCATCTTCGTTCCCAGCTGCTTCTTTTGCTAAGTAAAATGTAAGGAGCAAATCGTAATACGCCACGCCCGTCGAAAGTCGAAATATTCGATGATGAAAATTGAAGAAAGCAACACAAAGTAACGACTGACTGGCTGACTTAAGAAACTCCTCCAAACCAACATTCAGAGTGAAGTTCAAGAATGTGGACGTGGACGTCAGATCCTTTAAGCAATAATCCTCCTGCCTCCCATGTACCCGCAAGCTCTGCTCCACTCATACCCCTACCATACCAAACCATACCCCAGTGAAGTAGATCCTGCTCCTACTGTCACCTACACTTAAAACTTACTTCATCCATCCCATCCAACCCATGCCAACTGTCAAAAGTACACAGCCCATGTCGTCGGGTGCCAGCCCGGTACCAACAATGCCTTGCAGGCAGGCTAGACCCCAAGCTTCAAACCTTTTTGAGCTCCCAAAGTTCAGGGGGGTGGATATCAGATCCACCAACCCAAATCTTGCATCGGGAAACCAGCCAATACATCAATTAGCAAGTCAACATTCCTAATGCACTTACCCATCATCTACCAACAAGCAAGCAATTATCTACTCGTCCATCCAACCAACCAGATGGATCCTTTTCGCGCTCTACAGGGGGATGGGAAACGGCCGATATGTGGCACAGACCACCACCAAAATTCTGTACAATCCCATATAATTCTATAGCTACCGATACGAATTCTTTTAAATTAGAAAGAGCTCATACATTGCATATTCTAGACCTAATTCATTAACTCAAATAAATATAAACTTAGGTGTGGTTGTGGAATAGTCGTCCTTCAAAGCGAGTGCCACGAATCGGCCACTTCCCATCCACCTGTAGAGTCACCTCCCATCGCACCCCATCAATCGGTACACCACTCATGGTGAACTATCAGCCAACCAACACTGACTGCATCAAACCCCCCGTCTCGTCAAAACTGCCCTTTCCTCCCATCCCCTGTCTTTCTGTCAACCTGTCATTTCATCGCAGCCTGTCCCATCCATCGCATCTCATCCCGTCACGTCCCATCTTCTCTCAGGGCTGAGGAAAAAAGAGGGTCAAAGTGCATAACGTGAAGGAGAATCTCACATCAGCAACCCATCTTACTGTAATTACTAGTCAGGTTAGGTTAAAGTTGTCGGCCGACTGCTTGGGAGGTAGTCTCGCTTATTCGCTTACCTTGGACTTGGACTTAGTAAGACCGACCTGCTGGGCTGGATGTGGTTGTAGTTGTGGATACAAGTACGGGTGAGTGCAGCAGGGCAGGGATAGAAAGAAAGCAGCTGATTTGGTACTGTATCTTGATCTGTATGTATGGGTGAGGCGCGGATAAGATGGGATGCGGTTCTGCGCATTAGGATGAAAGTAGCGAGGGATGTATGGAGATCGACAGTATTTGAATCCGAATCGATCGTCTTGCATGCATTGCAGGCCTTCGGGTTCCTGACCTGGAATTTACCTATGCTCTACTGTACTGTGCTCTGATGGCGGACAACCAGCCTCTCGGCAATCTCTGTTCTCCTATTCGAATAGCAATGCGATTCGTTCCACTCCCAAGGGTTTCCATCATTTTTGTAGCAGCAAATGGGAAGTAAGCATATAGGGGGTTGTTGATACTTATGTTGTTTATGCTTATGTTCTTTGCCTTCTCAGTTGTTACACCATCAAACTTCCCAGAGAATTATTTTCCCCCTTCATTCAGTCATTGATCCATCAATCCACCAATCCATCCAACTAAAACCCATGAAACACCAACTCCAACTGCACCCACACCAACACGAACCCCAGGTCTCATTAAAGGTCCGAGAGTCCCCATCGTCACATTCCACATTCCATATAAAACCAACACCCTCCCACACCATACCCTCCCACACCACTCCCCAACTTCCCTTAGCTCCCATTTCCCAAAACGACCAAAACACCCTACCGAGAAAAATCTACAAGCGGTGGCCGTCCCGCCTCCCGTCCCGTTTCCAACGGGAACGGGTTCCAAGTTCCCAACCAACACTCACTCCCGCCGTTTGTCTTGTCTTGTCCCTGTCCAGTCTCAATTGCCTAATGAGGAGAAATTGAACGGAAGAGTATTCCTGTCCTATCATCGATTTGTGCGCCCTACCTACATACCTGTAGATATTAACCGTCCCTTACCTACCTGACTTCACCGGCTGGCTGTGGTTGTACGAGTACGGCATATGTATAGGGGTTCTTGCACGTCACTCTTTCAGACCCAAGGAAGTAGCAGGCAGCCTGCACCGATCGAAAGAGGGAATGGAGAGATTGGTTATACCAGATGAGGTGCTTCGCCTCGCAGGACAAATAACACCGCAGTCCGTCCACCTTGACCAAAGTTCGACTTTTATGGGTACGAGAAGGGACGCGAAATCAAGGAATGGCTCAAGTCCATTTCTCAATCGGAATCCAAGTTCTCACATCCAACGAATCACAACATGACTGAAAGGTAAAGCCCTTCACGAAAGAAGACGAAGACGATTTTCTCCCCTTTCACTTTCCGCGTCTTACTCTCTTGAGGTTCACCAGAAAAACCAGGCCAGCAATATTATTGACCTCGCTTACATTGCTGCTACTTGTATCTATCTAGTACTACTTGCGAAGTAACCTGAAAGCAAGCAATGGGGTACGGTAGTATTGGAACGTGCAATCTTGGTCATGTGTCTTGTTTCTAGTTGAAGTGAACTGAGAGAAGATCAAAAGGTATCATTGTAGTGCTAAAACACGTACGACCGACCGGTTCTGTACTTGGTTCCATTCTCATTCTTTGGTATCAAATATGTTCGATGAAGTCGCTTGCTTCCTTCCTCCTATGTTCTCCTTGCTTCCCTTCTCGCTTGCCTCTTTAACTCTTCAGTTCTTCAATCCAAAACCTAACATAAAAATAAATACCCACGACGAAAATATAAACATCCACAAGAAGAGAACTCCTCCACTCCCACGCTAACTATCCATCCCTCCATCCGCCCAAAACATACATCCATTCACAAAGCAAAACTTGAAACTTCCTCGGTCACTAATAACCTCCTACCTCTCTAATACCTATAAACAGGCTCCTTCGTCCCAGACTGCTGCCCACCATATCCCGCCCTCCTATCCTCATCATCCTCATTAGGCGTCTCCGGGACAGCAGCATGCATCGTAACCTTCCCCATCGAGCTATCCTGTCTACCGACATAACTCGGCGTCTCCCTAAAGCCAGGATGGTACGGCTCGATTCCCAGCCTGTCATTGAATTGGCCCGTATTCGACGACGGTTCGTCCTTAGGGAATGGCGGATTATGTGTTCGCGTTGATGAGGTCTTGGGGTCTGAGAAGGGATTTTCGTCGTCTGAGCCGGTAGGCGCATAGTCACCTGGTGGAGGAATAGGAGGTTGGTTCTTGACTGCTTTTCGAGGTTGGGGGTTTGAGAGGGTAGGTGGTGGACCGGGAGGCGCCGCGAATCCAGAACCGGTTCGTCCTGGTGGTGGACCAGGAGGAGGGGCAAACCCAGCGTCTGGTCTGGGTGGTGGTGTCGGTTCCCCGTTCCCTAATCCTGCTGCTTTGCGAGCGGCGAGGATTGCGCGCTGGTGCTGGTTCATGGCTTTGTTTAGTTGCTCGTTGGTCTCGATGAGCGTTTCCATTGTATCGTTGTCGGGAGAGGGGTTCTCTGCAATCATGTAGGCTTGGATACTCCTGCTTGCGCTTTGGCAGCGATCTGCGAATTCGCGGACGAGTTCGTTCTGTATAATTTCCGAGGGAGGCGTGCTTTGTACGACTTGGGAGAGTAGCCCAGCTGATGTGCGCGCTTCTTCGATTCTGGAGCTCAGTTCGTGTGGTTGAGGAAGTCGGCGACTGTGGTGATTTCGTGAGAAGTAGTTCTGTTCGTTTCCTTGGAAAGGAGGAGCGTTTAAAGTTCGTGGTCCTGCTGGGCCCTGGGTCTGTTAGAAGAGTAGTTGGACTGGGTCAGGGTACAAACATGTATCTTAACCATCTTCTCATGCTCCTTCTTCCACATCTCATTCAGAAGTGCGAGTCCCTCATCATTCGCCTTTTCCCGTCCGAACGTATCCAGAGTCTCCATCAATATCTGCTTTACACTTGGATCTCTCCCCATCCGCAATAACTCCTTCACAGCCTGCACAAATTTTGCGTCAATATTCCTCGTGAATGTCTTGCCCGGGTTATCAGCCAGGATTCGAATGAGCATGATGCCATTGTACTGGACGTATGGTTTGGAGAAATTGTCCTTTGAGAGGAACTTTCGGATTACGTATGAAGCTTCCTTGGCGGCAGAGGGGGACGATTCGCAAGCTTCGACAATGGTAGGAAGGTAGAGAACTTCTTCGCCCTGGAGTAATGTTAGATACGCCGACAGACATCATTCCATGACAAAACTCACCGAGCCATTTGGCCCTCCAGATTCGCAGAACAATCGCTGGGAAGAATCAGCCTGATTCAAGTACGGAGAGACCTCCGACCACCTACCACGTTCCTCGTCGCATTTGCTTCTGGCGTATCGAGTCGAGTTTCTGGAGATGTGTCGACGACTTCGTTATTGGCTATGTGCTAGTTAGTATCTCTACGTGCTATGTTGTGATGTGCTGGCTGCTGCCGGAGGACTGGATTCATTGTTGGCTTACGTTTGCGCCGGATGGACCCCAGCATGCGATTCATGCCCATACTCTTCATGGCCTTCATGGCTGCGGGTTGGCCAGGGAGATTCAGCGGTGTGTAGGTGACAGAGTAGAAGACGGTTGAAGAGAAGCCGGAGGAGGTGGTGGTATTGTTGTTCTTGTTATGGTTATTGTTGCGGTTGTTGATTCGGGGGCTGTTGGTGTTATTCGTAGTGTTGCGGCGCAGCGGCAGAGGTGGGACATCAAAGGCGGTGGAAGCACCAGTGGGAGCGCCTTCTTTGCCTCGCGGCTTCGGCTTTAGTTTGGCCTGGAGCGGCATTGGCATTGGCATTCGCGTCATGCGCCTGTTCTTTTAGGGGTCTTGTTGCTTCAAACTCAACTGATCTCTGGATCAATAATTAATTACTCAGTCAATAGTTCAAGTCACCTCGATTCATGATTTGCCTTTCATCCATTTGCCTGGAAGTCTGTCTTGCATATATACGTCGTCGCTCGGACTAAACTCTCTACGTAGATCCTCTTTCCTTTAGGCATCCCATCCTATCCCTAAATATCATATTTCTCGTCTTATTACCCTCGTGGCAAAGTCAACAATCCCCATCCTCGTTGTCGTCGTCGTCACGTCTTGGCAAGTCGTCGGCATTAATGGACTTCCTTTCTCTTCGCATTTCACAGTTAAGAATCCGACCAAGTCTTGCCGTTACCTGTAGCTCTGCACAGCCTCGACTCGTGTCTCTTCAGTCTTGTCATCGTCTCTTGTCTTCCTATCGTTTATCGAACTTCATTCAGCCTTCCGCGTTTTAGCTTCATCTCAAGCTCAATCGGGCCGTCTGTCAATGGTCAGGTTTCGCTGCCAAGGCTTGAGTTGGAGATGAAACGCGTGGAAGCTTTGTCAGAGGATGTCTAAGTGTCGAATCACGAGGTAGCAGACTTGGAAATTCGGCGTTTAGTGAGGAACTGTTGCGGTTGGATAGAAGAGTCATTGTGACACGACAGTGTTTTCTGATTGTCGTCGTAGAACCAGGACGGATATTCCTAGGCGATGCCACGCGTGTTTTGGGCAAGCTGGTTACTGACCAAGGACAGACCTATGAATTTCATCTTGCTGCCGTTTCAAAGAATTCCTTGCCGTGCTCTGTATATTCTTTACCTTGGACGAGTCTGAAATTAGTGCTTGAGTGGTTATTAGAGCAATTTAGTGTTGCCTGGTGATATCTCCACGACATAGCCAGCCAACGATTCGATTAGAAGCCTAGATGTTGCTGATGTGTCCGCAGTCTCATTACGAGTCCAGTGCATCTGTCAAGAGATCAGGTACCTAATGCAGCCTGTTTGCTACTGGTTACATTCCTGCCCTTAAGGTAATTCATTATTTCGCCGAAAGTATATTCCCGGATTCTCACGTCTTAGGATTTTCTTGTCACCCTCTTTTCCGGATCCGATTTCTTGCTGAGAGAGGAGGTTTCCCTGGGCTAAGGAAATACCTCAAAGTCTGGGTTTTGGCCAGGACTTGTTATTGAGTCCATATTGACAGTTCACTGGATTCTCCAATGTGCCTTGAGGAGGACTCATTTCTCTCAAGAGTACCATTACTCTTCTCTCGGTTTTTTGGTCACAATGAGGACAAGTTTATAGATCTGAACATCTATCAGCAAGCATCAAAAGCTTAAGCAAAAATGGGGGGGAAATACTCGTGACAATTTTTCGCCCTCTTCTCACGTGTTTGCCCACGCCGTTCTCTTAAGCTTCTCATCTCCATTTCTTTCCCGTTTGCTACCTACCTAGTACCTACCTTCGTTTACCCCATCTCAAGGCATTCGAACCAGCAAAACTAATCCCTTTCTGAACATCCACAAATACCCCATTATTTGAGCCATCCCTTTCTCCTGCTTCCCATCCATACCTACTCACAGACTCAATCGTGACCTTCCACAATTCTTCTCGAAGCCCTCCCACCAACCAATCACATCCGCGCACTCGAATGCGCATGCATTGCATTAGCAGCGACTCGAGCATGGCTACGAAGTAAATGCGGAGACATCAATCACGACAAGGACCGGGATTAGATATGCGTGCGCGGATTTAAAAATAGGGGGGGTCTTGGGTTAAGGTTCTGTAACGGTCCAGAAGCTAAAAACGGAGATGCCGCAATTGTGGGTTAAGGCTTCGTTGAACGGGTTTTGAAATCCCACGTGCACGAAAGCGGGCGAGATGAATTGGGAAGTGTAAAGAACAAATGTACATGCTGGCTGGTGAGAGTCGAGGATTATTACAAGAAAGGAAGAGGGAAGGCACAATGTGAGGACAATGGAAAGGTAAGATTGTCGCCGCCCGATGGTACCTCCCTTTAGCGAAGGTAGCCTACCCATATATTCCAATTCCATTCCATGGCTGAGGCATTGAAAACCAATATCGACCCCACCAAGAGGTGGGAATTTGCCTGGTCTGAAGATGAAGACCCATGCTCATCAGCTTGATTCTGGTAACTGGAACCTGATTTGCTCGCGTGGAAAAATGCTGTGCTCGATACAGCACGAGATGTCGCGTTTTTGAGATTACTTGGAGGAAAGCGCTGCAGGGAGCCGTGGACTCGATCAGGTAGTACAGCATATGATGTCTGCATGACGGGTACCTACCTGCGTGATGATGGACTGGAGGAGGGATTCAATGCATTGTGAAGAATTGAAATAACACGATAAATATACTTCGCGTTGTTTTGCAGAGCCAACAGCAGGACTTCAAACATGAATACATAAATGCCACGACTGAAATGGCAAGGGTCGCAGAGTTCGTGAGCTGTTTGGACGATTGCGTTTCATATCAATCACGAAGACTCGCATTGCCCCAAAACTATGTTCTATGGAGTGCAAGGACAAGTTTCCAAAATTTCTGAAGCAAGAGGCAAGGGATGATGACCAAGGGCATAGAGCATTGATATTGGCTATTATAGACCCATTACCCAGTCAATAATGCCACAGCTTTCCCATCATCGTATCCAGAACTCCCCGCTTTTGCCTTCCAGTGGCAGCATGTAAAGGTTGGGCGCTCCCCTTCTTCTCCTCGGTGCCCCCCTCTAAGCATGTCAGCCTCGATGCAGCCAATCCAAGCCACTAACGCTGGAACTCCTTACCTCGCCGCATTGTATCCTCCACATCGCCCTACATTTCTCACTGCCTCCTTTTCTCCCTCACGACAGCGCACATCTCCTTCAACCCTCGACCGCACGGGATTGAATGGAATCGTCGCATCGCTGTCTGCATCTCCAGCCCACCACCAACACTCGCTTCCCACGCGAGTCCTGCCCACGCCAGCCATGACATTCCTGTCCAATAACCAGACACGGGCGCGGTTACCATGGATAGCAGCGCTCTGCGGGCTCTTCCTGATATGGTCGCTGGTATCTCTGGGAGTGAATCTGAAGCCATTCACAATCACTCTAGATGTAAGTTTCGTCCAATCTTCGTATGCACGGATCCACTGTCGACTCGCCGACCTCTAGCCTCTCGCGACAGCGACAAAGAAAAGATCAGATGAAGATAAAGCAACTGACACCTCTCGCACAGGAACAACCTCTAGACCACCTCGGACAGCCAGACAAGAACATCGGACCAATTCCCATCGCGAAACCGTCTCCTCCCAAATATCCCGCCTTCGAGGACCAAGCACTGAACGCCAATGACACGAACTACGTCTCGGAGCGGCCACTGATTCTCTACGCATATTTCGAGACGGAACTCGCGCGGAAGAATTTACAGTTCTATATCAAGCACGCGCTGCACAATGCTGCAGACTTCCTATTCATCTTCAATGGCGACACGGACGCCGATAAATTGCTGCCCGAGGCGGGGAACATCCGATCGATACATCGCGAGAATAAGTGCTATGACCTCGGGGCCTTTGCAGAGGTTTTGACGACGAATGATCTGTACAAGAAGTACAAGCGGTACATCACCATGAATGCCAGTATTCGGGGACCATTTCTACCATACTGGTCGCAGGGTTGTTGGAGTGATATGTATTTGAGCAAGATCACTGCAGATACGAAGGTTCGATTTCAAGTTTGGAAGTGAATACCGCGGAGAAATGCTGACAGGATATGATAGCTTGTGGGAATGACCATGAACTGCAACATCCGCAACCACATCCAATCCATGATCTGGGCCTACGACCGCACCACCATCGAGATCCTCCTCTTCCCCTCCGCCGACCTCGTCAAGAAATACAAAGAGATCCTCGGGCCCTACGTCCTCGACCCCGTCACCCCCGTCCCCGCCATGACAAGCCCAGGAATCAACTCCTGCCCGCACGAATACTGGGACGCGGTCGCCATCGAGGTATATGCGACGGGTTTGATCCAGGCCGCGGGGTACAAGGTCGATGCGATGATGTTTGCGTTCCATAGTAGTGAGGATTACGAGGAGACGTGTAAGGTGAATGGGGATGTGTTGGTGCATGAGAAGTATTATGGTATGGATCTGCATCCGTATGATACGGTGTTTGCGAAGACGAATAGGGGGATTGGGCCGTTGGTTCTGGAGAGGTTGACGGATTGGACGGATGGGAATGGGTATACGAGTTATGATCGATGCCATATCTGATTCGATTGAGATTGAAAGACGGGATCGAAAACAGAATGGCTGGGACGATGGTCCCAGGACCAAACATCCGGCTGCTTCAAGGAATCTGGATCCTCATCCGAAGCGAGATGGGCACCTACCATCAGAGCGGAAATGATTATGAGCATTTAAGCGGACGGCGTTAAAGAGTCGGTATATTTGATTGGCATTGGGGCTAGCTATTGTACGCTAGGTTGGGTGGATGTTTTGGACTCCAGTGTTGGTTCTGTACGAGTACGTCGAGGCAGGGCGTGGCGTTTGGCGTTATTGGTATGAATGGATGGATCGAAGAAAGAAAGGGACGATGGGGGACGTGAGGCTAGAAGAGGAAATCGTTCCACAATTAAAGAGCTGGATGGTTTGGTACTGCCGGCGATTAGGTAGATGAGACTATCTGGACCTAACCTAATGCTAAGATTTCTACAATGGAGTTTTTCCGTTTTTGGAGATTTCGGCCTGAGGAGGGTGAGCGTGACGGATGTAAAGCTGAGTTGAGAGATGACTGGCTATCAATAACCAAATGCAGAAGGACTCGTATGGCTGTAATCGGATTGTCTGTCTATTAGTGGTAGAGCATACTGTGGTGTGGTTAGGTGAGGAGGACGTCTCAATTTCAAGAAAGGTATGTTTACTTCTGGTATAACAAGTACGTATTTACACCTTCCTGACACTGTATTTCGGAGATCACATATCTTGATATCTCCTCAATCTGCTCAGATTCATTGGCTAGATTCTTATGACTAATTGTTTTACTAGGCGACGACGACGATAATTCAATATCTTCAATCTGTCTTCCACAAGTTACAGCTAATTGGTAGGCTTAGCAACGCCCGGTAGGCAAACCTGCATCTGACTACTGTAGGAAATTGTTGGTTGATGTGCTGTCATCGAAGATATGATAAGGTGGTCCGTGCGCCTATCCTTCTTGTTGTACAACACGAGAGAAGCCTTGGGATCAAAGCAGCGTTCCCCACCTTCCATACTGTCCTATCAAACTGCGGTTATAGTAGTGGATTCCGATGTCTCAGAATCATCGTAAGTTGCCTATTTGCTTGAAAGTGCGTCTGGCTTACTCTCCTAGCTCATCGTAGGATCCAAGTGCCCAGCGATGCACCATTCGAGTTGAAGCCCTCACCGGGGAAAGGATTGGGTGTTTTCGCCACCAGACGAATTAGTGAAGGAGCTATGGTCTTGAAAGAGAAGCCATTGTTCATCATCTGGAAGCCACATGAAGAGATCAGGGAAGAGGATATCCGGACAGCATTTCAACAGTTAGCACCAACCCAGAAAGGCCAATTCCTCTGCCTCCGCGGTAACGCCTCAAAACCTTTCAAGAATATGAGTAGGGTCCTTGCAGAGAAATCCTTCGCGCTATCAAACAGCGTCAACGATCAGCGCAAGGACTCTCCAAGTCACGGCATGTTCCTCCTCCACTCTCGCTTCAACCACTCGTGTATACCCAACTCCAAGATCCCAACCAGCGACGAAGCGAGTCAAGAGACCCTCACAAGTTTCGCAACTAGGAATATCGTTGCGGGTGAAGAGATCACGTTGTGTTATAATACAGATTTCGAAATGAGGACCCGCCTTGATCGCCGTCAAGAGCTGCGTTTCGTCTGCGATTGCAAAGCCTGTCTTCCCGGCACGCTCTTCCAACGACTCAGCGATATCCGGAGAAGCCTTATTCGAGGACTACAGTATCTTACGCTGGGGAAAGATTTGGATGGACGGCGACAGGATTCTGATGCGTCGCCGATTATCTTTCACGGTGGATTGAAGAGAGCAGCAGAGGAGTTCAAGATTCCTCTTTCGGACAGGTTCGTTTTCATATTCTGATCGTGTTTTTGCTGGAAGAGGAGGGACTATTGGACGGTTTTAAGCTCGAAAGATTCAATCCAGGCATATTACAGATGGCGGCCTTGTTTGCGACGGGAAGCAATGCTAGGATTGCTAGGCTTGTCATGGTGCAGAAAACTTGGCTGGAGAAGTTGAGTATGGCTTTCAAGCTATTTGGGAGAGTAGATGTCGCCGATGATAAATTTAACATGATGCTAAGAATGCTACACTGACTTTCTGTAACACCTTAGCATTCAAATCAAGTCTTACCTTTTGATGCCTCATCAATCTCCTTCAAGATCTTCCAAAGCTGTATGAAAGATGAAAGAAATAGGGTCTGGAGAGAGCTCAACTGTCTAGACGTAGAAGTGACGCAAGATCTTTCTGCAGGTGCAGCTAGAGCGTATGATTCAAAGGTATTGTTATCGTTAGGAAGAAACGACAATGGAGAAGTAATCTTAGAAGAAAGAAACAAGATATGGAAAAGCTTGGATCAGTCTCCTTTTGTCTCATGATCAATCGTGAATTGATGATCCCTGACAAACTAGCTTCGAGGTAAAAGTCGAGGTACAAGTATACCGAGGATATAAGCCCCGCGTGATGGCTGTAGCGTGCAGGCAGACAAAGAATCCCTCGATCATTGACTTCTAATTTAGTCTTTCCGATCATGGCTTTTACATGTCTTATGACAGCGGGCCTGAAGCGTCAAAGGGAGGATAGGGACAGAGGGTACATGGTCAAAGCTGGGGAATTTGAGTATTGGTGGGGTTGGTTTCGAAGTCAAAATCGTTCATCACATCACAGGCAGGTACTGGAGTCTACTTTCGGGACGACGGGGGTGGAAAGAACTATGATTGATGTTTGTGGCGTGCGTACTGATTAAATTTAAGAGAGTTGGATTTCAGACTACGTTCAAGCCTTTCGTTTCCTCCCTCTCTTCCGTCTCATCTCACGCACTAAGGAAGTAAAGGCCAAACCCAGCGGAGCCGTCTACACACCTTCAAGAACTCCTCCGGACAAATTCCATGTCTCTCCGCCACAACCCGGATCTTTCCATCCCTAGCCGGATTAACTACCTCTCTCACACTCCATTTCTCCGCCCGACAGAGTATTGCAGCAGTTTGATAGAACACACATCTCGAACTGTACTTCCAGAACATATATGCATACACTAGAGCATGGTGTAGAGACTTGGTGAAAGGTGGCTGCTCATCGATGGTGTAGCCATCGTGGGTGGCTCGGCCGATGGTGAAGAATACATCTGATTCCTCGCTCAGTTTCTCGAGGGCGGATTTGGGTTCGGTGAGTTCCGCCTTTTCTTCCTCGAGGCGGGAGAGGTGCCAGGATAGTGGGGTTTGGCGAGCGAGGTCGAGGATGCGGTACCAGGGCTTGAGGAAGGTTGAGATCGTGATAGGCATCTTGTCTTTTGCTTTGTTGGTGGTTTGTGTGGCTGAAAGGTTGTTGATGTTGGTGGGAGGGAAAGTATGCAGACACCCGTTGACCTGTATTTAAGTTTGGTCTCGTTGGCTCTCCTTGGTCTGTACTACCAGGGTATTTTGCTCTTGCAAAGATAGAACAGTCGCGCTAGTGTTCCTTCTAAGCTTTTGAGTTAGTAGTTGGACTTGCGGGCGTAGATGGTGGTGCAGTCAAAGAGTAAACAAAGAACAGGAAAAACATACTGGGAAGTTCCTTGTCTGATTGAAGATAGTTGGATATCGGAATCAACGTCACTTATTGCTCATCCTGCCTTGAGATATGATGATCGTCGAGATCATTCAGCCAGGTCTCGATACTAATGAGAGAAACGGTGTTTATATTTTCGCATAGATTAAGCGAGGCGCTAGTGCGATCAAGGGGAGGAGAAACGAATGAGATGGCGTGAGTGAATCGACACTACATCACTGTGTCGACGAAGCTTAAATGACAGCCATATTGCATTATTTGATAGGCGTTAAGAGTATTCACCGACATGACTTATAATATCCTGTCAGCCTTCTGTCGTTTCGCATTGCCACCGCAGAGAATCACGCTCAAAAAAGTGCCAGGGAAGGGCACTGAAAGGAGATTGTCTCACATGTTTCTTTGTTCACATGGTCGCTTCGAGGAAATTCCACCCTTTTATGACCTCTGTGTTCGTCAGATGTTGCTTGACCACCACAAACTGGTCATTCACTGACTGAATTTGGCCATACGATCTGGCAGGTAGTGCAGATGCTGCGTCCTAGATTTGATGTTGACAGCCAGCTTGCAAAGACATGGTGATCTCTAGTGGAGAATCGGGTATAATGAATAGCAATTCCTAAGACCTTCCCATTACTACTTCTGGAAAGTGGAATCTGCAGAGGCGTCACATGTCACTTCTCGGATGACACGATGCTGAACAACAAACGTGCTGTGTCATGATCTTGCTGGCTCGTTCTAGAAAGTCGTTAATTCTTGCTTTGCTACTCATGTCAGAAACAATTATTGAACTCGTGAAGTGTGTCAAGTAGCTTAGTTATAGTACCAGGATTGTGGTGGTCACAGGGGTTGCGCAGAAGAAGTCTGTTGGTGAGAATGGATCATCGGCGAGGGCTGGTAGGGAGGGTTTAACTGTTGTGACGTTGAGGTGGAGTGAGAATAAGTATACTAAGAAAGATCACGGATACAAGACATCGATTGTTCAACACGACGCGCTTTGATTAGAGTGTGGGGTGGGAGAAGAGAAGTCGTGTGGAGGAGAACGAGGAAATTAGGCGAGGTAGCTTTGTTTACGTTTTTCGGTTATACAAGCGCCCTTGGGGTTTCTTGATATTATGGGGGCTTGGCGGCAGGAGTTTATGGCTATAGAATACAATGAAGCAACTATATCATTAATGAAGTCATAGCCTATCTTGCATCCTTTTCCACATACTCCAGTCTCGGAGAGAATCAATGACAATGAAAATGTAGGCCCAACTCAAACCCCATTCAGTATATGCCTTTCAATTACGACCTATTTCTCTCGGCTGTTTTGCTTGCGCTCACAACAGTACGAGATACGCCATCCCTGAATCTCTCCTGTACCCATATCGGCAGGCCCCTTAATATTGATACCATAGTCAGGTTAGCCGGGATGATAATCTGTGCACCATAGCCACCGAATAACTGTTGAACAGCAGCATCAGCAACTGCCTCCGGAGACACTGTTTTACCTTCGAGCTTTCCACTCTCGATCAAATCTGCAATCAACGGAGTGCGGACCCGAGATGGATGTACAATGCTGGGCTTCTGTCAGCAGTACTCAATCACATGTATTGGAAGATTACATTGCCTGCCGACGTACCTGGTGCGCACAAGTGGTGCTTTGTACATAAGTCTCAGCTCCTGCGTCAAGCCCTCGTGAAAGGCAAGAGCGGCTGCTTTGGTGCAACAATAGTCAACGTTAGTGGCCTGCGTAGCGAATGAGGCCATGCTGGCAATAGTGACGATATGTCCATGATTGACTTTTACCATCGGCGGCAAAAGCTCGCGAACCAGAAGAAAATGGGCAATGATGTTGACAGCGAAGATCTTTCAAAGTGTAGCCCCATCCATACTTGTTATCCATACTTGTTATTTCCACTGGGTCACCAATTCCAGCATTGTTTATTAGTACCGTAGGATCACCATGGTCGGTGCGGATCTGCTTTACGACGTTGGTTATTTCTGCTGCAGATGTGCTGCTGGCTGAATCGACGGTCAGATACTTTTGAAGCTAAGGGTGGTGTCCTTTACCTGAGATTGACTTTGGAGGCATTATATCAAGGATGATAATCTTGTACACTCCCTTGGCTTGGAGCTGGGACACCATACAGGCACCGATACCACCAGATCCTCCCGTCACTACTACAATCTCTTTCTCCTTCCAGTCCCAGGTCTTATCCGTTACGCCGTTGTTCAGAGCTCGTCGTAACAGCCACCGATTGAGTCTGGATAGGGCACCGAGAGTAAATAATACCCTCAGTCCAATTTGAACTTTTCGAACTCTGAGAACTTCAGAACCCAGTGATATATGCTGGGAATAAAACGTCGTCATGGTTTATTTTTCAAAAGTAGTTGTCACAATAAAGAGACGACGTTCACGGATGGTGGCCCTAGAGCGCGTTGGATTGCACGAGAAGGATTTCTTTAGTCAACTGGATAGAGGAGGAACATCAGCAGTTTTAACGTATCGATCTCTGCATCAGTTTAACACTTTGTGGCAGCCTGAGATTACAGCAGTAATATAATCGGTGTGCAGCACATCTCACATAAATAAGTCGAGACCTGCATTCCGAGATGCGCCCGCCCCCGGTTCCGTGGCTACAGCAATTCCAAAATCAGTTCCGACATACATTCCGAGCAAATCCAGAGCCTCCCATGGGAAAGTTCCGGATTATATGGCAATATCATTCATACCACGGGGCAAAGATCAAATCCGTGCTAGAATCGATTTCCAGTTCAAAACCAGCATAATCAAACTTGCCAAGGACATATATGTATTTGGATTCATTAAGACATGTTTACTTCCAAATCCCTCATCAAGTATGTTTGCCTCGTTGCTCACTATTAGAGTGGCTACGCACGGGATTGTTAATAAAATGGATTTCGATATAGATTCTATACTTCGCATCATCGAGTTCATTTCAAACGCACAACGCTCTTGTAAGCCTTCCACGCCAAACCTCCAATCGCCCTCAAATAAAGCTCACCAAGCCTCGCTCTCTCACTAACCCAATCCCTAGAACCATCTAATATCTTCGACCCAATGACTCGCAAGCACCGTCAAGTCAACTTGTCATCCCAAATATCTCCCACGGCCGCTTCAACAAGTACACTCTCCCTCCTCCTCAACCCCTCGCAAAATTTCGAGAGGCCAGACATGCCCTTTGCCTTTGCCAGATCATCACCATAAAAACAACTTGCAAACTCTAATAGTGCAAATAGGAGAATCTGATATCCGCAGTCGTGATAGTAAACTCAGCCTCATTCTCGACAAAATAGCTTCAACACGACTCTTCCTCTCTGCGTGCTCGCCTTCGGCAGAGAGAGAGAGAGAGAGAGAGAGAGAGAGAGAGCGAGCCTCACATCATAAGTATAAAACCCCTCCTCCTCCACTTTACCCAGTATCGCCCTGCATCTCCCCATTGCCGCTTTCGAAATCTTCAGATCCTGCCTCTGCTAATGACTGAACATCGCACTGCCGTTCTGATTCCGGCAGCCAATTCGAAGAGTGTTGTGGCTTCGTCGACTAGGGCTATGTTTTCTCCCGTGCGGGACGGTTTTGAGGTGTTGTGGCTAGGAAGGGACGGATTGTCTCCGTTGATTGTGAGACTGAAAGGAGTACCTTAGAGGCGTTCGCGGGTGAGGTGAGGTCTTCGAGGTAAATTACTATGATAGATAAACAGTCGTAGACCATTTTTCCCATCGAGAACTGTCAGGCACAGCACACTAACCACATTTCAGCTTACACAATAGTAGGTGAGTGAGTCGTATTATCTATCTAGGTGCGAGAGAGGACGAAATTATCCGCAATTTGGCTAGTAAAGGCAATGAGATTATATGGCATAGGGAATGCAGGAGGGGGCCTTTTTGTGTAGGTGTAGGTGTAGATGGGTACACTGCTACAGGTCTTATATAAAGAGCTGCGGGGAGGGTATGTAGTGTGAAGTTCATTGTTGAGATAAATGTGAGTAAGGTTATGTAGCGACGTGAGCTCAACAAATAGTAACCTTGATATCCCTCCCTGCCTTCAGTCGAAGCAGCCTAGGGAGCGAGGCAGACGAGTCTGCGGCGAGAGAAGGAAATAGATGACGTGAAAAAGCAAATTGGTGGGGAAGTCGTGGGGCAAGAATGAATCGTAGTGGAGGTATGAATGGTTCAGGAAATTTGGCGAAGAGACCGTGGGAGAGATATTTGAGTCTGTACAATGTCTCCATATTTGTAGTCAGTCCAGGATTCCAATTTCAGAGGTGCTGTAAAGCCGGATACGGACCATTGACGTGTAAAGTTGTATGTATGCTGATCGTGATCAATTTCGAGGGAATAGCGGATTCTACTTGTAGAATGTTGCTGCATATCAAGGTTTCTGGTGGCATGAATCTGTATGAGCAGCTTTGAATATTATCACCTTTACCCGCCATGTCTCCCACGTACAAGTCAGTGAGTGCAAAAACAGGAATCCCTTCCAGTTCTATAACCGGGAGCCTCTAGATTATATCTCACACCTCCCTCCTCCTCCTCCAAACCAACAAGCCCTCATCCTTCCCCGCAAAACTCGGCACCGCAACCTTACAACTCAACTCCCACCCAGCCATCTCCTCCCTCTCAAAGAACTCCTCAGCAGTACAATCCCCAAAACCCGTAAACCGATTCGCATTCCTTGTTCCCACAAGCACAATCGTATCTCCCCGGTACGCGCGCACCACCCTCTCCGTAAACCTCCCTTTAGTAACCATATATACCAACAGGAGGACCCTACCCTTCCCACCGTCGTTCTGGCGGAGATACTCCACGCCGTCTGTGTGGATGGTGTCGTCGATCCACATGGTGCGGTACTCACTTTCCATGTTGTCGACTGCTGTGACGGTCAGGGCGAGGTTCATGCGGCGGAGCATGTATGTCCAGTATCCGTTTCCGCTGCCCATATCAATCACTCCCTCAGCAGCAGACTCTCGCGCCAGCTGGGAGATAATATACAGCGCTTCGTAGCTCGGCACCACACACCCGAAATGGTGATAAAACACCGGGAGGATAGGATGCGTATGTTTCGCATTAGCAGGACTCGCATACGACGGATCGGGGAGCGGTCCTAAGAAAGCGGTTTCCTGACAGGAGAGAGCCCATAGGTCGTAGTAAGGATTGATGTGGGTTTTTGATTTGGGGATTTGGAAGGGGCAGATTCGCTGGTGGGAGTGGAGGAGGTACTGGGCGACTGTGGCGCGGGGAGAGCCTTTCTTTGCGTTGGAGAGGAGGGAGGTGAGGGCTTTGGGGTGGGAGATTGTGGGGGAGAAGAGGGTGGTGTAGGCGGTTATGTCTGTGGGGGGGACCTTGGTTAGTTAATTATGGTAACCAGTGGTGGATAGTATAATGGGGACTGCTTACCTCTATTTGCTGTCCATGGGATTGATATTTATATTTTAGCTTGCCGGAGTCGATTTGGTCCTGGATCTGGCGCAATGTCATGGCGAAACCTTCTGCTCTGTAGACATAATCGTCTTGGTCTGGGAGGTTGAATGTATGGATGATAGTCTTGGAGAAGTCATTGTCAATTACTCCGCGCCAATTGGCGAATATCTCGTCTGGTGAAGGCATTGTGGTGGTGTTGATGGGGTGGGTTTGAATCTGAGAATAAAATGGATGATGGTGGTTGAAGTGGGGATTATTTACAGTGACGTAGAGTGCATGAACCCCGCCAAGTCAGGGGAGGGGCAAGCCAAGCTTACAGGAGTGTGGATCCCCTGCACGGCGCGAGATGTCGCTTATTGGCCAAGTACGCATTATTTACTTCTTTCCAATACGAGTATTTTGCTCTTCATCTGAGCATCACCTCAGAATAAATGATATTTTCCTTGCGGAACTTTAAATATCTCTTAGGCCCCCTCAAAGAGTTCCACTTTTTCCAATTTGAACTTGTCTATCCAGGCAGTTCTCATTAGCATTTGCCTACAATCATAAAAGAAAGTCGGACTGAAACCTGGATCTGATTAGCTAAGGTAGGTAATCTATTAACGATTGGTCCCAAATCACGTCTCGTACAAATTACTCGTAGTTGCATGATTTTGAGATCTTGTCAATCATGAGATGCATTATCAATCACTGGAAAATATCTGTAATAGGCTTGATACTGATGTTTTCATGATCTTACACCTCCCTCCCAGGGGGTTTCTCTACCTAATTCTTCACATCCCGCCTCGTTCGTCATCAAGTCAACTGCCAGTCTCTTACAAGAACAACGCAACAACCCCACCAGCAACAGCCAACGCACTCATCCCCAAAACACCCGCCCCATTACCAGAAACCACTGTCGGGGAGCTCGTGGATCCCGACCCAGTTCCAGTTCCCGTAGCGCTCGCCGTCGCACTACCACTCATACTCATCGTCGCGGTGGCAGTTCCCGATCCCGACGCCTTAGCAGGCTCCACCCCATCGGGCACACCATCACAAGTCGAGTTGGGGGCAATAGGACACTCCTTAGCAGAGCAGATAGACTGGAACTGAGCGCCCTGAGCAGGGATGACGGTTGTCTTTGGGGAGCAGCGGTAGCCGAAGAGGGAGTTGAGGGCTTTGCCGACGGGGGCGAGGTCGTCGGATGAGACGCCGAAGGAGAGTGCCGAGTCGGCGACTTGGGTAATGAAGTAGCCGAGTTCGTTGGGGTCGAGGTTCATGAATCTGTGAGAGGGGAGTGGGTGTGAGCAGGTGGGAGGGTGAGAGTGAAGTTGAGATTTGAGGGGAAGGAAGGAATGGGAAGGGGGGGTGTTGAGGTGACGTACTTGTGAACCTCATATTGCGAAACATCGCCTGCATAGGCTGGGTATCCAGACATCCCTTGCTGGGAGCACTGGAGGAGACTACCGAAGTACTCATACAAGTGAGTCAACAACATGCTAGAACCGCCTGTCAGTTTCACATTGTAACGCAACGCAATTACAAGAGAGGGAACGCACTATTGCAACGAGTTGGTTCCCTCGGCAGGCTTGTTCATCATCAACGGAGCAGCACCGCCATCATCGAGGAAGTTGACGGATACACCTGATGAGCCTCCTCGGTTGGTGGAGAGGAGACCGCCGTTGAAGTAGGGGAGGAGGTCTACTTCGACGCCGTTGTACATGCCCTTTGCGAGGATGCCGGCGACGGGTTTGCCGGTCTTGCTTTCGCTGTCTATGTGTCGTTAGTATTCCTGCACTGTAGTGTGGTTATAGGTGTGTGCTTACAGTTTCCAATAACGGCAGTGTTGACAACAGCTGTCAAGAGCTTGAGCTGGTTCTCGGCAGTGTTGTTCATGAACAGTGCGGTGGTGTACTTGTCGCAGAACGAGGTGGTGTTCTGAGCAGCGACGGTGCTGATGGCAGCCGCCAGGGCAAGAGACTTCATGTACATGATTTGATATCGATGTAGGAAAACGAAAGTGGTAGATTTGGTTTCCGTGTGATTGGAGAGTAAAAAGTCAACAGAGGAGCAGAGAGTAGGAAAGGGAGAAAGAAGTGTGTTTGGGGCAGCACAGCTCTTTATGGCAAAAGCAATGACAAAAACATAGCTTGATATGGAGGGACAGAGGGAGTAGGGTAGCAACGCTATGAGGAGAGCTAAGCAACCAATTCCGATCTCCCGTCTAGAAGCTACCAAGCGTGGAATAATAAGATTAGCTTTGCTACGAACGTGGTCTAAGGAGGACAGCGTCAACGCCAGTAGGAGGTAGGATGTGTCTTAGACCCTTCAAGTAAGATTGGAGGCTGTGGGGGAATGACCACACTTGCAGTTCATTGCAGCTCCCGAACGGTCTGTTCATGAACCCCGAGCTCCCCCAGCTTGCCCAGGCACCAGGCTTCAAAGTTCTCGTGCGCAGAAGAGAGGGGGGTGGTGGACCGGATATCAGAATCCCGAAGACAGGGAGCTGATCAAGATCAAGAACAAAGAAGATCTTACTTTGATCAACCAATTAGTGGCGATTAAATGCAAATCAACGTCGTATTGAAAGGGAAATCCCTTCTCTCCAAGCTTTTGTCAACTTCTGTCATCCGCGCGCTAGAAAAGCCAAAACACAGCTTGAGATCCCTTAGGCAGTTGACTTTTCGCGCCCTCTCACCAATAAATAAATTACCATTGTTCGGCCTCCACGGCAGTGGCCCCCGGAGGGCCAGCGGAGCGTCACCACTCCATACAGTAATAACATCCTGACTGACTGACTGATTGTGTACTTACCTACTCAATGACGCTCCGCTGGCCCTCCGGGGGCCACTGCCGTGGAGGCTGTCAGAGTAGAAACAGTTCAAAGAAGGAATGAAGAGGGGCGGCCGAGCCCAGACATAACAGCCCAGTCGAACCAAATAATCCCCCATCTCTCTCTCTCTCCATCGCCTTTCCTTCCCAAAGTCCCAAAGTCCATGGCCAGACCTGTCTTTCCGCTGCTGCCAATCTCGGAAATCCTCATATCCATCCCCCCTCTAAGCAGCCACCCACTGTAGTGCATTTGCATTTGCGCTGTGCATCCAGCCCGCCCGCCCGCGTAACCGCATTCGTCCAACCTGTTCCTCGCCCCTTACCCCAACCAAGGTCTCACGCCCCACCGTCCAGGAACGCGCCAGGCTAGACTTAGACATGGGATGTGAAATGAGGGGAGGGTGATTGGCTGCTTCTGGCCGGCAAGAGTCGTTACCGAGTGTTTGGGGAATGCTTAGCTTTGGGATGGAAGAGTGAGTGACATCAGTTGAGTAGTGCGGTGCGCTGATGTGTACTGTAAACATAGTTTGGGCGCGCCACTACTGTACTGGGTTGACGGGCAATAAGTGTTTCCCCTTTGGGACGTCGGAATGGGAGGATCCCGGGGACAAGCTTTGGGCGAGGCCGGTTTGGGGTGTAGTGCTGCGGTGCGCTGCGGTGGGGGAGCGGTAGTGCATATTAAGCGAGGGGGCTAGGCTAGGATGACAGCTTTGTAGGTATCGAGGGGGCCTGGGCGAGCTGGGGCTTTGTTTGGACTTTAGGCGGAAGTCAAGAGCTTTGCTTGGGGTCTTGGGTCTGGGATCGCTCTCGTTTTCCAAGGAGTTAACTGATCCTTCATGAATCTGTGCCCGATATTGTAGATCTACAGTACGCTGTCTGTAAGCTTCACTAAGTTACCGAGTACCACGAAGTGGCGAATTGACTGGGTTGGGCAGTGGTGAGACAAGCTAATGGGTGACAAGTCGGGAATCATTACATCCGAAGCACAGCGATAATTTTTTCCTTCCATCGGTCGTTGATTCTTGGTCATTGACTTTCTACGGTTGAGTTGTAGTGATGAAATTGAGTAGTAATAGACTCTCATCCCGGCAATGGGCAGGATTTTCAACTTGACTGGAAGCATCAGCTGGATTACGCTGGCGGGCATGATTCAATCTTTCATGGTATTACCACTGAGTCCTACATCTCAATCGTGGTTTTTTCTTTTCTTACAAAATCTAAGAAGCGCAAAGGGCAACGTACCTATGTCAATCCACAACAAAGCCGAGCCTTTACGTTTGTGATGGACATGTCAAGCATCCAACATCTCTTGTTACTCTTATCCGTAAGCGAACGCTCGAGATTTTCTATCTGCTGCTCAATATCATTTCTCAACATCACCGCATTTCCTCCCAAGCTATCTCCAGCCACGTCTCTAATGCCAATTTTCTGCCATACTACCATTTCTTTTCTGTTCTTTTCTTCTCAAGTTCCTCAATTTTATCATCCATTTCACAGATACCACGTCGCTTCTTACCTCCTCAACACCCTCACCCTCGCCCCTACCTCCTCTCTCACACCACAAACCACAAACCACAAACCACAACAGCAATCCAATCCCCACATCCCACCCCAACCCGACTCTCACCTATCACCACCACCACCACTTTCTCTTCATCCCAAACTCCCAAATCCTCACCCGCTTACACACACCCTTCCACATCCCCCTTATATACCTAAACACCCCCTGAATCCTCCACATACGACCACAGACTGGTGAGACCTGGGCATCCCGTCCGCTCTGCCATACATAAGCACCAGATCGGCAGATTAGTAGTTGGGTGGGTGACCACCAGCGAATACCTGCTGTTGTATGTTTTTTTTTGTCCCCTTCTTTTTGGGGTTTTTTTTTGTGAGAATTTGGGGTCTTGATTTCCACTTTTGTCCCTACCTAAGCGCGTCTAGCTGGCTTACAATGGAACGCTTGGGTTGTGGAAGAGTGCGAAAGCGGAAGTTGGAAGATAAGATACAACTAAGGGTTTGAGCCGCTGATACGTGTGATAGATATACATATGTGTGGCTGTGTGTTATTTTCTAGTATTACCTCTTTATGGGAGATACGGGATTAAATTCTACTATCCTCCGGCTCGCTCCGTCAGGTTCCGCCTGTATAAGCTCCTCTCGTAACCTCACCTCTAAACATTTCCTTCCTTCCTTCAGACGTACCTGTCACGTCCCTCCTCTACGTGCAGCATCTACAGGTCAACTGAACTCAAGGTCCTTCCGGGGGTGTGGTGGGCAGTGTGGTTATTTTGACCATAGTCAGATTCGTGGATGAATCTCGTGAGATCGGAATATATCTTGAACTGCTTAAGATGGTCGTCACAGACTCCCTGGCGGACAATGATACGTCATTGTTGCTATGATATGACCTTGAGAAGTATCTCCTAGAGCCTTCTGAACCTGAAACATCTCTCGCGTAAGCATCAGACTAGCCAGTGTTCGTTCGGATGCCACACAATGTTAGCTGTACCCTCAGCTTATTACCCAAACTTTTTGATTTTACGAAGCTTGATCTCGAAAATCGATGCTTTGATTCGCGTAACGGCCATCTGACTCGTATCTAATCGATGAAAATGTCTATTCCCCAACCGCACTCCTCCTCCACCAAATGCCCTCACAAACGGCGCATGTCCCCCTACTTCTCTACCATATGCACTCCCTGAACTGAACTTTCCTTTCGTTCTAGGAATTTCTCCTTCCGAGGAAGTGTGGCTGTGCCTAATATCGTCTCGCCGGCTTAGGTCTGCGTTATAGATCGTGAACTGCTCCTAGTAGACTTGATCGACGTTGACGCTACACTTTTTCACGACACGACGCAAGCTTGAACCAGAACTGTCACACTCAAAAGTCCCCTATCTAGCTGAATGGAGCAGTTCCGTTTTGATTAATCTAGCCTCAACGCATCCATGGATGTGATGAACTGCTCCTTTTTTGCAACTTAACGAGATCAAGGGATTTATGGTATCCAGCCTCCCTTTCGCTCATCTCAATGACCGGCTCCTGAGGGATAACCCTCTGCCACCTAGGCAGGTCTTAAGTGAAATTAATTGCGTATCAGTGTGACGTTCGTAAGCTCCATGTCATGTCGAGTAAGGCCGTGATGTTCACCTGCCTTCGTCTTAGTAAGCGTGGGTTCGAAGGACGCATACTTGTCGTTGAAGGGGAGATCAGCTTGGGTGAGGCAGTGTTTGGTAACTGTACCGACAACAGGTGATATTTTTGGTGTCCTGCCTCTTCTCTGGATGTATCTGTAGGCACTGAGCGAGCGGAAAACGTTACATGATTTCGTTGCTCTCAAACCACAGACTTGTATACATATTCATCCAGTACATTGAAAGAGCTTTAAGACATTCATAATTTCAAGAATGTGAATGTCGTACATAAGTGGAGCAGGCTTTCATTCAGTGAAGTGAACTCTCGATCAGGTGGAAGTAGCAAGTTATTGTATCAAAAGATGTATTCCAAAGAACGCTAGCCTTCTACTAAATGGCTGAGGGCATGCTATATATACATGATATGCTTACCAAGCATATCTACGTTAGACCCAGAACAAGCTCACAGAGCGACAGCGACTGTGTTCGACTGAGAATTAGATAGGATTATGCCTCCTATCTGCGACTGGCCCTCAGCCCCCAGACCATGGAGGCCAATACTGATAGTCGAGCAAGGTGGATAAACTGGACAGCTAGACCACCAAGGCACGCGGAAGTCACCCCCACAGCTCAAACCCCAAAAGATGGCATTCATTGCTACTACTACTCAGTCTTGTAACTACCACCCCAGGTATACATAGAGCAATACTTCCGTCCTTCAGGAATCCGATTTTCTCGTGGCGTGAATATCCTATCATCTTTCAATACAAATAACTTACCTGCCATCAATTGACTGACATACCAAGACTCACCCTGCCTCGTAGCATGGTAGACCAAGTGCTGAATCTCCAAGACTTGACCTTTATCTAACGGCTCCACGACGTTGAAGTCATAAAGAATCCAAGCCCTCACGTTGTTCTCCGAGTCGAAATCCGGGAGGAAGTGCATAGCATCATGGCATTTGTCTTGCAGGTCGTTGTTGAATGGCCAGCTGATAATCTGCTCGCAAAAGTCTGACCCGAGACGGTGGACTCTTTTTTCGGGTTCCCCTGGAATATCGGTCACGCAGACGCGGATAATGACGCGAAGAGGTTCGGTATCTATTGAGACGGAGGAATTCATGAGGTGGAGAAGCGAGTTGGCAGGAGCGACTTGTGCCTGAATCTGCTCTAAATATAGAACCCCCTAGCGTGTCTACGAAGGCTAGGTGTACGATTCGTGCCTCGGCCCGAGCCGACTGTGAGGGACGACGAGCAATAACAAGGACAGGCGACGCCAGGCAACAATAGGAAATACCAGAAATTAGAGACACTACTAAGCAATGGTGGAAATATCAGGTAATTCAAATAACAGGAGACACCACGCGCCGATGGGGCATCTTGTGCACCAGCAAACCGAAGCAAGGCGCATGATTGGTAAGACGATAACCTAAGTCAGGTCAGGACTGTCCTGAGTGCAGAGGAGCATCTCCGCCAGAGACACCCTAAGATGCCTTCAGCATCGTTAATACATCTCAAAATCAATGATTCACTTGCTTCTTTGTACATCCCGTTTGCTTGTTGTACCTGTGCTAGACCCTCTAGAGCTGAAATACCTGTACTTGTGATATTCCGATCGAGCTAATTTGGCTGTCCCACATTCGTGAGGAATGCGGCCCACCGCTCAACCGTCATAAATACCAATGCAACGCGTCCATGTATTGCCGAAACAGAAACTCAATTAACAGTTCCAATGTTGGTCAAATCTGTTCTATTTCCCAGCATAGATGCCGCAACAGCACTTAGAAACGAGCGACATGCTGCAGTCCAGACAACAAAAACCAAATGAGTGTGCAGAACAAACAAAAATACAGTTCAAGCACATATGTCAAGCAGAACATGCTCCGCAGTATGTCGATAAAGCCGAGCTAACAAGCTCACTCTCAGACTGTGCCCACACCCCGGCACTGGGGGCAAATGTCCGCCTGCGTTCCTTTCCCCTGACATAAATCGCAGCCTGTTCCCCTTCCGTTGCAATCGATACAGTTGCTGCTCACCAGCCCACTTCCATAGCAGTTCGGGCAGGAAGCCATTGTTTCTAACTAAATTACATTACTTATGGTGCTGCGGAATCCGCATCAGCGGCCGGTATATGACTTACCGGGACTTGATGGAACTGAGAATTTTTAGGATATTTCTGTTGGAATGGATGGATGGATCGAGGAAATGTCTGCGAACTAGGAGTACTATTTAAGTATCCAGAATTAGACAGAAAAATGAAGAAGTACAGGAGCATGCTTACGGCTTCTAGATGGAGGATATCGATCAAAATATGATTGGGGCTACTCTGTTCAACAGATGTAGGATGTGCTGAGTGGCTCGAAGTTGACACTGATCGTGCGTGTCTGATGAGACAAGAGAATTCGGGTTTGTGGTAAGATAGATTGCTATGCGTAGAAATCCTGTTGAGTGAGAATGGACACGACTTATATAGTTTTCCTCCCCCTATGAAACCACTGGCCACGAGGTTTTGGAAGCCTTATAATTATTGGCTTTTACAGGGCAGCTCAACTTACTCATACACTATAAGAATTCCTTGACTCAAGGGAAAGACGCTAAATCAAGATAGTGTGGGGACTTGAAGTGTAAAAGTAGAGTTATATAGGCCTTAAGCTACACGGGCCTCGAGGTACACGGGCCTCGAGGTATACGAGCCTCGAGGTACATGAGTCTCGAGGTACACGAGCCTTAAAGTACACGAGTTTTGAGAAAAGTAAGCTAGCTAGTATATACACTCTAATCTTTTCTTATCTGCCTTCTTTTCTTATCTGCTTTCTCTTCTCCCTTTATAGTCTTTCTCCTTTCGTAGTCCCCTTCCTTCGTAGTCCCTTTCGTAGTCCCCTTCCTTCGTAGTGCCCTTCATTTTATAGTCTTTCTTTATAGTCTCTCTGTTTTCGTAGTTTCTCTCTTTTCGTAGTTTCTCTCTTTTCGTAGTTTCTCTCTTTTCGTAGTCTCACAGCTTTACCGGAGAAAAAGAGTTTCTGATCCCACGATTACTCCAAGTCCTCGTATGATTTATACCTTAGCATTCGCTTCTCAACCACTCAGCGTGAGTCCAGATGTGTGCCACCTTGCAATAGCTAATCGTTCTTTACAGGGCTTATTTTAAGAGTTCGTGGCCAGTGGCTACGAGGTGGTTTCTTAGGGTCCGAGAAATCCCACCTTTCTAACATATTTTCATACATCGCATGTTTTACTTCTCCTCTGGAATGGATTGCATGGCCTGCTAACCTACTAGGCATCCTGCGTTTCCCAACAATCTAACCACCAATTCCAGCATTCAGTCGTCATATTCGATGGCGCGCGGGTATTTGATACAAGTTAACGCCGGATAGTGTAAAGATATCGGGAATTCGACGATGTTGATACTATCTTCGGTATCGCAGCGGCCGCCCGGGGGCGTGGCCTGTTCTTTTCACTCCCTTCCGAATCCACCCTTGGACGAGCGTGTGTTGCATTTTGGGAACTGGACAAAGCTGATACTAATCACGGTATGATAGCCGCTGACCTCAGGCCCGGCCGTCCTCTTTCACTTCGTTCCGAGCCTAATCCTTGGATGAAACTCTATTGTCTATTGTATGTTGGATACCACCGGAGATGAGCTGATAAGTCTCCCGCTCGAATCAGCGAAAACTAGACAAAATCAGATGATCGATGTCACTGACCTAAATCATGCTAGTGCTGCCACGCGTGTGACGGTGTGGGCTCTTCTGGTGAGCAGACGGGCAGATATCATCTCTGGCTGGTTGCGACCACAATCCGCATCTTAGCTGCATACCCTTGGTTGTACGGGTTGTGAAAGGAAATAAAATGAGGAAGAAGGCTAAGCCTTGGGGAGAGGGTTGAGTTCAGGTCGGTCCACTCTGGCGCTTACGGTCACGAGGGGTACATCAGCTATTTGACCTCTGCTTTCCTTAGCATAAGTTTTATCATTTCCATTGTCATGATAATCATGACCACCGACTAGAACGGCATCTAACTCCAAACTAGAATAAGGTCAAATGAGGACTGTAGAGATTTTGACGTTGCTTTATGACTCTTTCGAAGAAGTTATGTGGTGTTGAGGCTGAAGGTTATGCAGGTCTCTCTTTCTGATTCGAGGTGGGCGAAGATGTCAGACCAGCGCCAAGGGTTGAATTGTCTGTATGGCACATGATTGCAACCCTTCTCCATGGGATCAGCCCAGTAGTCTTCTGTGTCTACAGGACCAAAGGCTTGGGTTTGACTGACGAGTGTGCGATTGTCGAGGATGAGGATTTCGAGGGTGGTGAGAGAGAGCATATCCAGTTGACTTGCCAGTCGTGGGTGAAAGAATGGTTGCCGAGCTCGAGCTCTTTGAGATTGGGAGAATGGATGGAACGGAAGTCACATTTGGGTATGTAGCCAGAATCAATCGCAGTGAAGTGTGAGGCTTATGAGGATCTGCTGTGCTAGTTAGAGCCAGATAGAGGGCAGCTCGTCGAAAAAGTTGTAGAGTTCGGGGAAGTGCCGAGAGTTTTCTTGGGCGGAGTGTTCGTATCCTTTAATGATCTTGAGGCGGAGCTCAGTGATGCGCTGTAACACTGACCAGAAACTTGGTGATGAGACGATACTTTTCTCGTTGCAGTTCTGGAGGTTTTGGAGTGAGAGAGACCGTAGGTTGATGACTGGTTGTTCGGGATCGTACAACATGTCGAATAATGCTGACAGTACCTGATTTCGAAATTTGACACCATCTTCATGCATATTTGTGTAGTTTTCGCTAGGTACCTCCACAGCGCAGGCTCCAGAGAATTGGACCGCTGCACAACGAAGGTTGGGAAGCTGGTTGATAAACAGGAGCGCCTGGTTATAGTTTTGTGACAACGTGGATGACTTTAAATCACGACCCTCTCTCTCGAAATTCTTGTTTTGATTCAGAGAGGTGGTGAGCTTGATATTGTTAACTTCCTTCGCAAGGTTGGGAGATGCCGGAACAGCCCAGAAGTTATTGATACCATTTTCAAGAGGCGTCACGTGAACGTGAGAGAGCAGCTGTCGGGTGGTTGTTTTGCAGAAAGAGGTGCTCGTAAGGCGGAGATTTTGAACGTATGTCATCGGCGTATGAGACATGATTATATCCTTCAGCTCGATGGAAAGGGTCTCCATGGTGCGTGCCGAGCTGGGCTAGGTACCTAGGTAGGTAGGTACAACGAAAATCTGGGGATCCAGCGAGTGGCCAGACCAGTATGAAGATGATGGATGAAATTTGATGCAGCGACCAACAACTAAAATAACGTACGTTAACAAACCAGTTCCACGGCAGCCCATAGCAACAGCCTTTTATTTCTTCCAACATCTCATCCTCGCAGCAGCTTTACACGTGATCTGCCTGCCGCTCTCCGCACTTGGCACTACATGGGGCTTCGAATGCTTAAGCATTTTCAACGTCGTTCAACTCTTGGATCTCGTTTTGAGTTGTGTAGCGGTCCCTGGAAACCAACAATACTGAAGCATAACCATAACACACATCCTGTAGAAAATGGAAAGATCGCGGCTTTGCGATATCCCACGCCAAGCACTGTCGAGTCTCGACCCACCGCTGGATGGCCACGGGCCCCCGACGTGGCTTTTGCATACCTAGGTACGACTCCAACACCTCATGCACGTAACACAAAGTCATCACAACTCAAAGTGCTCATGCTGTGTTGTCTCGACAACTGTCCTGCATTGATAGGACAGGCAGGACGGAGAATTAATGCACTGGCATATGGTTCGTGAACTCGGCATCGACGAGATGCGTTGTACTGCACATCGCCAGCATCCTGACTGCCCGATACCACTTCTGCCGGATCCTCGGGCAGCTGAGAAACTTTCTCACTCGCCAGCTGACTCGAGAAAAGATGCTGGCGATCACGAAATCATCATTCAATGATCTTCGCCAGTGGGGCCCTTCGCTTGAAGGGTCCATAGGGGATGCACTGGTTGTGTATAAAAGTCCGGATTGGGTGGTCGTCAACACCCGACGATGCAAAATTTCGCGGATAAACTGGCGGCCCGACCCATCAACAACCACGCCTAACCTCCATCGACGTTTCCCCCCACAACACCCTCACCGACTCTCTCTTCCGCGAAATGAGATTTTCCCTAAAAAGAAGACTTCATCACACACAGGATCTCACTTCATTACGCACAACGCATAAAATTTGTGTTCTCTCTGCATGAGGTGTGAACAGGCTAGGGTGGGTACTGCAACCATAAGAACCTGCAGATTTTTCCTTCTTTGTCCCCCTTCTCCTTCTTCCACCACATATTAAGACGCATGTCTTCGCTATTGACCCTCTTCTACATCCTCCTAGCATCATCCCTCACCGTGATGTCTTCCTCCTCCGTACTCTCACGCCTAAGGGCAAGACTCTCTAGCCAACCCCAGCTTCTGGAAGCTCCAAAGTCCAGTACTACCGAGCAGGCACAGGACCGAGATGCTCTCCAGAAGTCGATATCAGAAGCTGTAGCTGCAGCCCTCAATAACGAGGAGTTCACCAAAGCTGTTGCAAGCCACCTGGCTATTCAACTTCAACCATCCCTCAAGGCCGCATTAGATATCTCTGCCGTCGAGTCGAAACTCCTGGCATCTAATGAGCAACTCTCCCAACGTATCAACGACACAAACACACAGACCTCCTCCAAGATCACCGAGCTGTCTTCCCTCGTCAATGCAACCAACACCACAACCACCGATAGACTCTCTGCACTGAATGGAGCTGTCACAAAGATCACCGACTCGCTGGTGGAGCTAGGAAGCAATATCAAGGTTGTCCAGGAACAAGTTGCATCTCCGGATACTACCCTGTTGGCCACACAAGGACAGAAGCTGGATACCATATCAGTCGCATTGGAGTCTCTACCTGCGCAACTGCAGAAGCTCGATGCTATCACCGCTGAGCTGGATGTTATCAAGGAGAATGCCGAGAGTGTTGCATCATTGAAGGCCATCTCTACTGAACTTGCGTCAGTCAAGACTGATATTGAGGCTAGCACTAGCACTGGATTCGCAGGATTGAACACCCAAGTTGGAACTGTCATCGCCGCCATCGAATCTCAAAACTCTACCCTGTCAGAAATCAAGGCTGCCGACTCTACTCCTGCCGTCGCTGCACTGGAATCTCAAATCGTCGCTCTATCATCTGCAGTTTCTGAGCTCAAGAACTCTGACGCTACCCCAGAAATCCTCGCCGCTGTCAAGTCTTCAAACGAGTCACATGCTTCCCACGCCAAGGCATTGGCAGACATCCCAACTTCCATCAGCGAGATCAAGACCGTTGTTTCCACCCCAGCTGCTCTTCCAGAAAAGGTTGACCTTTCATCTTTGGAGACCTCGATCCAGAGCCTTGCCGCTACTGTTTCTGAGATCAAGACTGCTGTTGAGACCCCTGCACCCGCCGCTGAAAAGACGGACCTCACTCCACTTCAAGCTTCTGTAGACAAGCTCGTCTCGACTCTTGATGGACACACTGGCACTCTGGGCGAAATCAAGTCTGTTGTTGCTGTTCCTGCTCCAGTATCCGAGAAGGCCGATCTCTCTGGACTTGAGTCTTCAGTTGAGAAGCTTTCTGCCAGTCTTGCTGAGATTAAGGCCGCAGTGGAGAAGGAATCTCCAGCAGCTGAGAAGGTCGACCTTTCACCATTGACCTCTACCCTTGACGCACATACCACTCACTTGTCAGAGATCAAGTCCGTGATTTCCGCGCCACCTGCTGCTGCTGAGAAGACCGACTTATCTGCTTTGGAGGCCTCTGTCGAGAAGTTGTCAGCTTCTCTCGCTGAAATCAAGGCTGTCGTCGAGAAGGAGGCTCCAGCTGCAGAGAAGGTCGACTTCTCTCCTCTAGTCTCCACTCTGGATACCCACACTGCTCACTTGACTGAGATTAAGGGTCTTGTCGCTACACCCGCCGTAGCTCCAGTCGTTGAGAAGACAGATCTTTCTTCGCTCGAGTCATCAGTGGAGAAGCTGTCCGCAACCCTCGAGTCTCACACAGGCCACCTCACCGATATCAAGAGTGCGGTTGCTGTCCCAGCTCCAACTAGTGAGAAGGTTGATTTGTCTGGCGTCGAGAGCTCGATCCAGAAGCTCCAAGCCCTTGTCGAGGCTTTGCCAACCAGTACCAAGAACGACGAGATTCTTTCTTCCGTTACTTCCATCAAGGCAGCGGTCGACGGTATCCCAGCTCCTGTTGCCGGACAAGTTGTCAAGGATGACGAGATCCTGTCATCGGTCGCTGCTGTCAAGGCTTTGATTGAAGGTCTTCCAGCTCCATCTGCTCCTGTTGCGGGCAAGGACGAGGAAATTCTCGCCGCGGTTGCATCTGTTCAGGATGCTATCAAAGCTCTTCCAGCACCAGTTGCTCAAACTCCAGGAAAGGATGATGAGATCCTCACTTCCATTGCATCCGTCGAGTCGCTCGTCAAGGCCCTCCCTGCACCAATCGCTCCAAAGGATATCAAGGACGACGAGATTCTGGCATCCATCGCCTCTGTCTCCACCCTCGTCAAAGCCATCCCTACCACTTCACCAGCCGACAAGTCTAAGGAAATCATTACCGAGATCAAGTCCGTCAAGTCCGTTGCAGAGGAGACCAAGAAGGAAGCTGCTGCACTCACCACTATTATTAGTTCTGGTCTTGATAAGGAGATTTTGAGCGAGGTGAAGATTGTCAAGGGCTTGGTGGAGAAGCAGAAGACTGCTGGTGTGAGCGTGGCAGAGGTTGGCAGTAACGATAAGGGTGTGCTAGTGAAGGAGAGTGCGAACGGCAATGGAGTAAAGGTTGATGCCGTGGAGATTGAGCCGGAGGCCTAGATTTCTTCGTATCAACCTCGATTGCTTACGAAGTGAACTGGACTTCAATTATCAGGGGAGGAACTGTACCATGATGGTGGTGGATGTAATGGACTTGAACTTGAGCTAGGAATGATTCGAGAAGCGCTTGCTACGTTGTGCATGGGGATGAGGTAAGGGGAGAGAGGAAGATTGTATTGTTTGTATTTTTCAGCGTACTTGCTTACTTTGCCTGTTTTGTTCTATACCCTTTGCTTCGAGGCCAGCCCGCTCGCTGGCTTGGTCGAGAGCTATGCTTAGATAGAAGGTCTTCTGCTTCTCTCTTCTCTTGAAGATGAGGGAGGAATGGAATTTAAAATGTCATTCGTTGATTACTCTAACTTGTTGGAAGGAGTCAGATTTGTGATGTGAATGGTGACGGTGTCACGTGCTACGGGCAAGTAAGGTATCGTCACTCCATGCATACCTTAAAGGAAAAGGCAGGTTCCGACCCACTGTAGGAGGGGCACTTTCCTAGAATAATAATCAAATCACTGTTACAAAATTCTGGTAACTGCCAATTGACAGTCAATTGATAGTGATAAGAAATTCTTAGTAGTTAAGAGGTCGTTATTTCAGGAAAGTGCCCCTCCCACAGTAGGCCGGAACCTGCTTTTCCCTTTAAGGTAGTACACGAGTCGTAGAAACAAAGTGAATGTCAGTAGATAAAAATGGTGAGAGTGAAGTTTTATAAGGTCAAGTAAAGTTGATGCCCTGAAGTAATAGGCATAGTAGACTTGTGCTTGTTGAATCTCGCTGTCGCAGTTTGGTGAACGATCCGCTCGCGGACACATTCATAACTGTATAGTGGAAAAGAGATATATTTCCCGTAGTATGTAGAAATTTCAATGAAGACCGAGCGCCATACTTCTTGATATAAAAAGTTTCGGGAATCAGGTAGAAGAGAGACATAATTCGCATACGGTCCTGACAGGGAGATTTTCTCGCAACTATGCCCATTTCTTTTGGCTGAAATCAATAACCTGTGGTGGTGGGTGACATTCGCAGAAACTTGCGGCATTCATTGTCTTGTGATTTGAAGGGTATATATATCTAGCTGTGGGCCACTGAGTGGCAGTGAGTGCTGGCTGGTCTGACTGACTGAGAGTAGCACAATACTGGAGATAGAAACTGGCGGCGTGGTGGTTGTTCTGTGGGCCATGCTGGCTTGTGGCTAGCTCTGGGGTTGCTGAGGTGGTGTTGTTCCTAGGGACGTGAGTAAAGGTTTGGATTTGGGAAATCTACATACACACATACATATATATATATATATATATATATATATATATATATATACACATATATACACATATGTCTGGAGTTTCTTCGCTTATCCAGATGTTCTATTCCTGAGTTGGATGCCTTGCCCAAAATATTCGGTTGATCGAAGGAGATGCTGGACAATGGGTTGTAAACAACTTCCCTCTGTAAGGAAGCATGTGCTTACAACTGAATTCCTTTGGGAAAATCCATTGTACGTCGGTCTCGGTACAATGTCTATCATATGCTATTCAAATAACTCGTGATGGAGGTCCGTCGAGGAGTTCTCTGAGTTCTTTGCGATATATCTCCTCCCATTCGTCCAGTATCTCCAACTGTTCCCGAAGCTCCGAATCCCTCGCAAGCATCTGGCGTTCATCGGTGCGCCAGAATAATTTTTAAGTGAACCGTCGGTACTTTGAGAACGTAATCCTACTACTCGACTTAGACTGATGTGGCTGAGTTCCTGCTTGTAATCGCGCCTCTGGTCCCTGATGTTTTCAATGTCTCTGCGAAGCTAAATTTCTTGCTCAGCCGCGGTCATTACACCATCGTCAGTGCTCTGTAAGTGCGCGGCTGCTTTTCCTGGTTTTGATTTGGATGAAAAATCTGCCCGCGAAGCCATATCGTAGACTTATTGTCCGTAGGCAGGAGAGCTTGTGCCTGCCGGAAAATCCCAGTCTTCGAGTACTTTGTCAGGAAGATCGAAGTCAAAGTCGCTAAGTGAACAGGCAGGGGAGGCAAGGTTGGAAAGACTTCTGATTGGAGCAACCTTCTGGTCATCGAGAGGTTCGTGATTTTGCGTTGAGGAAGCATTGGCCAGATCAGAATTTGGCAAAACATTATCGCTATCATCGACAACACTAGTAGCCCCATTAGTAGAGGAGGCATCAAGCTGGCCGATCCAATCTGATTGAGTGAGGGGCGATGTGTGCGATAGATGATAATCAATGGAACTTTGGTCTTTCTCCTCCGCGCTCATATTGTTCCTCGGCGCTAATTCACTCAGGCATATGCCTTTCCCACGCTGGTCTGGGCTCAAGAGCCGTTCCCATTCAGGCTCTGATGACCCTAGCTCCATAAAGTCATACATAGTTACGGCGTTGTCAATGGCTTGCTGGCAGTCCTCATACCAATCGTAGTCATATTCCCATACATCAAGCTCTTTCCAAGCATGCCAATACAGCTCCCAAAGATTTCCACGCCTGAATCCAACTTTCTGCAGGCGAGTTACAAGGGCGGAAGGGTTGCAATTGAGCTCTAGTAGCTTTTCTCTTACTGAGTCTGTGGCGAGAGCCTGAACTGCTAAAATGTGGATGATCTTCCTGCGGATAGCCAAATCTTCATCATGAGCTGACAACGCCGAGAAAGATGTTCGTGCCGTTACTTCTGTTCGTGCTGTCTCGAGTATCTTTTTGGTCTCTATTGCATTCGGGGCAGATGGGACGTCAGAAGCTTCTTGACGAAGATCAGGTCCGGCGTCAGGTTCCTGGATTTGGGATTTAGCACCAGCGTTGGCGTGTGACATATCACTCGCGGTCCTCTTTCTCATACTAGTTGGTGGAGGAACCTCAGCTTGTTGCCTGCGACTGAGCTGCAGAACCATCGGGTGTTGCTGTTGTGCTTGTGCTTGTGCACGTAACATTCGCTGTTGTCGTGGTCTTTGTTGCTGATATTGCCGTGGAGTCAGCTGTGCACCCATTTGTGACTCTGCTTCTCTTTGTTTCTGACGTTGCTGTGAGGCAATTTGCGCTTGTGCTTGTGCTTGCCTTTGGTGCTGAAGCAGGAAGAGTTGGGCTTCAGATGGGAGTGCTCGAGTTTGCTCATCACTAGCAACAGGTGGCACGTAGCGGATACTACTGATGAGTTCCGAAAGACTACTTGCCGGTTGGTCCAATACTTGATGATATTGCTTGTTGTGCCGATTGAGAGCGCTTCTTTTAGTGAATCCGGTCGAGAAGTTAATGCATCTTGGAAAATTGCAACGGAATTGTCTTGTATGCGCAGCTTCGTGAGCATCACGTTGCTTCGAGGTGTCAAAGCCGTCGACCGCTCTAGCGCACTGGGAATAGCGGCAGGTAAATGCTCTGGAGCTGAAGGTTTCCAGGAACGAAGAAAGCGTGCGGCGGTCTATATTCGGAAATAACCACCATGAATTTGGGTCTAGGAGAGACTCCAAAATAGATTGATAGTTGTGTCGTAATGCAGTGAAGAAAGTTGGGTCTGTGTCGCACTCTTGGTGTGCAGTGTCTAGAAGTATATGTTATACTAGTGAGAAACAGAACTATAAGAGGGGGTCATACCTTTGACACTGGTTTCCGACATATCAAGATCGGATGCTTCATCTAGTTCATTCTTGAAGCATTTTATGTTCGAAATAATAGACTGTATCTGAGGAAACTGATCGAGAAATTCGAGCCCATCGATGTTAATGGTTGCAGTGAGGTTTCCAGCTTGAGACCTGGCGACTCCTGTGGGTTTGAGATAATCAATCAAACCAGACAGCTGATCAACGATTGCACGGGGAACTTGTTTGCCAGTGGACCTGCAAAATGCGAGTAGGTGGTCGATCCAGTATTGATTGGCATACGGAAGTAATCCATGAAAGCCTGTAGCGACAATAGCAGCTTGCTGTGCCTCATTTCCACGGTTCGGGAGCAGCGGAAACGCGGTGTTAAGATAGGCAACACAAGCGAAGCTAATGTTCAGATTGGCCTCGGTGATTGTTACGAAAGGATTTCGGTCTCGCGTTCCATTCTTGAGGATGAACCTGTTCATTATTAGCGAACCGATCACAAGCCACATGAGCTAGGAATAGCACTCTTTTGCGGAGAAATGAACAAAGTCCAAGACACAGGACGGCCCAATCTCAATCAAGGGACGACAGAGGTCCAAGACTGCAATGTCCATCTTCGGGCGGGAGTCGAATGTAGGATGATCTGGTCTGAATGATATTCCATCAAGCAGTTCATAGATCCTCAGTGGTCTGTGCGAGCATGCCATCCATTCAAGAATGTTGATGGCAATAGCGGCAGCCGGGTCCAGTTGTATCCTGTCAAGGATCCGTTCGTATCTGACGCAGTTTTAAGCTAAATACTAAACGGTACATAACACAGAAGTCATGACGTACGCTGCTTCCAACCCCTTTGGAAGGCATCTAGTATTGCGCTCAAGATCCCAATCGCTATAGCAACCCTTTAGTCCTTCGACCACGAGGTGGACCCAGAGAAACATCCCTGGGAATTTGTTAACAGAAGGCTATCCATCAAGTGGATGGAGCTTACCATCAGCATTTCTTATCAGGTCTGATTCAATCTCTTGGCGTAGCATTGTGTTGGACGTCTTAACCTGTTCCATCTTATATCTCACGAAGCTTTCTATGTCCAATTTCACTTCTTCGCGACCGTCGAGGACAATGCTCGTCTTTTTGGCAAGCTGCTTAGCCAGGCCGACTTCTTTACGACTCGAAAATAGGATCTTGCAGTTGCCGGTTGTGGTTGAACAAACAGCTTGAATTTCTCGAAGTATTAGCTTTTGGATTTCATGCGCAGTCTCATCGACACCATCGAGAATGATCCGAGAGCAAGCTGATGTGGCTAAAATTCTGGGGAAAAGATCTCTGATCTGTGCCGCATTGCAAGTCTTGCGGAAGAACTCCTTGGAGATGAGTGAGGCCAAATCTGGATGTTGCCGGAGAAGTTGCATGGCTAATGATCGTAGAATTAGGTTGCAGGAGTCATCCTTGCTGCTGCAAAAGTAGTAGAGTGTATCCACGGATTGACTTTCCAGCAACTTGCTGACGATAGAAGAAGACATCACACTCTTTCCTGTACTTCATCAATCACAGTAGCCCCCACACAGAGCGTAGAGTCTTACCTGCTCCGGGCTTTCCACTTAGCCACACGAACTGATTCTCTGCGGTGGATCCCATCCAAGACTTCAATTCTGGATGGTTTAGCACCCAACTACAAGTCTCATCATGCCTTCGCTGACACAGTTGTTCATAGCGGTTTCCTTGGGCAATCTCGTCGATCGAGAACCAAGCTACTGATTGTTGAAATTGTAGTGCCGATAGAATTGCCTCGTTCTGCTCGATGAGAAGAAGAGAACTCTTTTGCCGTTGTTCAATCTCTTCTTGAGCTCGAATCCTCGATTCTTTGGACTCGACTAAATCGATCGAGACTGCCTCCCTATCCACAAAATCTCGTTGCTTCTTCAGTCCGTTGATGATGCCCGCGAAACGTGCTCCAAAATCCTTCCAAAGGGATTGAAACAGTACATGCCAAGCTCTTCTCTTGAAAAACTTGTACGCTCTCTGATGAAAATCGAGGATGGAACTGTAAACAGATGCAAGCACTGCGAGAAAAGCGGGATTGTCCTTGAAGGCTTGTTCGTAACGATCAAACCTAGGCAGAGAATCGCCAATCTCCTTATAAGCATCAAGGAGAGATTCAAACACATCGCGGTGGTGACTTGCGAGCTATCAGAATTAGCTAGTCGATTGACATCGTAGATTCTGGCGCACTTACTTGCAGCATGAGCTTGATGGGAGCCTCGTTTACATCAGCACATATGAATGAGAGAGCAATAGGGAAATGACAAACCCAAACATATGGCAGGTAGTTACATATAACTTCTATAACTTTCGAATACTTCTCTAACCCTCTCAGGAAAGGCTCGATTCGCCGCATATTCTGAGCCGAATCCCGTTGTCAATCTCTCGCACGGCTTGCCACACATCCTCGAGCTTCGTAGACGCAAACGCATAATCATCTTCGTCTGTCACTGAATGCTTCAGTCGTTGGAAGGCATCTGCGATGGTAGTCACCGGGGCACTCATGGCGAAGTCTGGTTTGTTCGAACGATGGAAAAGGAGGCAAAGGAGAGAAAGAATGGAAAAGGTCCTGGTTTCCACCTGGAAAACGATGTCCTCGGGAAATGAGGCTGAGGACAACTACTGTTGGCTCACCGCAAGGCGCCCTGAGGGCGCTGGTGCATCGAGATCCTATCATTCTGGGTGTGGCTTGGTGCTGCGCCCGAAAACAGAGCCGCTCGTCCCAAATCCTCTCCATACACATCATCGAGTGCCGAAAAGCTATCTCATCAATTGATGATTCTATCGACCTCTTTCTTACTCAAACTTTGTTACCAACAGCAATGCTCCATCGAAGTGATGTTCGGGGGGATGTGGGGTTCGACGGGAACGGGAACGAAGCCCACTACTATCGGAAGCGGAGGCGCTTGAATCCTAGGATCCCCAGCCCAGAATTGCTCACCATCCAGCACACTTCAACTACATATCGCAGCATTTCCGTGCACGGCAGCGCAGACACACCACATAGCTGCAATGATCCAATATCGGGGGACCGAAGTAGCTTATTGCCGGACTGGCATGGATTGGAGACCGCTGCAGGAACCCAAGCTGCGACCGGTTTGGATCAGGCGGCGTTGATACTCCAAGAAGAGTGCTGCTATGGAATGGTTAGCAAAACACCCTTCTGTCTATAATGCTCTAATCCTCACAACACACCTTACAGCTACCCAGTATTCGTGTGAGGCTTTCTGCCGGCCCTCTGGACTCGTCGAAGTATCTTCCTGTCTCCCTCGAAGCCTCGAATATAATACGGCTGCAAGATTCCAGCAGACACGAAACATTCCAAATCGAAAGCCCACTCCATCTATCTGCCTTGGATCAGCTCGTGGCTATAAAAGACATCTCGATGCAATCATATTGCAGTGCTGATACTTCGATTTCGACCATACAGGAACCTCATAAACGGAAGCGACGGGTTAGGCATAAGCAGTCATGGACCCTCCGTGTTATTCTCTATGGACCACCAGATCTCGAGGATATAATTGGACAATTCTTGTCTGGACAAAAGATTTATCTCCAGGATCCAGTTCATTGCGATCGGTGTGTCCCGTATAGAAATCCACATGTGATACAGCCAGCGACAGGCGAGGTGTTAAGGACAAACATGTTCGAACCTCATGCTGCAAACCTGGAAATTGAGCGACTAGAAGCTAGCTCGGACCTTCTCTCCCAGCTTATGGGTAACGCAGTACAATTGCCAGAGACCGAACCCTCAGATATTGTGAAAACTACCCTTTTCAGGTTTGTCTTCTCCTAGTAACATGGTCGAAGCCATCATTCGCGATTTTGGCTGACTTGGGAGTTCAGTCATCAAAAACAAGCACTGACTTTCATGCTTCGTCGTGAGAAGGGCTGGCAGGTGAATCTGCTTGGTGATATTTGGACTTCGCATACGGATACTTTCGGTCGAACCAAGTAAGCTCGTTACCAAAGCTCGCGTCTTCGATCTGATTGGAGCCACAGGTACAGGAATAATGTAAATGAAACCTTTCAAGTGGATCGTCCACCTTCTTTTCAGGGTGGCCTCCTCGCCGATGACATGGGACTTGGAAAGACGCTCAGTATGATAGCTGTCATCGCTAGCAATCAGGTCACAAAAGTCCTTCCGTCCCCTCCTATGACACTAGATCCCTTTCAAGGTCCCGCCGTCAAGACTTCGATTCTAATAGTTCCCCTGGCTCGTAAGTTGTACTGCCACAAACTCTGTTTCTGAAGCTGAGTTGCCGGTAGTCATTCAGTCGTGGGAGGAACAATTCAAGGTGTAAGTATCGTCGCTGTCTCGTTCAGCGAATACTTCCCGCTCCTGCTGCACTCGGCTAACCCCTCAAGAGACATGTCAAGAGTGGCACGCTGAAGATACACGTCTTTCATGGGCAAAATCGTAGAAGTGTGGATTGTTTGAAATCCTTTGATGTAGCCATCACGACTTATCACACGATTAGCTCCATCTGGAGGAAGTGGAAAGATAATGCAGACGCATCAGAATCGATATTCTCGATCATGTGGCACCGTGTTGTTCTTGATGAAGGTAATAAGTCCCTTATGCTACAATCAGGGGCTAGCACTGACTGCTACAGCTCATATCATCCAGAATTCCCAGAAACATTTAGCCCAATCATGTTGTGCTCTACGGTCGACTAATCGTTGGGCTATCACTGGAACACCCATCCAGAATAAGCTATCAGATTTCTCGAGCATTGTTGCGTTTCTCCAGGTCCATCCATACTCAGATCAAGCCATATTCGATGAGGAGATTGCTAAACCTTGGCGGAAAGACAATTTTCTCGGATTTCTGAGACTAAAGACATTGGTTCGTGCAATAACCATCGCTAGAACGAAGGATGTGGTTCTTCTTCCGCCTAGAGAGGACTTTATACATCATGTGGATTTCATGCCAGAGGAACGCCAGATATACGAAGATGCCAAGAAGCAGACAGTCGCGCTACTTCAGGATGCAGCCTCCTCATCCTACGAAAACCGAACTTCGGTGAACGCCCTTCAACGGCTCAATGCACTTCGTCTGATCTGCAGTCACGGTCTGCTCACACAGTCCTACTTAGCAGCGCAAAGTTTATCCCAGATTACACCCTGCACAGGATCGCAGGATGTATATGCGGACTCCCTCTGTACCGAGGACTTGGAAACAATGTTCGATGGCTCTGATTCATGTGTGCAATGCGGGGCTACTACGATCGCTGACCTTGTGGAATATTCACAGCAGAACGACGGAGCCTCACTGCTCGGACTTGGCGGTGATCAACCAATTCTTTGTCCGGGCTGCAGGCCACGAATAAATCGACCCGTGACTGTACGAGAAAGTCGTTATACTGATAATCTCCAAGTTCTGGATAGCCCAATGACCATGTCTTCGTCGCCAAGCGTCGCATCATCGCCAACCTCAGATATTGGCCAGGGCAGCACTCTGCTATCTATGCCGACCAAAATCAAGGAGCTCCTGACAGATCTCACCACTCGCGGAGCCGATGAGAAGAGGCAAGTTTTCCTGGCCTGCTTCTATCCCGAGCACTGACTAACGCAAGGCAGTGTCGTGTTCTCTTATTGGACATACACCCTCGACCTGATCCAAATTATGCTTGAAGACAGCAAGATCCCCTTTGTTCGGTTCGACGGCAAAATGTCCCAAGCAAAACGAACAGAATCTCTCCGCACATTCAAACGAGATCCTTCTGTTCGCGTGATCCTCGTCTCAATAACATGTGGCGGCGCTGGGTAGGACTCCATACCCTTGAAACTTCTACCCACGTTCCGAATAGGGTCGTCCATTTCACGGAAAGAATGCTGACATGCAAACAGTCTCGATCTGACAGCCGCATCCCGAGCCTACCTCATGGAACCGCACTGGAATCCCATGATCGAAGAGCAAGCTCTCTGCCGCGTACACCGCGTCGGCCAAAAACGTAGCGTGACAACAATTCGATACCTCATGAGAGATTCGTTTGAAGAGGTAAGCCTAGCTATAAGTTCCTTGAGTGATGCTAACCTCCCAATAGCAAGTCGTTGAGATCCAAAAACGCAAGAAACTCCTCGCAAAAGTCGCGTTTGGACAGGATCCCCTGGAGGAGAGCGGAATTGGGATGAGCACTTTGCAGGTTTGTGTTCACTTCTCTTCTCATGGCTTCTAGGGTACGTAGACTGACTGACGTAGTACCTGAAATCGGTTCTGGAGTGAAGGAATTTTTAGTTTTGATGCCTGGATACTCATGCCATGGGTGAGGAGTGTCGCTTGCCCTGCCTTGCTCGATGAAGCGAGACTTGATCTGGCGTGGAGAGGGCGGCTGGATATAGAAGGAGCTCAATGTACAAGCGTGGTAACTTGAAGAGTACTGGTTACCAATGTAACTACAGGGATGACTCTGGTATCTGTTGATACATACACGTCTTTCGGGCTTTAAAGCCATGGGTATCGTTTGAGACACCAAAACCCAATAACCAATATTTTCCTTCCTGTCTCGTGACCCCGGGTATCATTACACCTCTCAGTTAAAAGGACCAAGTACGCCATTCTACTTCCCGTCTCGAGTAAAATCAGTAGAGAATCTCAGACACAGTGGGCCCGATGATTGTGTCCGTTTTGGCACTGGTAGAGGCGTGGCTTTTAGGATCCAAACCCGAGAATTCACTGGAGGTAATCATCCTTGGACGCTTTCCTCTGGGCCTCGTCTGCTGCACTGCTGACAGCGTTTCCTCTTCTTCTGGAGCATGAGAAGCCACCCGCTTCAATGATGTTGTTCGTTCTCGGTCATGAAATATGGTCATCTCGTTCCACTCCTCCACTGAGAACGGATTCTCTTCGCCATCCTGGAAGTCCGAAAGAGACGAAGACGATGTTCTGGGTGGTTGATTTGTGAAACTGCCAATATTCTCCCGTGGCGAAGATGGCCATGGCGCAGAGGAACACCCAGCGGGACTCATTGAAGGCGGTTGTGTTGTAGGCTGCGTGGATCCCACCGATACTCCGAAAGCTGACGGGCTTGTTGCTGATCCATATGCTGATGATGCTGTGTTATTGGGACCCATGCATGATCTGCTGGTCGATGCCAAAGCCGAGTTGTCGAATTCAGATGCAAATCTCGCTTCAGTACCGCGCTGTGCTTCTCGTTCCTGTTCTTGTTGAGCATCGAGTGCTGCAACCTCTTTTTTACGTGCTGTGTACAGTTTATTTGTGGTACCATACGTACATGCTGTTGAATCAGCCACCGATTTGTACGGTCTTGGAGTTCGGTGCTTACTACTTCCCTTGGATATACAATTTCCGCAGCTGGGAAACTGGCTATCACATACCACTCCCTTGTGGACTTGCCCTGTGCAGGACAGGCAAGCTGTTTTGAGGTAGCGGATTTGTTCGTTCTTTAAAGCTCGTGGCATCTTGTAACTGTAAGGTGCTCTAGAATGTCCTTGGAGTCAGATATATAGACCACTGCTGCATGTTAGCAAACTTTGTAGTTTGGCTCTGGCTCGTCATTGGAAGATTGACCGTATAGGAGGGTATGCTGGGATGGCTTCGCCTTCACCAGACCGTACGAGAGAATTGTGTGCACGCCAAGTCCGAATTGATCCGTCTGAGAGCGGGTAGCCTCGAACTTGAGATCATAAGTGATAACAATGCTGTGGTATCGATGTGGAATGATTGAAATGTGTGGTTGAGTATGATGTTTGCAATTTTTCAGTCAAAATGTGTTGTTGACGTTCACGTCTAAATAAGCGAGGCAGGAGCGACTTTGTAAACACCAGTGGTGCTTCCCAGATATCACTGCTTCTGAGCAGCTTAATCTATAACCTTATGATATCCGTTCTACAATAAATGGCGCTCTGCTAACGAGTCGGTCTTGATGTTCAATGACAACTATGTAGAAAGTAGTCATTTCATTCTCTCCAAGCTTCTGTTGGGATACAGTCGATTTTGGGGAGAAACTGAAGACAGCTTTGAAAGCTAGTTACAAACTCATGTTTGCGAAAGTGTACGAATGAGAAAGGTTAATGCCAGTGAAGCAGCATGAGTTGGAGGATTCAGGGAGCCATCGAAGAACTCCTCGGTCAATTTTGAGAAGGAGCTCTATGTTGCAGATTTTGGGTTGATTGAATGGGAACAACTAACGGATCACAAATTCAAGGCCAGAATTCTAGATAGCAAAGTAGCTGGCTCGAACCGTTTTTCTTCTAATTCCACTGCTCTCCAGGTAAGAACCTTGACTCATAGCCCTCACATTGTTGATCGCGTCGCCCCGACCCCGCCTCACCTCGCTTCCCTTAAAAATTGCTTGGCATCAACTAGCGGGGTAATTTTGTCAACAAATACTTGCATATTCGTTCCCATCACGAATCAAATTGAATAAGTTCGAAGCTATGACGCCTGGCTTCCAAATCTCTTCAAATTGAAACATAGAAACGTTGAAACTCTTTTACAGCTTCAATGCATTCCTCCCAATCCATCCTCATTGGCTCTTATCGCCCTTGCCGATTATCACAATCACATGCCTCGGATAACGAAACGCGTCCACGTCAGGAGGACATCAGTCCAATAGCTAGTCTGCTATGAACACACAAGCTCAACAAAACACACTTTACATTCTGCATTTCCCCACGTCGTATCATGCCTCATTTCTCGACCTTTCAACTATCTACAACACCCACAAAGCGTCCTTGTCGAATGGAACCGCCACCGGCGAATCGAGACAGCAGCAGTCAGGAACACGACTATTTAAAAACCCGAGATGGAGCAGGATGAAGACGACTCCCAGGGGCAAGAAGTCGTGTTGAAGGCCGCAACTACTCCTGCACCAGCAGCAGAAGCATCGACCCTCCTCCCAGCACCGATCGCGAATGTCGTGAGTCTGGTAACCAGATCCGGCTCCTTGTACCTACGACTCGGAACCTTCATTGGCGGTCTTGCTCTCGACGGCGCACGAGTCACGACCTTGACAGGGCTGGAATTGAGCAGAGCAGTTATTGAGGGCATACTACACAAGGCCGGACGAGATGTATCTCTGCGCAGTACTGGGGAGATGGGAAAGGCTGAGGCAGATGGGATATTGGAGCGAAGCATAACGACTTTACACTCTACAATCACGAATATATCATTTGCTGCCTCAACCGGCTTTTATTTTTCTTCTGCAGCATTGCACGGAGCCGGTGACTTGTCGCAGCAATTATTGGCTACATTGGACAGTATACTGGGCAGCACGGACTCGAGTAGGGCAATTGCCAGTATCGTTACACTGATCAGGCGGGAGTTCCAAAATCCGGCAACTGGGCAAGAAGGAGAGAAAGTTGGTGTTGCGGATCTGTTGCTTGGAATTTGCGGGCTGGCTTTACTGCAGAGATGGTGCAAGAAAATTACGGATGCCGAGGGTAGTGGAGATGTGGTGATTTGGGACGTGGTCGTTCTGGATGATGGAAGAAGGGCGGATGTCATTAGCAAGGAAGATCCGAATGCTGAACGGGGTTTAACGAGAGCGGATTCGATGGCTTTTGTGACTCCTGGAGGAGACCAAGTGGTCCAGGCGATAGGAAGAGGCGGGAGGCTAGAAGATGAATCTGATGACGACTTGCCGGAGATTAATCTCAAGCAACGAATCATGAAATCATTACCAGCCGATGCTTCAGTATCAATCACGACAGAAACGACGACCACCAAGACTATTACGGTTGAGATTACTGGCACTCAGCCCCCAGATCTATCGCCACCACCTGGTGTCGAGATTGTGGAAGAAAATGCTCACCACATTGGACAGGTGGACCCGAATGCCGAGCTATTGACGAACGAGCAAAAGGTTGGCCTGTTGGTTCCAAAATACAGAGTTGTTTACCGGGTTGTTCGCAACAGCCTTCGGGGAACCAACATTGAAAACAAAGGCGATCTCCAGATTGAGAACGCAATAGAGGACAGTGATGACGAAACACCTGTTCAGCCTACCAAGGCTATAAAGGGTCCTGCTGTTACAATTTCACCAGTTTCCTCTCCTGAAGTTCCTCCCCTACCTCCAAGAAAAGATACCCGAAGACAGGCGTCAATGGAGAGTACAAACATCGATAGTCCGTCACGGTCGACTCCGTCGGGGGATGAGAAACCCCTCGGATTTTCGTCGATTCCTGTTTCAAAGCCTTCGGAGCAAATTGGCGCTCAGAAGAGGACACGCAAACCAATGAGCTCTGCATCATCTATTTCCGATGTTCCTCCCCCAAAGAAAATAGCCACAAAATCTCCTACGCTGAAGAAGGCAAAACCAGACAGGCCACCGGTAAAGGCTGCTGAGAAGAAGGGATCTTTTCGAAATGCTCTTAGGAAAGGATCTGGTTCAGCACTTTCGAATCTCTGGAATAAAGAGAATGAATCTGAATCTTCCTCGTCCAAAACACCATCGCCAAAGCCCGCATGGGGTGGTCACAGTCCTACTAACGCAAAATCAAGCCTTCCAGTCCCAAAGAGAAATTCCAGCATTGTCCCAGCGAGAGAAGCACCTCGTCCACCTCAGCGAGGAAATCCTAACTACTTCTCATCTCGGGATCTTGGCCTCATGCAGTCACCTGACGTGCAGAAGAGCCCTTCAAAGGCAAGCTACTATTCAGTCCATGAAAGGCGTCGAGATTCGATTGTTTCCCAAACAGATACATATTCTGTACATTCGGCTGATACACGACCTGGATCACCAACCGCTTTTCGGACACACCTGAAAGCACAAAGTAACCTCATTCGAGCAAGATCGGAGAAAAATATTCTAAAACAACCCACTTCTCCGGCGATAAATCACAGACGGTCGAAAAGCGTTGTTCCAAGCATTTATACCCTGAAAACAAACAATTCCGCCACTTCACTTGTGATCGCAAACCAGCCGCGACGTAGCGCATTCGAGAGCTCTGAAACGATCGAGTCTCTGATGCATACCGGCTTCATCGACGGACTCTTTCCTCAGCATCATATTGTTCGGAATATTACAAGATTCGTGCGATTCGCCTCAGCATCGTATGGAGCCAGCTTCCTTCGAGTAATGGGTATCGTCACTGCCAAAGGTCCGACGGCGAAAGAGATCGAGACATCCCACCATTACGAACACCATTCATTTTCGACGCACACACAGTTGCCACCGTCGACCATTCTATTGTCATCATTCGTGGATCCACAAGGTGGTACGGATGCTACGGGGAATACAAATACTGGAGTACCGATGGTACATTTTGTGTCCCTGGATCACGAGTCAAGGGCCGTTGTACTGACGTGCCGTGGAACCCTGGGCTTCGAAGATGTCCTGACAGACATGACTTGCGATTACGATGAGCTTACCTACCGAGGGAAAGCATACAAAGTCCACAAAGGGATACATGCATCAGCACGCCGATTACTTGACGGTGGCGGAGGGCGTGTAATGGCAACAATTGCAGCTGCATTGGAAGAATTTCCAGAGTATGGATTGGTGATGTGTGGGCATTCTCTGGGAGGTGGCGTCACCGCTTTGCTTGCAATTCTAATCTCCGAGCCCTCGGCGGATCCTTTATCCACGGCTTTCTTCACAGCATCTGATTACTTACCACCTCCACTCCTTCTTACCTCGTCACAGGGAGAAACGAGCACAGCACCATCAAGAATCCGTCTACCGTCAGGACGTCCAATTCATGTTTACGCCTACGGCCCTCCAGCGACGGTTTCACCTTCATTGCGTCTGGCTACCCGAGGCTTGATCACAACAATTGTCAATGGGCAAGATCTTGTGCCATATCTTTCCCTAGGCGTCCTCCACGACCTTCAGGCTGTAGCATTGGCTTTCAAGACGGACGATTCAGGGGCTAAAGGAGAAGTGAGGAAGCGTGTCTGGCAAGGTATCACAGGGACATTCATGGATAAATGGTACGCCAATCGGCCACCCGGCATGAATTCAGAAGAGGACGATCAGTGGGCGTACTCGGCATTGAAAGCTTTGCGCGCCTCTATGTTGTCTGCCAAACTTCTCCCTCCTGGCGAAGTCTTTGTTGTTGAGACCATGCCTGTCCTTCAGCGCGACGCCTTTGTTGCTGAAGATGGCGGCGAAGGCAAGGGCCTCGGACGGCCAGCAACGAGGAGTGTGTTGAAATATGTGAAGGATGTAGATAAGAGGTTTGGGGAAGTGAGATTCGGAGGCAGTATGCTTCTTGATCATAGCCCTGGCAGGTACGAGATGAGTCTCGGAGCATTGGGGAAGGGCATTTTGGGATAGACTAGATGTGCCGCTTGAATAGCGCAGCAATATTGTAATACCAAGAATGGGAGTTTCGATGTTCTGCCAACTTTTAACTTTATTGTTATATTTCTTTCGTAAGTCATTCAGTCATGGTCCATATGGGTATTCATTTTCCAGGTCCATTGTCAACCCCAATGCTAATCCCAGCCTTCGACGTGCTCCTCAACTTCCTCCAATACATGAACTTCGACCCAGGACAATATTTCCGCTTCCTCCCAGTCACAGCCGGCACTTCCACTTCACTCACAACACTTGGCGGCTTTCCCTCCACCAATGTCCCGCTACGACTCATGCTGATGGAGTTCCTCGTCCGCCGATATGCATCCAGCTCTAGCAACTTACTCCTATACTCCACCGCAGCAAGCTGCTCTTTTGTCCTCTCCCTCTCGACTCTTCCATCTCTCAGCACCCTTCTCAAGATCTTCCCTGTTGGATTCCTTGGGATTAAATCTACAAATTCGACTTCTTCGACGTTCTTGTACCTCGCTAGCCTTATCCCCAGGAAATCTTTCACGTCCTGCTCGCTTACTTCGTCGCTGCCGTTCTTCACAATGAAAGCCAACGGGACTTCACCGCAGCCGTCACTGGCAGGCGAGGCAATTACTCCCGCATCTTGGATCCCGGGGTGTTCGAGTAATGCTGCTTCGATCTCTGCGGGGCTGACTTGCCAGCCGCGGACTTTGATGAGGTCTTTGGTACGGTCGATGACATACCAGTTACCGTTCTGGATGTATCCTACGTCGCCGGTTCGGATCCATCCATCTGAAGTCCGGGCTTCCGCCGTTGCTGGGATATTGTTGAGATAGCCTGTCATGGCGAACGGGGTGAGGATTTGGATCTCGCCTGTTACATTGTCTTTCTGGATGATGTTGCCGGATGTGTCAACAGCCCTGATATACATGTTAGCTAACGTCACCAACACGACATATGTGCTTGAGAGATATAATAAGGTACTCACCTCAATATTGTCCCGTCAACTGGCTGTCCAACACTACCAGTCGCGTCTCTCTCCGCTCGGGACCAGGTAGTTGCCCAACCTGTTTCGGTCATTCCATAGACCTGCACGATTCTCGCAACTTCACTCAAAGTGCCATACAGCTTCCGTTGCATACCCTCGCTTGCACACGAACCACCAACAAGAACCGTCTCCAAAGTTCCAAGTTCGCCTCCGTCATATTTCGACAGCGCCATCATGATCGGCGGCACAACAATAGTGTGAGTGATGCCAAACGTGTCGATTGCGCTCACGAATGAACTTTCCTCAAATCGCGGCATTATATACGCGGGATATCCAGTTCTTAGAGGAACAGCGTGTTGAAGTGGCATGGTGAAGACATGAAAAGGTGGGAGCGCAATGAGACTTTTAACTTCACCATCACACGCACCGCTTTCCTCGCCACGCCTGCCTTTGATTTGAGTTCCATCTCGACTTCGATTTCTCATCAAATTTTCGACCACCTTCCCCTGCGAAATCAAATACCTATGTCCAATAACCGCCGCTTTGGGTAGTCCAGACGTCCCGCTCGTACTCACGTATGCGGCATCTCTCAATCTATCATCATTACCACGCACCCAGTCCGTCTCGCCATGACACAGCAAGCTCTCCCAACTCTGCTGCGCGAGAGGGATCTCCTCGCCAGCAAAATCAAGCACGAAAATGTGACTAGGTGGAATGTTACAGTCGTCTGCTGCGGCGAGAGACACAGACAGAGATTTTGGACATGTGAGAATATACCGCGCACCAGTGATGCGAAGGTGGTGCGAGAGTTCGCGAGAGGTGTAGCCTGGATTTGCGCCTGTGAAGCGAAGGTTGGAGCCGAGGATGGAGAGGTAGATGGGTGTGTAGTTTATCTGATTCAGATCATGAGTCTGAAATTTCCGTTGCGGATGAGAGGCGGGGGAGGGGAAAGGTACATACATCGTTGAAGCTGACAACGCAAATACAGCTGTTTTCCTCGATATTGTGTGCGTTGAAGCCTGCTATTACTTGGCGGACTAGTTTGCGAGTTTGGGAGAATGAGAGGATGCGAGAAGGGTTGCTGGGGTCGATGTATAGCTGAAAGTTGTGAGTTTCGGGTTTGAGTTGCGTGTGGTCGGGGACTTACTGGTTTATGCTCGTCCCGTGGGGGATTTGCGAAGGTCCATGAGACGATATCCATGATATTCTTCCGATCTTCAGGCACTAATATATGGTGAGGGGCTGTCTGTGAGAACAAGCAGAGGTCAGTGGAGACCAGTGTGTTGTGAAGTCACGTCAAGTCAAATATCATTGAAAGACAGACGGAATACTTCAGCCATATAATCACCGGAAAGTCTGGTGTTGCACAAAAAATGATCATAACAATTGTATCCAAAAATCTTATTCGTCAGCCTTATGCTGGTCTCACTTTTTATAGTTTCGTCTTTCTGGTTGTCGGCGGAGGAGTGCGCCTGCTCGTCATTTGGAATCCTCTCGCTTGTGGCTGCACTGCAATTCCAAATACCATACCTGTGCCATGGGAAAAAGCACGTGCACTTCCAATTGGCCCCGTCTTTGTGCATATTGAACTTTAACGGGCATCATGACTGTTTATCTATTGTTATCTTTGGAAATTACAAAGCCTTTTGCTGCCGAGTTGTGTTGCCGAACATTGTTTTGCGCGACTTATGTATGTGGGGATTGAGTGTTAGATCCCCACTTAGAGTTTTCGCTCCACGCATCATATATTGAAGGAGCGCTTGTTGACTCCAGGATGCAGGATTTGATGTGAAAGGAAAGTAAAACCTTCGATTCATTTGTCGATCCGTAAGTTCTGCCCAATAGTGGGATGAAATTCGTCTAGATCTGTACCACCTCGTTTTTGTCCCACGTTTGTACTACAGAACACAGATTTGGAGCAAATGAGCGTTAGAAAAAAACAAATATCATTTGTTGGTTCTTTGTGTCTCAGTTCAGTTTCTTGGAATTCCGACAATTTTACACGAGATCTTAGGCTAAGGGAACCACGCTGTTGGTTTTGTGTCTTGCCTCGACGAAAACCAAGTGACGATGAAACCTGGCTCCAAATTCAGAAACCAGTATCAGCAATCAAATAATCAATCACGTCAAGATAGACAGTTATCGCCAATAGAGTTCTTAGGATCTTACATGCTGTGCCATCTTATCGCATCCGACATGCATAATCTACATCCTTCGATCATCTCACACAACTCTATCTCGGGAGAGCGCTTACACGCTGCTGACATGCGCTTCAATTACGAGCCGCCTAATCAGTAGTGTTAGCGATGAAGCTGAGTGCTGCTGGTGCTGTACGTGCTGGGTTCGCGCGTCTGCACACGGGCCGGTCTGACTTGCGTGCACACTAGGATGCATCCAAGATGCTGGGACGGAGCGTGCAGTCAGCGCCAATCGTACAGGATTCCAGCTAGTGCATGAGATCTGGCCCGCGGCCATGGGCAACGCTTTTGTTGATCTGGGCCTCGGTTCAGTTGACCGTTCTTGCTTTTGTGTTGGTTATTTCACGATGTTCGATCTATGTTTACGTATGACAGAGGAGGCTTTGAATCAGAGTCTTGAGTTCATTTGCTTTTATGTTGGTTATTCTGAAATATTCGAACTATCTCTTGGTACGACAGTAAAGGCTTTGAACGGAGCTTTTGATTCGGCTCCAAGAGCTTGTGGGTGGAATTCTAGTCCTCATGTGAGACTCGAGATGGCGATTCAGAGTCGAGCGTTGGATCCAGGCGATGGATGGCATGCAGGAAGAGTGGCATATGCAGCCGGAGTAACTCATGGTAAACCTCGTCAGCTAGACCCCAAAATTGTCTACTGTGTGAACTTTATAATACTTCCTACGATGCCGTCAGCCCGTGTTCTAACGTCTCTTAGTGGTAATTGGTTCACGGAGCTGCGAATACTCCGAATACCCTCGCTAGCTTTGCATTAGCTACGTAATCAAGCCACGCAGTTGTACAAACTTGCATATGCGATCTCGATCTTACTGATTTCAGCAAGTTTATGCAATGAGAAGTGTTTCCATTTTCAATACTCCATTTCTCTGCAACTGTGAGGCTGGAGAAACATGGATGCCGAGCTCGCCGACTGCTTTCCAATGAGAATGCAAAACCAACAAATGGTGAACTTTTCTCCACCCCAATGAACTATTTCATGGCCAGATGACTCACATGCAGCTGCATACATTATATGCAAACGAGATTATGAATCTGCGGGCCGTCCTGGTCCGGATCCTCTTCCTTCCACCTCCTTCGGATATGGCCAGGGAACCTCAAAAGAGCAAATCAAGACCTATCACTCGTAAGTCGAGCCGGGATTTTGACACCATTATGTTCTCTAGCAATATTTTGGTAGGTTTCTAAACATGGAAGTGTACTCCGTGTTAGGATTCGTCAACAGCCTTTGCGTCATTGGAAGGGCGAAGTCTCGATTCAGGTCGATTTGAGACAGAGGCTTTCGATGTGCACTTTGGAATGCTTGTCATGATAAACCGTATGCCTAGAGAAATAACCCTTTCCTTCTCCATTCGTCCATTCGAGTTGAGATATGTTTATTGCCATATCCAAGAAAATGGCTTGATGTCGTGTAGTATTCTTCCAAATAAATAACATGAACTCTGTTTTGGCTGTTACCAGGCCTGAACCAACGCACCTATCCCTCGAGGTCAAACTTCATTCTTCAATAAACTCGCAAGATCTTTCTACTATCCAAGCACAGTCGAGAGGCACGAGCTGTTCGAGCTTCGTAGCTCAGAAATTGGCACCACTTCCTCCAAAACATCATCCTCGACCACTTCGTCATGCCAGACATACATTTCTCAACGTCTATCGAAGGCTTTTTAGTATTGTATTTGCTTTGAATATTGTTGGGATAGGAATACTGTTCTGGAGATATGAAGGAGAATACAATTCAGTGTTCTTGGGACATTTGGCAACAGCTGCATCAGCAAATATTATGGTCGCGCTGTTAGCAAGGCAGGATTATGTGGTAAATTCCATGTTCAAGTAAGTCTTCGCCGCGATGTACCATTGAAAGTATCTGACTTACTCATCAGAGTATGCTGGTCAGTTCCATTATCTGCACCACTTCGACTTCGCCGGATACTCACGAAAGTGTACGAATATGGTGGAGTACATAGCGGGGCTGCTGTGTCTTCAGTAGTATGGTTCGCGCTCTTTACTAGCTTCCTCACTTACCAATTCGTCAATCATGGCCATCCAAGAAGTCCGGCTGTCATGACAACGACTTACATCCTTCTGTTCCTACTCATTTGTATTGTTATCACAGCCTATCCTCGCTTCCGCTTCTCCTCACACAACACTTTCGAGAACTTCCACCGCTGGGGAGGCTGGTTCGCACTCGCCATATTCTGGGCAGAGCTTGTACTCTTCATCCAAGCCCAAACACACAACATTGGACCAGCACTCATCAAGCAACCTGCGTTTTACTTCCTTCTCATCTCATCTCTACATACCATCCTCCCTTGGCTTCGCCTTCATAAACTCCATATCATACCCGAGAAACTCTCCAACCATGCTATCCGCCTTCATTTCACCGAACCTGTCCCACTATTCGTCGGACTCCGCATCTCAGACGCGCCACTGAAAGAATGGCATTCATTCGCTTGCATTCCAGCTCGCTCAGGTCCAGGCGGCTCAGTCCTCATCTCCAACGCAGGCGACTGGACAAAAAAGACTATCCAGAATCCCAGACCATACTACTGGGTGAAAGGCATTCCTGTCACCGGTGTTCTATGCATGGCTCGCGTATTCCGTAAAGTCATAGTCGTGACAACAGGAAGTGGGATTGGTCCATGTCTCGCAGTGATCCAAGATATTCCTGTCCGGGGTACTAATTGTCGCGTTGTTTGGTCGACACCGAGTCCGTTGCAGACATATGGGAGCGAGATCTGTGATGCGGTGAAGGCTGTTGATAGGGAAGCGGTAATTATTGATAGTAGGAAAGATGGAAGACCGGATTTGACGTCTATTGCTTGGGACTTGTATTGTAGAGAGGAAGCAGAGGCGGTGTTTGTTATCAGTAATCCGAAGCTGACGAGGAAGGTTGTTTATGGTCTCGAAGCGAGAGGTGTTCCGGCGTTTGGGCCAATTTGGGATTCTTGAAGTTAATTAGCAAGGCAATCGATCCAGGTCTGAATTTGGCTAGTCCCCAAGAAGTTTTGGAAAAAATATTATTAGTAAATTTCTTAATTATTTTTAAGTGTTGGTCAGTGCTAATGAAATAAGTCCAAGGTTAAACCTAAGATGAGTACCGCTACCAGTCTTCTAGCTTAGTGGTAGCGAGACGGCATAGCTTGGACGGCTTATCAGTCTAGAAAGCAATTGACAATTTCTGTCATCACAAAAGTTAATGCAGGTTACTTCCAACTGTACACTTTTTACCACGCAAATTCCCTTGACTTTGAAGCGCTCTTAAGAACCAAACATTTCAAGAACTCAAGCGACGCGCTAAGCCAGTTTTGTCTTTCGAATCGGCCTCACCGCCCCAGCCACAGACACAACATCCATCATCCATCAATTGATCAGCACCGACCATCATGGAACTCAACCTCCCCCACCGCACTCTTACGAAACCCCCAAGTACAATACTTGACCTGAGTAACGAGCTCATAATTTTGGTCTTCGAGCAAGTACTGCTCTGGGATCTTGATCTTGACAGTGATCCTCTAAACGCCTGGCTATCAGCCCCGGATAAAGTCCTCCCAGTTCTTCGACTTGTGTGCAAGCGTTTCAACCGTCTAGCTACCCCCATCAGATATAGGCACCTGACGATACAGACGCACCACCAGATACGAGGGAGAAGGCCGCAATCCAGGAGAGTCAGGAAAGCTGTTGCCGAGGCCATCAAATGCTTCACAGAGCATGCTACCGTAGTTGACAAGATTAATTGGCATCATGTCGTCCGGAATCATGCTTCATTGCCACGATTGAAAACTATCAGGTACGAATCATTTCCTGTTTGAGCGGCTTTGGACTCGAACGTTAGTCACTGACATCACTAGTTGGAGATTTCATGCGCATGATGCGGGATGGCTATCGAGGAATTTTTATCCAATTCCTCCTTCAATATTGCGACCTGGAGTTAAAATATCGATAGATGGTACTGGATACTACCACGATTTCATCTCATTGATACCCCCTGAACACGTCTTTGCCTTGCATCTTGGGTATTGGCATCCGGCTCCCCCACATCAAATGAATGCAAATGACGCGTACGACTTGGAATACAATCCACGGTTCAAAAACTATATCCTGCAAGCCAAGAACCTCGAATGCCTCGATTATGACCTAGCGAAGGTACCGGAGTATTACGGAGGAGCTGCACCAGACTTTCCCGCGTTTCTGCCCGACGAGAGAATGCCCCGTTTCAAGAGACTTGTCCTGACTGGGTATCGATGGCTTTATACCAGGGAAGAGGTCAAGTCAAGCTGGGACTTCTCTAAACTGGAGGATTTAGACATCACAGGTTTGAACAATAATGCGTTTTTCAGAACTGTCGATGCGAAATGGTTTTCAAGTCTTTGCACATTGAAGTTGGGAACGTTCCTCTGCTGGTCTCCTGGTCAGCATGGTCGGTTGAAAAAACAAATACTTCTCCACACATTCCTCCGAAATATGCCGCAGCTGGAGCATTTAAGTATGAATACCTACACTGAAGATTTTCCTTTGGATGTCCTGATGGCAATGGAGAATCTGAGAAGCCTTGAGTTTACGGAGGACATTACCCTGGGCGGAAAAGCTTTATCTCCCCGACTGAATATGCAAGATTTGGAAGAATTGCTTCAGTATCTACCTCACTTGAAACGTTTGCACATTGATTTCGAAACTTGGTCAGGAGATGTGAGTTTCCTCATTCCGTTTATTGATCCAAGCTGACTTCGCAGTTCAAACGCATTTTGTTCGATATGATTTCACAGTTTCCGGCTTTGAGGTATATCGATATCAATAATCATGGCTATAATACAGACCCGTCAGATGACCTTGATAGTCTCGTGGGCCTGGAATCGGAGCCATCCGCTAAGCTGATCTCTCTTCACTACGGCCAATATGTAGATTCATTGGTGGATCCGTGGTACTATTGTGGCAATACGCGATGGGAGAGATACACGTCGACGCGATGGATTATCCCCGGCAATGCTCAGACTGTGCTGTGAAAGGCTTAATGCAAGCGACCTTTATATACAGAGGGACTCGCACCAACTTCCACTATGGGAACGAAAGACGACCGCACTAACTATGTACAAAATCAAGCATGGCTATTCCCAATATCCATGTCATATCTCATCATCACTCTTCTCTATGATCGTTAAATCATGCAGGAGTCTGAGCAGCAGGTACCGCTTCCCTTGCCTTCACCGGTGTTGGTGCAATCGTTGGCAATGCACCCAATGTAGCAATCAGAGCACTGTACGCAGGCTTGGTCTGATATTGAGCATTGAACAGCAGAGGATTATTCGAGGCTCTCCAACTATCAGGATCACGAACACCCCAGACCGTAACACCAACACAGTTCTTGATATCGACGCAAGCCTTGATAGTCTGGACGTACTCAGCGGGAGCGGCGCCGACGATGTCGATCTCAGTAAGTGCGCACTCAGGAGCTGCAGCGCAGAGAGCAGCGAATGATGCTGGGACATTCTTGGATTCGCCGGCCATGAGATGGGCTTGTGCTCCGATACCGTCGATGGGGACGCCTGCTGCGATCCATTTCTTGACGTATCTGATCATGCCTGTTGTTTTGGCATATGTTGCTCCCTTCTCGACGGTGCTATCGGCGAGTTAGTATTGGATTGCTTATGATGGGGAGTCGGCATACTTGTAGTCATTGATGTATAGCTTGCACGCAGGATCAGCTTTGCGGGCAGCCTCGAAAGCGATGCGGACGAAGTCCTCGCCGAGGACACTTGAGAAGACGGAATTTCGAAGGCCTCCTTGCTCGTCAAACATCTCATTCACGACATCCTAAGCCAATTAGCTACATCCTCATTTGGCGCAATCGACATCTCATCTCTGCTACTAAAAGAAAGAGTCCTGGAGTCTCAACATACCCACTGAAGGATCTTGCCCTTGTATCTTCCGATCTCTGTGGTGACGTGGTTCTCGATGACTGTTGTCAAGGTCGCTTTATCCCTGATATTGGACACCCAACCCGGCAACTGCGAGTGCCACACAGTGGTATGTCCACGAATAATCTTGTTATTGGTTACAGCGAAGTTGACCAACGTGTCAAGACCTCCAAAGTTAAAGTTTCCTCTTGAGCTCTCGACCGTGTCCCATTTGCCGCTACATAATCGCCAGTCAGATCAGCATCCGTTCTCTCTTAGATCGAATTGTATGTTGCGATCAAGACACGACTAACCTGTTCTCCGGAGTCAACTGTCCAAAGTCCGCCTTCAAAATCGCAGCATTCTGCGCATTGTTTATAAGTCCCGAGTCGGCACAGGTACCAAAATACAGCTTCCCAAGACCCTTGAAGATGGCGTCGATACTCTTCTCTGATCGGGCTTGGCGAGGCCCGAGGCTGTCATCGCTGCTGCGTCCAAGGAGTTCTTTCTCCCAGTCGATGTCTCGGATGGCTTGCAGGGGAGAGCAGAGTATGACCTGGCTGAAGAGGAGGGCGGAGATGATGGTGGTACGCATGTTGTTTGGAGTGTTTTTCAGAATTTTCTTGCGTTGCGAACACTCTTTGGTTTTCTTACCTGAAACAAAAAGGGGGAAATGAGATTCTGATGAGAAGAGGTGGCTTTAAAGGTGTATTGAAGCGTTCAGGCACATCCATTCATATCCATCTCTCCCTACCCACGCGGCATCGCCAAACCAAACAGGCTGATTTCACTTCCCTTTACATCCCAGATCATATCCTACGCTATGTAAATTTCTCATACTCATCGTCATTCGATCATGAGACCGGCAGCTCAGATGTTACGCTGACACGGGGCGGTTTCTCGTATCGAGTATAATACCAGCGTCGAACAATTGACGTTGATTGTTTATATTGCCGAACCTGGCGCAGAATAGGCGACAGCAGGATTTCTGTTTTTGGGATACTGGGGTCTTTTATGCTAATGTTGAATGTGGGAGCTGATTGGTGCGCGAGTGTCTTCTACTGGACGTTCTGGGTAGGGATATTTCCTGGGGATAGATTGGGGTGGTCGGCACTCAGTTCAGCCTTAAGTGGAATGCGGGGAAGTTGGAGGGCTGCAGGGCTATAGCGTGGCGTGGCATGGCGTCACGTGGAATATAGTGAAATTGTTCTGCGGTGTGTGGGATGCTAGTCCTGCTTTGAGGGTGGGTGATAAGAATATTCTGGAAGGGGGGTTTTGGCGTTGGTGTATGATTTCGAGGTGCTCAAGAGTACAGGAAGCCCGGACTTCAGCTGGCTGTATGTAGTTAAGCGAGTTCCCCAAGCACAGTTAAGCATATAGGAACGTAAAAAGTCATTCTCAATCAAGGAAATATGTTCTCAGCAACTTTCAAGTTCTTCGGGGCAGCGGATACAAAAACACCAAACGAGCTCAAATCACCAGCATAAGCAGTCACCTGCTCACCAGTCCGTAGTTCTTGGCACCTGACAACCGGGCCACGTTCTCCCGTGCCGGTACTTTATTAGAGCCTTTAAAGGTGACACGAGACGGTACCATTAGCCGTTTGGGTGCCGAAGGCTGAATGGGATTGCGTAGGTACTTATTTGGGAATTTATGTGGAACGGGGTTTCTTATGACGCGGAGGGGTACTCAGGCTGATTTCTCGGTGGTGAGATTCTAGTCGGCTCAATGTGGGTGGTAGCCCTGAGACATATCATAGTTCGGTGGTGTATAGTTCTCAGGTTCAGTTCAAACAACCAAAAGGCACTTCCACGGATTTCTGGACACTCCTGATGGGATGTTGGCTCCGGAACTGAGAGTCAACCAGTCATGTGACTTTTCCTGCACCTTTTGGATTGGGAAAGGACTACAGCGCTCGCTTTAATTAAACGATATAGCTCAGATTACTCGGGAAGCAGAGTCTAGAGTTTATTTTCTCATCTTGTACGTTCGAGCGGCATCGTCTTAGAAACGGTCAACTTGTAGCGCATTTGCTCCTTCCAAAGCCAGAGTTGCTGGGATTAAGATTCAATGTATATTTCCTCCACGGCATTTCACACTCTTTTGATAATTCCAGAGGTGTTTCTCCTAGAGCTGGACAATGTTCTTTCTATTTGGAAATCAAATACGCAAAATCTCTCTTCTTTCAAAGTCAACAAAGCCCAATGTTCGCTGCTAATTAAGCGAGAAAGCTCGAAGTCATGATGTCATGACGCTCGGATTAGTCAGAATGATTTTCTCTTGTCCTCGCATCCACAAAACATCTCAACCAATCCTTTGCCATTCAAGTAAACAAAAGCAACCATGAACTCTTTCTCTGTTCCCGCAGTCCGACTGAGCTGCGAACAGTGCAAGCGACGGAAGACAAAGTGCGATAAGTTGGTTCCATGCACTTCATGCAAGAATGCAGGGATCAAATGCAACACGGTTCAACGCCCAAGACGACCTCGTGGACGGACTGCTCAGCAAAAGGGTGGAGAGATTGACACCAGAGTTGCACGGCTTGAGGACCTTGTGAAGCAATTGAAGGTGCGAATAGCTGCATAATCCTTTTCCCGGTTGATTTGATCATTGACGGCCCATCACAGAGTCAGGTACAATCCAACGGCAAGGGGGGGAGCGAAGGAGGTCACGAGAACTCCAGTAGTCAATCGTCACAACGACCCTTACCTAAAGAACACAATGCACTCCAAAACTATGTTGCTCCGGATTTCTGGGAAGCTCTCTCTCAAGAGGTAAGAGTTGGACGCTCTGTGATTTGAGGTTCGGTCGCTCACTCTCATTGCAGGCGACTGGAATCCGAGAAATTCTGGAGGAAGCTGATCAAGAGGAGTCCCCGAGCGAAAATGCATCCAATTCGCCCATGTCTCCGTCGGAGCCAGCTTCTATCTCTGGGGCGCTCCTGTTCCACCACAGTGTCCCGAATCTAGCTGTTGATCTAACGCAAATCCTAACTAAGGAGATGAAAAGTATTCTTTTTTCAATCTACAAATCAAGAGTTGACTGTATTGTCAAAGTTCTCCACTGGCCCTCTGCAACGGCTGCGATCGAAAAGAAGGACTCAAGTCCTCAAGAGAGCTTGGAATCGGCCAGGGTGCAAGCATTAGAATCAGCGATATGTTACACCGCTTTGTGCACCATGACCGAGGACGAGTCAGAGGCTTCGCTCCATTGTAAGAAGGAGACACTGCGAGAGCAGCTTCGTTTCGCATCTGAAGTTTCTGTTTCGAAATCTAGGCTTTTAGAACAGCCAGACTTGACACTTTTGCAAGCATTTCTCATATACCTGGTCAGTTACAAATCGAACAGCAGACTTCAAAGCTCACGGAATTTCAGCTTGGCCTCCGTTGCTCTACAACACATGCATCGGCATGGACATTACTTTCACTTGCTGTGCGGATTGGGGGTGCTTTGAGCCTTGGGTCAGAAGACCCAAGTAAGTATTCAATCTTTGACTTGGAAATCCGACGAAGGGTGTGGTCATCCATTGGCTTGCTTGATGCACAGTTAGCCCTCGACAGAGGAGCTCCAGCTCTGTTATCAAGTGAAGAGCTTCAGAAGACACCGCTTAATGTCAACGACTCGGATCTATTTCCAGGATGTCCCACTCCCCCGACGTCCACTGATTTTACCGACATGTCTTTTGCATCGATGACCCATCGTGCATCACTCTGCCAGAAAGCAGTGGAGGAGATTCCTCCTGACACTGATGATACTTGGAATATGTGGAAAGAGAAGCTCGCTGCAATTGAAAAGTTCGAAGCATATACCATGCTACACTTTTCTGGAATTGATGCTTGGTCACCGCCACTTCAAAAGTTTGCTCAAGCGGTGGGAGGAGGTTCATTAGCGAATATCAAGCTTATGGCCAGACGACCTCCGTATCGGAACCGGCAAACGAAGATCCCTCCATGGGATGATTACGATGTCATGAAATCGACAACTTGGATTCTAGAGCGGTCGCTAATCAAGCAAGAGAACTCTGAATTCAATCCGTGGGGGTGGTTTACATGGGTGAAATGGTATGCTCTGGCTGTGCTTCTCGCCGAGTTGTGCGGACCGGTGGGAGGTACTGATGCTGACCACTCCTATGAAGTGGCTCAGAAGACCTTCGTTGAGTATTCCCAGGTAATCGCCGACAGCCAATCTGGTATGCTGTGGAGACCAATTGTCAAATTGATGCGTCGAGTGCATAAACTGAGGGGCGCCGCAATGGCAGGGATAACGGATCTGCTTTCTTCGCCTTCGGCTGGCCTGCAGCAGGCGACCATGAGCGATTCAGGTGTCGATCGTCTCACTTTCTCAGAACTTGACATCAATCCGCAACCTGGAGCCCAAGGTCCTGGGATGTCGCTCGATCCCTACGTTTTAGATCCTGGCATGGCACAAAATGGCGACCCTACGCACAATTTGATGAGTTTTGAGAGTGGCTCAGCACTTGGAATGACCACTGTCCCTGGTGATGAGCTTTCATGGGCCCATTGGGACAACTTCCTTCAAGACATGAACAACTCGGCCAATTTCGATTGGGGAATGGATTGGCAAAACAGTCTTTTAATACAACCATAATCATAGATCTGAATCCAACGACCATGTTCAGCATACAACACATGTTGCTCCAGGAGATAATCTCTCGATGATATCGCACAACTCGACCCAAAGCCTCTTCTGGATACGGTCGCCTTCCCTGCTCCTCACGAAAGACGACTCAGTCTTGACGAGACACTCACTCAAGTACTGCCCATGAGTCTCATCACCGGCGGTCACACCATGCACCAGCGTTCGACTTCCTGCCTCCGCAGTCCTTCCAATCATAGCGAAGATAACCCCTATGATCCTCCCTTTATCATAATATCTGGACAGCTCTGTGGCACACCACCCGGGCTTGACGCAATTGACCACGACTGGGCTCACACCTTTCGATCCCTCACCCAATCTCTTCGCAATCTCTTTCTCGCACATCTGCACCATCAGCTTACTCAACTCATACCTCCCCATCATATCCGCGCTCTTCTCCTCGCTCAGAATTTCGAATACGCTCCGCCCATCCTCAACATTCAGCTGCCCACTAGGAGCAAAAACATGCTGCATCGAGCCCACAATCACGAGATTTGTATGCGCCCCACTTACCCTGGCTGTGTCTTTCAACTTTGGCAAAGCGAGTACGGACAGCATGATTGTCGAGATGACATTCACGGTTAACGAATTTTCGTAGCCTTCTGTGCGCTCAAACGTCACGGTCTCGAGTCCAGCATTGGCGATGAATCCATGTAATCGATCCAGGGTCTTCAGGCGCTCTACGAATGCTAGAACAGACTTGAAGCTACTCTGATTGACTTCCCAGACTTCGATTGCTGTCTTGGACGATTGGTGCATATTTAGGATGGACTTTCTCGCTGCTTCGCCTTTCTCGATGCTACGACAAGCGAGGATGACTTTGGAGGCTTTGAGATTGGTGCTGAGAGCGGTGTCAGCAGATATTAGGGTAGGCATGCATGGGCAACTTACAGGTGTTTTGCACATTCGAGACCGAGACCTGTGTTTCCTCCTGTGATGATGTATGTTTTATTCGAGAGGTCGACATCTGGCAGGAATGGCGTACCAAAGATCTGGCCACCGAGATATTGACGAATTTCTGCGACGGAAGGCATCGGAAGTTCTTAGCGGGGAAAGTCTCGATATGAGTGTTGAAATAATTTAGAACTGCAACGTCCTTGGTGTCTCAAAGTTGAAGGTGAGGCTGAAGACAGGACTGAAAACGCTTGTTGACTTAGGCCGCAATGACTGGTCAGATGCTCTGGAAAGTCTCGGCGACTTTCACAGCCTTTATACCCAGGAATCCGGTCGAATTCATTTCACATATCCACTCTAACATTTTTTCCCTCTCTTTCGAACCGCGATATCTCCACAACCATGACGATCCCAGTGTATTTACGATGGTCAAAAGCCGAATCACTGGCCGGGGCCGGGACCATAGACACCTCGCTTAGCTAGTCTGCCAAGAGAAATCTCCAGAAACCGCAAAGGCCGGCTTTAGATTCTGTGACGACTTTGAATGACCCGCAACCTGGTAAACGGGACTGGATCGGAGTCCGATGCTTTGAAGCTTTTGATTAGCTCGTTGGCTTTTGGAGATGCGGTTTGCAGGTTCCCATGTGATAGGGGCGCTGACATCAATGTTTTGATGACGCCAAGGCTAGAGATGCGTTGATATATGACCGTGCAACAACATCTGCCTCAAGTATTTATACAAACTAAACTTACACAACGGAATACAAACTCATCTCACCTTTCTAAAATCCAAACATCATCTAAGAGCAATTTTTGCCAATATGTCGTCCCTAATAACACTTATCAAAGTCCTCAGCATCTCAACCTCCCTCATCGCATCAGGAGGAATCTTAAGTCTCGTAAGTTTCTTCAACTTAGACCTCTCATTCCGATATATTTCTACAATTTAAACACTCACTGAAAGCTCCAGTCACTCTTCGATATCCCACTTCTGAAATCCCAACCAGCAACCCGCTCCCTCCCACAAATCCGCTGGCTCTTCTCCCGCGGCTCTCACATCTTCCCCACCGCCGCCATCCTCTCCAGCACAGGCTTCATATACCTCTCCATCACCTCCCTCTCACCATCTGAATCATTCCTCGATGTCATTTCAAACATAGCAGGGAATTCACCAACAGTGAATGGATATCTTCTTGCTGGGGTGTTGAGCGCTGCTATTGGGCCGTTTACGCAGTTTGCTATGATACCGACGAATTTTGAACTGATTGAAAGGAATGAGGAGTTGGGTGGGGCGAGGAGTGAGGAGAGTGCGAAGAAGGCGGAGGGGAAGGGAAAGGTGGGAGGGAAGACTGCGAGGGAGAGTGTGGATGGGGAGAGGGATCTTAATCAGTTTGGGGATTTGAGTGGGCCGCAGGAGAAGACGGAGAGGGAGGGGAACGAGGAGGATGATAGGGCTGTGGAGGAGTTGCTGGAGAGGTTTAAGTGGTTGAATTTGGTGAGGTCGGTGTTGATTGGGTGCGGAGGGGTGGTGGGGTTGCTTACTGCTATTGTGTGAAGGGGTAAAGGAATTTTGAAAAGGGTAATATTGAAGAACGATAGTTATGTGATGAATAGTGTTGCTTCTACAAGATTTCCGACGAAACATTTTGGAGATCTAAAACCTTAAGCACCAAGTCCCTTCCCACCACACAGCGGCAAAACCTGCATCCAACCCGTCATCAACGCCTTCTTCTGCAAAATCTCTTCCTTGTGCTCCTCCAGCTCTTCCACATCCCAATTCACACATACCATACTCCCCTTCAGGAAATCCGCTCTCGGCTGCACGAGATACAATGCCTGCATGCCCGTGAGATCAGCGTGGTCTTTGGCGAATGGGCGGAATGCTTCTTGTTGCATGGCTGTAGGGACTATGCCTGGCATGGTGGTGAAAACTCGGAGGTTGGGGAGTTCTGGGGATGGGGTTAGTGTTGATTTTAATGTATGAGGAGAAAGGGAAGAGCGAGTGAAATGGAGGCTTACCAATTTGAAGATGCTCGGTGAAGCGCTGTTGGGCTAGTTTGCTGATGTTGTAGGCGGATCCGGCTGCAGTGGTGAAACCTGCTCGGCCGGAACAGACGTTGATGACTGTTGCAGTTGATTCTTTGGGATTTGGTTGATAGTTGATGAAGTGGTGCGTCATGCTGTAGACGCCTTTGAGGTTGATTTCCTATTTACGATTAGTGAGGACAAAGATGACTTCTCGTTTCGCCGCCGTTGAAAAATTGAGTATGGGGAAGGAGAATTAACAGAGGATAGGGAAAGACATACCATGGTCTTCCACCACTTATCAACAGACGTATCAACAATCTCACTATCCTCCAAAATCGCAGCATTATTCAGCAAAACATCAGCTGCCCGCCCAAACGTCTTCTGAATCTCCACAAACAAATTCTTCACATCCTCCTCATCAGAAACATCAGTCTTGACAGCAAGCACCTTCGTTGACGGACTGATGATTTTCAACTCCTCGGCAAGCTTGTTGAGCGCGTCGAGGTTGCGAGCTGCAATCGCAATGCCTTTTGCTTCTGCTCGAGCCCAGACTTTGGCTGCTGCCTGGAGTCGCGTTAGGTTAGGTACAGTTTTCAAATGGGGATGGAGGTGAGAGGTGAGATGGGATGGGATGAGTTTACTTCTCCGAGACCGAGGCTGGCTCCTGTGATGATTATTATGCGGTCTTTTTGAGAGTTTGAGGGATTGGTGGGGAGGATGAAGGGGTAGGGGGGTCGATGGAGGGTTTTGGTTGGAGGAAGGGGAGGCTCCATGCGTTAGGGTCGATTGCTTCGCTCATTGTTCAGGGTTGAATAGTACTGATTTGTGATGTGTGTGAGTGAGACGAAGAAATTCCTGATGAACAGATGGAAGATTTCGGAACTTGGGGTAAAAATGTTAGAAGGCAGATGATGGTTTGATGAGATCCTGAGGATAACGAGGTGAGAACTGAGAGAAGTAGCAGGTATACTCTTATATAGTCTTTTCGCCCAATTTCCAACAATATGAATCTAATAGTTCATGTTCCTTTGTTCGCTTGTGCATCATACACTGTGCCTCAACCATACCGCACCTAGACAAAATCTTTGAAATCACGATGTATCGTCATTCTGCAACCGCCCAAGAGATCCAAACCATGAACTTCATCATGCAACCTCCCCCCTTACAATCCATTTCCAGCAAGGAAGTCTCCCTCCAACACCACTCAACCCCCAGACCTCGTCTGCATCCCAGCTCAATCATTACAAATGCCCACAGACCTACCCAATTCATTCTCAAAGGGCGTAGATAAATTCCCCCAAAATGTCTAAGATGTAGAATCGGCTGAGGATGCAGGGGTTAATCACTCGGAATGATTTTCTATCATTCCGATTTTTCGATGGTGAAGAAATAAGTGGGTACTGTTGTCCATGAAGCGAGAAGGTTTGTCATCCGGTTCGGATATATCGTCTTGCCGGATATACATACCTTGGTAGATGCTTCTGGGCGGTGTGCTTTGAGAGGGATGTCTTCTCGTGTGGGGTATAGATAGGTTGAGAATACGAATGAATTATTATCGTGTACTATAGGGAGGAGCTTCATGTAGTATGAAAGTCTTAATTTATTAAGGTATTCTAGAGCTCCCCTATAAGAGGAAGCTCTAGGAGTTCTAGTTATATAAGCAGCCTCTAGTTAGCTAGAGCGCCTTAGGGAGTGCCTTAGGTGCGTTAAGTACACGACACACCCCCTTGCTTAGCTTTATAATAGTAAGCGAAGCGACGTAAATAATGCAGATAATACTACCTGAACTATAATAGGAGTTAATACTAACTAATAGTATCAGGTCTTAAGCGCTTAGTAGCTCTGAATATATAAACTAGGTAGGTCCCCCGGAATACTCTTTCCTTAAATAATAACTTCGATGTAATATTAGTAAATATAGCTAAAAGCTCCTACGCTACCCGCGCCTCGTGCGCCTCTAACCTCGCCGCTGCTCGCGTAGTAAAGAAGAAGATTATAAGTTATTAATTTAAAGATTCTAATATAGTTAGCGTTATAAGGAATCGTTAGAACTACGCTAATACTTATAAAATAAGCCCGTAGCTGCCGTAGCTCCCCCGCTACCGCTACTCTACTACTACTATTACTATCACTACTACTAGCACTAGTACTAACTCCTGCCCGCCGCCCTGCTATAGTAAAAGCTATCTGTGCTATGCTTTACAGCTACTGTATTCGCAGTAGTTTATAGGGTACGCTAGGCGACTCCTATCGCGATAAAGAGATAGCTTCGCGCTGTTTTTATTATTATAAAAATAATAAATCGGGTTATATCGCCGCTCTCGCCTGCGTTACTAAACTCTTCGCTAGCTACTTAGTAGCCCGGGCCCTCCTAGAGGGCACACGCGTAAGTGTTTCCTTATATTATAGTATTAGAACAATAAAGTGTTAAGGTGTTAATATTAAAGTACTAAGCGAGGCTAACTCTATAATATATATAAGCTCTTATAGTCCGCCGGGCCGCTATTCGGAAGGCCTTAGAGGCTAAGGAGGATAAGGATAAGAATAAGGATAAGATCCGTGCTACTATCTGTAAGTTGTAATAGTAGTCTTATAGATTTTAGACGTTATCTAACTATTAATATTAGCCGCTACCCCTACCCCCGCCTTTACTCTCCGTAGAGAGACCGCTATTCCCCCCTCCTACCTTATTTTTAGCGCTATAGGAATAAGCTCCGGCTCTACAGGAGCTACTATCATCACCCCCGCGGCACGTTTAGCCTTACGTGCCTCTACCTTAGCAGAGGTTAACGTTATAGCCAGCGCTACCCGGCAGTTAATTAACCTTCTCCTCCCTCCTTAGTAAGTAGTATAAGCTTTATAACCTTTAAGTAATAGCTTAGGAACGTTACCCCTTTATTATTATAGTTCGGGCTAGTATATTAGTATAGCTTTATAACCCAGAAGTCGTAGCTTAGGATCAGGTTCCTTACTCTTCGTATTGTTTTAGCGCGGCTTTATAACCCTGAAGTAGTAGCTTAGGATCAGGTCCTATAATTCTACCTCTTCTCTCCTCTCTAATAGCGTTTAAGAACTATAAATATAAAGTAAAGGAAACGTGATAAAAGAAAGTATTTATATAGATTATATAACTTAAGCGAGCTTCTTAATATCAGCTTAAGAGTCTTAAAGGTTTAAAAGAGCAATAAACACTTCAAACTTCTGCCTTAGTAGGTTTTTAGTTAAGCTATTAGCTAGTATATCATTTATCAGGAGATATATCACCTGAAAACTCCCCTTTTTATACTCTTATTATAGCTATATATTCTGTATATTAACGTGCTAAAGCTTCGTCGAGATTCGCTAGTTCTTTTTAACTATTAGCTAAATCGTCTATTTATTATCGTAGAATATATTCCACAGAGCTCTTATATTAAGCCTTAGCTCTTTAAAGAACCTTTGAAGCGCTATTACCTCCTTATGTAACGGTCCGGTATTTACTCGCTATAAATACAGAAAGCTGCAATTGATCTCTAATAATCGAGAGGTAGGTGTATTATATAGATAGGAAGATAGTTACTAAGTATTAGAATACTATTTGAAGTTAAGCATAAAGCTCCTATCTAATAGTAGATATACTAGTCTTATATAGAACCTTCGTTCTCCTTAGATCCCTTGAGATACTAGATCCTTAGATCCTTAGATCCGTTCCCTTATAAAGGGATCTAGGGATCCAGGGATTTATCACGTGACTTATCGTTTACTATGATCTAGGTAACTATTACTACTGAGCGTAAGTATATAGTAGTATTACTCGCTGTCCTGTATTATTCCCTGGTTAGTACTACCCTATTAATAGCACTGCTCCTTTGTTAGTACTAATACCCCTATAGTACTACTGATAGTACTATTAGTATATAGGTGCTAACTGAACTATAGCGCTAAGGGGTTCGTAATACTATCCCTCTCTTAGCTTAGTGTAGTCCCTACGCTTAAGTATGACCTTAAGGAACGTCGATAGTTACTAACGATTATCTTCCTTATCTATTATATCTGGTATTATAAAGAAATCAAGTATCGCTTAGATAAAGAAAAAATAAAGTATCTAGCTCGCGCTCTATATTAAGCGTGCTACGTAACTCGTAAAGCCTTATTCCTTCTACTATAGCTTTTCCTGTACCTACTTCCTAGATTTATCTATTTCGAAATAATACTCCGAGTATATTCGCTTAAAGCGTTATAATTATAATACCTTAGGGTATATTAAGAAGTTCACTCTTAAACGACTTATATGCCGGTTTAAGATAAGAAAAACTATAACTCCTGCTCGCTCTTTAACGCCTCCCTCTAAGCCTATTAAGGATAATTCTACTTCTTAGTTCCTTACCTTCGAACCTAACGCTTACTTAGTGTCTTTTTTCAAGGGCCCGGTCCCTAACCTTAAGTCCCCTTCCTTCTAAGTAAACCTGGATTTCTTTAATAGAATTCCTATAGAAGCCTAGGGCAGTAGAGGTTAGATTTAGGTTCCTAAGTGTTTTCTAATTATAGGTACCCTTTCTATTTAATTAAATATTTTATTTTACTATAGAAATACTAATAGTCGAGAATAGCTTCTACTTTATATTCAGCGTTCGGATTGATCGGTTATATTTCGGTGATAGGAGCCGGCGGTACTCCTAGCGGTGCTAGTTTAAGGAGAGATATATAGAATACCGGGTAGATATTTATTATCTTTAGCAGAGCTAGTTGATAATTAACTAGTCCCTTGACTTTAGTAATCCTGAATAGTCCTAGCTTTTTATAATTTAATTTATAACTTAGTTATTTAGTTATAATATTCTTTCTAAGTAAGTAGACTTTATCTCCCTCCTTAAGCGTTAGTCCTATACTACGCTTTCTATTATAGTAGATCGCAGATCTTTATATGATAAAAAGAATATCAGCTAATAATTCTTTATAGAGCTATTTAAGCTTATCTGCTTATAGTATAGCTTCTTACGCGGTACCCTGACCGGCTATTAGTGGGTTGTATACCGTGGGATTATACCTATAATTCGCGTAGAATAGTGATACTCTAATAGTCTCTTGATCCGCGCTATTATATATAAACTGGGCAAGTAGGAGCAGTTGCACCTAGTTATCCTGCTTATAGTTCATATAATACCGAAGATAAGTCTCTATTATCTGGTTAATTCGTTTTATCTATATATTAGTCTGAAGATAGAATACAGTTAATATTTTCTGTTTTATTCCTAAGAGCGCGATAAGAGTTTTCTAGAACTTTAAGGTAAAGAGCTTATCTCTATCTAAGATAATCTTATCTAGTATTCTGTAGCTTATAAAGATTATTCTAAGGAATACCTACGCTATTATAGGTGTGTCCTGTGTTCTAAGTACTAGTATTATATACGCGTACTTTATGAACTTATCTGTTATTATATAGATTAAGTCGTATATAATTCCTGTGATTAGGTTTTTCGAGGGTAGTAGTTCGACTATGAAATCTAAAGCGATTGATTTCTATGGGCGAGATAGTGTTATCAGTGACTTTATAAGCTTATATAGAGTATAGTGTAACGCCTTGTTCCGGATATATATGTCATATGACGCTACTATATCTTTGACTACTTTCCTTATCCCGGGGAAGTAATATTCCCTGGATAGCTTAGATAGCGTCTTTGCTAATCCTTGATATCTATAGGCAGGCAGCCTATAGAAGTCCTTAACGAATTCGGCCTAATCCCGAGTAGGTATATATATTCGTCCCTAGAATAAGAGAGTTCCTCCTAGGGAGAAGGAGAATCCTTCGCCTAGTTAGTATCGCTGTTTAGCTACGACCGGGTTATTAGTATAGCCTTTCCAGACTTTCTCTGCGATTAACTGTCCTATTACGGCTAGCTATCGGTTA